AGGACGAATCTAGTACAATTGGCTAGGAATGAGTCGAGAACAAATCTCGACTCATAATCATGAATCTCGGGTTCAATTCCTAGGCGGGATAGAAATGTTGGGCACATTTCCTGCCACATAATGCCTCAGTTCACCTAGCAATAAATACGTTCCCGGGACGTGGTGGGTTGCATCCTGGGGAGGGTCAGTCGTTTGATCTTGCAGGAACCTCAATACAAGACTAAGGTATATATATATATACAAGGCTTCCAATCCCAGATAAAACGTTTCTCCAGCTTGAGGAGAATTTTCTTCAAAACGTTAGCCCTTAAACCAATAAAAATAGAAATTTTCTGTCACAATAAATTTACAAAGAAAACGGTCTAATTATTGGGTACCTTTAATAATACAAGATAGCCAGAAGATATAAAAATTTACTTAAATTTACCTGATCTACTTTGGTGACCTCGAAGTGGAGAGGAACCCGTCGGCTTGTTAAAAGTTCCCCCATTGTTCCTGCGGAATATTTCCAGAATGAATTTGAAATGGAATACTGTTTTGGCATAAATGGCTTCGTGAGATTGCTCTCTCCTACATCAAATTCAAATGTTTATTCAGGTAAAAGTACATACATAGAAGAATAGTTACAAACACAATATTGGATTTATGGATAGAGCTAGTACATACAATACCTAAAGTCAATAATACGCACAGCGTTTCGGGCAAGGTGTGGGGAAAAGACACTTATACTAAAATTTAATACTAATTGATTTTAAAGTATAAATTGTGTTGAAAAAACGAATAAAAAAGGGGGGGAGAACATGGCAAAAATCAGAAATTATACAAGTTGGTCAACAAACAGCAGTTTTTGAAAATAACAAAACATAGGTTGACATTTAGGGGGTAAGGTTGGTTACATGGAGTTTATTAGGTAGTACTTAGTTTTTTTCTTGAACTGGTTGAGAGAGGTACAGCCTTTGACATGATTGGGAAGGTCATTCCACATTCTGGGTCCCTTGATTTGTAGAGCATTTCTAGTTTGGTTAAAGCGCACTTTTGGAACATCAAATAGGTATTTGTTTCTGGTGTGGTACCCATGGGTTCTGTTACAACCTTCTAGGAAGCATTGAAGGTCAGGATTGGCATTACAGTTCAGAGTTTTAAATATATAGAGTACACATGAGAGGATGTGCAGTGACTTAATATCTAACATATTTAAAGATTTAAGTAAGGGTATCGAATGCTGTCTGAGGCCAGAGGTAGATATTGTTCTAATAGCAGCTTTGTGTTGAGTAATTAGAGGACGTAAATGATTTTGGGTAGAAGAACCCCAAGCACAAATACCATAATTGAGATAAGGATATAGCGTCGCCAGGGCAGGGCGAGGTACATAATATCTTTTTTTTTTTTTTTTTTTTTTGAGATATATACAAGAGTTGTTACATTCTTGTACAGCCACTAGTACGCGTAGCGTTTCGGGCACGTCCTTAATCCTATGGTCCCTGGAATACGATCCCCTGCCGCGAAGAATCGTTTTTTCATCCAAGTACACATTTTACTGTTGCGTTAAACAGAGGCTACAGTTAAGGAATTGCGCCCAGTAAATCCTCCCCGGCCAGGATACGAACCCATGACATAGCGCTCGCGGAACGCCAGGCGAGTGTCTTACCACTACACCACGGAGACTGCTCTTAGAAAGAATGCCAACAGTTTTAAAGACTTTTTTATTGCTATATTTTGAATGTGACCCTGGAAATTCAGCTTGTTATCGATGAGGACACCAAGGAATTTACCATCTACTTTGTTACTACTTTGGATATTGTTTATTCTTAATTTAATGTGATCTGAGGATTTATTACCAAACAAAATACAGAAGGTTTTGTCAATATTAAGGGTGAGTTTGTTAACAGTTAGCCGAACATGGACTTTATTTAGTTCAGTATTCACTGTAACATTCAGAGCAAAAGGGCCAGGACTGGAGAAAATGAAGGTTGTGTCATCAGCAAATAAAATTGGTTTGAGATGTTGAGAGGCATTTGGAAGGTCATTAGTGTAGATGAGAAAGAGGAGAGGGCCAAGTATGCTGCCCTGTGGAACACCAATGTTGATGGGTAGGGTGGGAGAAATGGAATTATTCACAAAAACATACTAGAGCCTGTCACTAAGGTAAGACTGAAGGTATTGGAGGGCCCCACCCACCCACCAGACGACCCACTCACCCACCAGACGACCCACTCACCTACCAGACGACCCACTCACCCTCACCAGCTGGTTTACATCCCCTGCGACCTTCACTGGACTAATAAGAACAGTTAAACACAGAACAGCTTTTTTGTGTCCCACAAATAACATCTTCTCCCCAGAGATGTCCCTCCCCAGGGTGGATCCCTCCCCAGGGTGGATCCCTCCCCAGGGTGGATCCCTCCCCAGGGTGGATCCCTCCCCAGGGTGGATCACCCCCCAGGGTGGATCACCCCCCAGGGTGGATCCCTCCCCAGGGTGGATCTCCCGCCACTGATGGATCATGTACCACACCATAATCAGTGCCACCTAAAGAAGCCACCGAGTACTGACCAAGACGAGCACAATGATACTGAATTATAAGAAGAGGAATCAAGTATATATTTAATACTTTTTTTCCTGTGTTGCAAGGCAGGGAGGGAACTAGGACTGGCTTCAGCCAGGGCCACGCCCATCGTTGCTATGCGTCTCTACCCGGGGATGTCTGGCGGGGCCCCTAACCCCGGGGAAGTCTGGCGGGGCCCCTAACCCCGGGGGATGTCTGGTGGGCCCCTAACCCCGGGGAACTCTGGTGGGCCCCTAACCTCGGGGGATGTCTGGCGGACCCCTAACCCGTTACCTACGTACTCATCAATCAATCAAAACATTCGCAGTAAATGTCACTTCTTGCGTATTTATTTTGTTAAACAAAAGGCCCCGGCTACCAGTTTGCTTTGTTGATGCAGGAAGTGATCTTCTTGGTATTGTTATTAACAAGCTTAGGCAGGCGATGAGTCACAATAACGTGGCTAAAGTAAGTTGACCAGACCACACATTAGAAGGTGATGGGACGACGACGTTTCGGTCCGACCTGGACCATTCTCGAGTCGATCAACAATGGATCGATTTGAGAATGGTCCAGGACGGACCGAAACGTCGTCGTCCCTTCACCTTCTAGTGTGTTGTCTGGTCAATAAGCTTAGGTACACACAGCAATGTATTTCTTTCTACACTATTCTATATGAGGGATTACGGAAAGATCTCATAGATCAAGAGCTAGTTATATATCTGTGGGTAGTTTTTATTATTTATATCATTCTTTAATGGTGCGTGGTTAGTTATACAACAAGTTAGCTAGGCATGCGTGTTCCAGTTAGTAATTATTTGCCAAATATTCAGTGTTTATTCAATTTATTCACTTACAAAAAATTATTAATAATCTGGTCGGGTTCGCCAGAATTCGAAAGGGAACAGCTTTGCCAGGGTCATATTCAGACCCCATTACGATTGTTGGCCCTGCCCGCCAGCTACACGGGTAAATACTTTCGAGCCAAACTTTTCACAACAATTTTTTGATATAGTAATATGTTCTCTAATTGATTTATCTCTTATATATGCTTATCTCGGGTAAATGTATATAACTTTTTTGCTGTCAGTAATTTGTCCGTACTAGCATAAAACCAATCCATCCTCCGAATTGACATTACATTTTCTTACTGTTGAAAACAGTGCATAATTGCACTTATGGGGGTGTTACATTTACCCAACCCCCTCCCCCGATTTAATTCTCCTCGTTTTCTGTTAAGACACTCAGATATTTAGGAAGAAGTTTTTACTTTTAATTAGCTACATACAAGTTTTAAATATTAGGAATTTCTTTTTCAGTTTCATTAAACAATATAGATTTTATACAAAATTATAAAATATCTTGAGTTACTTTACAAGTTGTTGATATATTTTAGTTTTGTTTTATTAGTTTTATAAAACTGTAATATCAATATAGCTATAGGTTAAGTACTAATTGTAACTAAGAAGCAATAAAATTATTATCTTCAAAAACTAAGACGGTTAGGTGAGGTTGTGGTTTTCTATTCAGTTTTTCAGGTAAACTCAAATATTCACAATATATTTGACAGTACGATTTAATACTAAGTGAAAATAAGTACAATTCCTAACTGCTATGAATAGTACATAATTGCACTTATTTATCTTCTTACATTTACCACCCCATTTTTGGAGGACCGGCTGCATAAAACAGACAGAGAAAACCACTGCCATTTATCAGTTAGAGGGTAACTATACTTTTTTTAATATTTCACGCCACTGAGCTCCTCTTACTGCCGACCGCCCACATATTGGACAGAGACAGACCCACACACAGACAGTTGATGGATGGATAAACGAACAGGTGGATGAATAAATGGATGGATAAATGGATGTATACATTGATGGAGGTATAGACACGTGAATAGATGGATGGATAGACGGATAGATAGGTGGAAGGATAGATGAATAGTGTGATGGATAGATGGATTACTAGAGTGGTGGATAAGCGGATAGCCAGATGAGTTGGTGGATGAATAGATGGATAGATAGATAGGTGGATAGATAGATGGATGGATAGATGGATGGATAGTTATATGGATAAATGGACAGATTGAGGGATGGAACTTTAGATGAATGGGTAAATGAATACATTAGTGATGTGTAAATAGATGGCCTCACCCAGCTTTCCAAGATGACCCATGTTGGGTAGGGGAGTGTCAAAGGCCAGTCGGTGTTGGCCTAAGAGAAATGCTTTAGGAAATATTGACATTTATAAAGACTTAGTGATTTTCTCTGTTAATGGCATCTGTTGTTACCTGGCAACATCAGTAAAACATTGCTATTTTATATGATGTCACTAAACATAGCAGACCACGTCAAGACGGGAGTGATATCAAATACATCCTTGGGAAGCAGTTCAGGCAACAGGTTTGCACTTTTTTTGAGGTACGTTAAACACAAAGGAAAAATACATATTTACATTTCATCTGTTTATTTCCCAGAAAATATTTCATCTACATTGTCATGATTTTTCTGTATTTTCTTTCTTAAGACAAGAAAATATGTTTTATAGAGACACCAAATATATGGCGATGGCGTGAAGAAGATATTAAGGTGTTTATGAACAATGTGAACATATTGTGATCAAATAGAGTAAAGGAAACATTTACACAGAAAAGTATGATTCTTGGAGAGGAGCACCTCAACGACTGCAAGACGGGAAGGGAAGGTCATCTGGAGCGCTGTGATCGGGTCTAATATTCTGAAGGCTTCTGGAGGAGGTGTCCGTCGGAGAGGACTATTCCAGCGGGTCCGTTCAGATCCAGGAGGTGAGCATGTCGAAGTGTCCAGTAATATGTCACTAGACGCGGTACAGACCCGATGTCAACTGGACGTTCTTGCCAGACTTAGTCACGATACCGGATGCTCCGATGGCGACAATATCATGGGAGAAGTCCCCTGAGAAGGCGTCGACGGTGCCATCAGCTCGCACAATACCCGAGTAGCCAACGCTGCCCTCAGGACGAGTAAATCCAGCATAATAAGCTCGCCTCACCCTGTGGAGGTTACTGTCGAGCTGCACATTAGCTCCAGACTTGGTCACGATCCCAGAGGGTCCGATGGCCACAATGTCACGGGTGAAGTCGCCTGTGAAGCCTTCGATGGTGCCATCTCTGCGCACAATACCAGAGAGGCCGATGCTACCAGCAGGGACCACCCACCCCGGGTTGGAGTAGGTGGGGAGGGCGCTCGCCGCTGCCAACAATGCTGAGACCAAAATCTGCACAAACAACAATCACATAATATATTATGCACTATTTTCTAAAATTATATGTTAGGCACAAGATTGGGAGCTTACATTTGTTTAAAGAATATATGTATTAGCAAGTAGGTGTGTTGATGCATTAGTCGTGGTACTCACCAAGAACTTCATAACTGCTGGCGAGGATTGTCTGTGCTGGAGGAGAGTCGAGTTGTGTGTTTCTGACCACACCCGCTGTGCCTTATATACCCGCTGGCCCCACCTCTGTCCTCCAACCAACACCTGGATGATATTGCTTACGCTAGCCCAAGGTCTCGACTGGTTGTAAGGTCGACCGCTGTTGACAGAGAACACCATATTTTGAACATCACAGTGGTCCGACCAGATTGACTGATTGATATAGATTAAGCCACCCAAGAGGTGGCACGGGCATGAATTGCCTGTAAGTGGAGGCTGTTTGGAGCCATTACCAATACCAGGAGCAGATACTGTAGATCTGTGGATGGATGAGGTCTTCATGGTCGCTCGCAGTTTATGTCCTGCAGGAGGCTAGGCTGGTCGGGTAGGTGGCTTATGGATGGATGCGTCGCGTGTCGTCTACTGTCCTCAGCTTAATTCGGCGTTTCTTCGTCGTGCCGTCGACCGCGTTGTCGTCGGGGTCGTCGTGGAATTCCAGCTGTCCGTCGGGGTAGACCTTGCAGTACTCGGGGTCGTAGTATTCCTTGCGTAGTATTGAGAGGTCGATGCAGTACTGTATGGTTTCGGCGTCCATATTCCTTGAAGCTCCGGAGTCAGCTGAAGTGTGGGAGGAGTGCAGCCTAAGGTGGACCGACCCGATGACCATGTACTTATGTACACTTCTGCCGCCGACCACATGGTCGAGTAGAAGGCGTAAAATGGAGAAGTATTCGTTACGTAGATCACAGACTTCTTGTACAGCACCACACTTGACCTTGCTATTCTAATGCGATGATCATTTTCATGTAACACTTGCTATTCAGAGCAAATGCTTGCTATTCTGAGGAAACACTTGCTGTTTTGATGCAATTCGTGCCATAAAGATGCAGTTCGTGCCCTAATGATGCAACTCTTACAATAATGATGAAACGCTTGCCATTTCCATGCAATGCTTACCAATTTGATGCAAAGCTTGCCATTTTGATGCAAAGCTTGCCATTTTGATGCAAAGCTTGCCATTTTGATGCAAAACTTGCCATTTGATGCAATGCTTCCTATTTTGACGCAATGCTTACTTTTTTAATACAACGCTTGCCATTTTGATGTAGTTCTTCCCATTTTTCATGCAACAATTGCCATTTTGATGAAATACTTGCCATTTTGATGCAATGCTTGCCATAGTGGTGCAACATTTGCAATTTTACTGTAACACTTGCCATTTTGAAGCAATGCTTGTCATTTCCAGATAACATTTGTCAATTTGATGCAATGCTTAGGATGTTGATGTAATGCTTGCGATAACAAGTTACTTGCGACAGGTTACCCTGACAGAAAATATAACTGTCATAACTATCGACAAAATAAAGTATATACTTTTGTACTATTTGCCTTGTGACCAATTTCGTTGCTCTCAGATATTAGACATATTGCTGAAGTGTAATATATTGTCCAATCAAAAAACAAATCTTTTATGGCATAATAACTTAAAGGCGTGAACAACCTATGAAAAATACAAAATCTTCTCCCTATCTCTCACATAAAACAGACTACTCCTTCCAAACCTTCAAAGGTTTCTCAAGCCAATGCCATTCATCAGAGTTAGAGGGTAATTATAATTTATTTTAGTATTTCACACCACTGAGCTCCTCTTACTGCCGACCACCCACACATTGGACTGAGACAGACAGACACACAGACAGTTGATGGATGGATAAATGAACAGGTAGATGAATAATGGATGGATAGATGGATGTATAGATCGATAGAGGTATAGATAGACAGATGACTGAATGGATGGATAGACGGATAGCCAGATGAGTAGGTGGATGGATAGAAAGATGAATAGGTGGATGGATAGAGAGATGAATAGGTGGATGGATAGAGAGATGAATAGGTGGATGGATAGAGAGATGAATAGGTGGATAGATAGATGGATGGATTGATAGTTATATGGATAAATGGACAGATTGATGGATGGATATTAAGATGAATTGGTAAATGAATAGATAAATGAATGTGTAGGTAGATAGATAGATTGACATATAAAAAGATGGATAAATGGATGGATGGATAGACGAATAGATATAGATGAATATATGGGTAGATGGATAGTTTAATAGATAGATAGATAGATTAATAAATCGACGGATAGATTAATATATGAATAAATAAGATGCATAGATATAATGCATAGATATATGCATAGAGGATAGATTAATAGATAGATGTACTGATAAGATGGACAGATAGATTGATAAGATAGATAGATGGATTGATAAGATGGATAGTTGGATTGATAAGATGAATAGAGAGACAGATGTGACAGAGACAGACAGAACCAGACAACTCCGGGTACCTCCCTAGTCTATATCCATAAAATAGAATGTATGTCTGTGTCTGTCCGAGGTTGGAGACCAGACGCTCGCGGCTAGCCTCACCCAACTTTCCAAGATGACCCATGTTGAGTAGGGGAGTGTCAAAAGCCAGTCGGTGTTGGCACAGGATAAAAATGCTTTAGGAAATATTGGCATTTATAAAGACTTTTGATTTTCTCAGTTGGTGGCATCTGTTGTTACCTGGCAACATCAATAAAACATTGTTATTTTATATGATGTTGTCACTAAACATAGCAGATCACGTCATGATGGGATTGACATCAAATACATCCTTGGGAAGCAGTTCAGGCAGCAGGTTTATACTTTTCTTGAGGTACGTTAAACACAAAGGAAAAATACATATTTATATTTCATCTATTTATTTCGCAGAAAATATGTCTTTAGTTACATTATAATGATATTTGTATTGTTCTTTTAAGACAAGAAAATGTTTTATAGAGACACCAAATATATGGCGATGGCGTGAAGAAGATATTAAGGTGTTTATGAACAATGTGAACATATTGTGATCAAATAGAGTAAAGGAAACATTTACACAGAAAAGTATGATTCTTGGAGAGGAGCACCTCAACGACTGCAAGACGGGAAGGGAAGGTCATCTGGAGCGCTGTGGTCGGGTCTAATATTCTGAAGGCTTCTGGAGGAGGTGTCCGTCGGAGAGCACTATTCCAGCGGGTCCGTTCAGATCCAGGAGGTGAGCATGTCGAAGTGTCCAGTAACATGTCACTAGACGCGGTACAGACCCGATGTCAACTGGACGTTCTTGCCAGACTTAGTCACGATACCGGATGCTCCGATGGCGACAATATCATGGGAGAAGTCCCCTGAGAAGGCGTCGACGGTGCCATCAGCTCGCACAATACCCGAGTAACCAACGCTGCCCTCAGGACGAGTAAATCCAGCATAATCTCGCCTCACCCTGTGGAGGTTATTGTCGAGCTGCACATTCTTGCCAGACTTTGTCACGATACCGGAAGGTCCGATGGCGACAATATCATGGGAGAAGTCCCCTGAGAAGGCGTCGACGGTGCCATCAGCTCGCACAATACCCGAGTAGCCAACGCTGCCCTCAGGACGAGTAAATCCAGCATAATAAGCTCGCCTCACCCTGTGGAGGTTACTGTCGAGCTGCACATTCTTGCCAGACTTTGTCACGATACCGGAAGGTCCGATGGCGACAATATCATGGGAGAAGTCCCCTGAGAAGGCGTCGACGGTGCTATCAGCTCGCACAATACCCGAGTAGCCAACGCTGCCCTCAGGACGAGTAAATCCAGCATAATAAGCTCGCCTCACCCTGTGGAGGTTACTGTCGAGCTGCACATTAGCTCCAGACTTGGTCACGATCCCAGAGGGTCCGATGGCCACAATGTCACGGGTGAAGTCGCCTGTGAAGCCTTCGATGGTGCCATCTCTGCGCACAATACCAGAGAGGCCGATGCTACCAGCAGGGACCACCCACCCCGGGTTGGAGTAGGTGGGGAGGGCGCTCGCCGCTGCCAACAATGCTGAGACCAAAATCTGCACAAACAACAATCACATAATATATTATGCACTATTTTCTAAAATTATTTGTTAGGCACAAGATTGAGAGCTTACATTTGCTTAAAGAATATATAAAGCAAGTAGGTACATTAGTCGTGGTACTCACCAAGAACTTCATAACTGCTGGCGAGGATTGTCTGTGCTGGAGGAGAGTCGAGTTGTGTGTTTCTGACCACACCCGCTGTGCCTTATATACCCGCTGGCCCCACCTCTGTCCTCCAACCAACACCTGGATGATATTGCTTGCGCTAGCCCAAGGTCTCGACTGGTTGTAAGGTCGACCGCTGTTGACAGAGAACACCATAATTTGAACATCACATTGGACGACCCGATTGACTGATTGATAGAGATCAAGCCACCCAAGAGGAGGCACGGGCATGAATAGCCTGCAAGTAGAGGCTGTTTGGAGCCATTACCAATACCAGGAGCAGATACTGTAGATCTGTGGATGGATGGGGTCTTCATGGTCGCTCGCAGTTTATGTCCTGCAGGAGGCTAGGCTGGTCGGGTAGGTGGCTTATGGATGGATGCGTCGCGTGTCGTCTACTGTCCTCAGCTTAAGGCGTTTCTTCGTCGTGCCGTCGACCGCGTTGTCGTCGGGGTCGTCGTGGAATTCCAGCTGTCCGTCGGGGTAGATCTTGCAGTACTCGGGGTCGTAGTATTCCTTGCGTAGTATTGAGAGGTCGATGCAGTACTGTATGGTTTCGGCGTCCATATTCCTTGAAGCTCCGGAGTCAGCTGAAGTGTGGGAGGAGTGCAGCCTAAGGTGGACCGACCCGATGACCATGTACTTATGTACACTTCTGCCCCCGACCACATGGTCGAGTAGAAGGCGTAAAATGGAGAAGTATTCGTTACGTAGATCACAGACGTCTTGTATAACACCAAACTCGACCTTGCTATTCTAATGCGATGCTTGTCATTTTCAGGCAACACTTGCTATTCTATGGGAACACTTGCTATTTTGATGCAATGCGTGCCATAATAATACAACGCTTCCCATTGTTATGCAACTCTTGACATTTTAATGCAATGCTTGCCACTTTGAAGCATCTTTTGTCAATTTGATGCAATGCTTAGGATGTTGATGTAATGCTTGCGATAACAAGTTACTTGCGACAGGTTACCCTGACAGAAAATATAACTGTCATAACTATCGACAAAATAAAATATATACTTTTGTACTATTTGCCTTGTGACCAATTTTGTTGCTCTCAGATATTAGACATATTGCTGAAGTGTAATATATTGTCCAATCAAAAAACAAATCTTTTATGGCATAATACCTTAAAGGCGTGAACAAGAAACCTATGAAAATACAGAATCTTCTCCCAATCTCTACTTGTGTAAAGGAGGAAATGTATATGTTTATCTCTCAGAATGTTTGGTAATATGTTTATTGCTTGTGATGTGTGTCTATGTATGTATTAACACGATGTACTGAACGGGTTGAGAATAGCTTGCGTTACCTCATCCCTTTGTGTGTATTTTACCTCAATAAATTTATTTCAATTTCAATTTCTCCTTATCTCCGCCGCTCCATCCCTTATACCCCCCCCCCCCCATCCTCCATCAATCTCTGGTTAGACTCTCTCCTTTTCCCCATATCCTCGAAATCCCATGATCGCTCCCCCAATCCCCGCCCTCTCATCTACCCTGCCTAATTCTCTCAATCCCCCCATCCACCCATATTGACTCTTCCACGGCAACCCTCCAAATCAACCAATCCCCACCACCTGTGTCATAAGTCTGATTATGAATATCAAATTGACACAAGACGAGTGGCGATCAACTGACCTTTAATACCACCAATAAAATATCTTATTCTCTTTGGGCAAGACAGTTATTGGATCCCATCCCCGAGGTGGGCCAGCGGGTATATAAGGCTGAGTGGGTGTGGTCAGGAGCACACACCTTGACTGTCCTCCTCCACAGACACTTCGCCAGCAGCCATGAGGTTCTTGGTCAGTATCTCCACTCAAGATATACACAAAGAGGTGCTTCACGCCTCTCCGTGTATACACTGAGAATTTACTACAGTACTCTTGCCGGTTAATCAGTAAGCTATTGTGTTATCCTTATATTATACTATACTATATATATATATATATATATATATATATATATATATATATATATATATATATATATATATATATATATATATATATCGTGCCTAATAGCCAGACCGCACTACACGGCCTAGTATGCAAGGCACGATTTGCCTAATAAGCAGTGATTTTCGTTAGTTTCAAAAATTTGTTTCCAATTGGTTTACTTGAATTAATATTAATACATTATATTAGGAATATGAATGCCCTTTGAGGCAGCTCTTGTACTTGTTGATAGGTAATATATCTGGTTAACTAAATTTAGAAAATAATACATTGTACGTTATATGATTGTTGTTTGTGCAGATTTTGGTCTCAGCATTGTTGGCAGCGGCGAGCGCCCTCCCCACCTACTCAAACCCGGGGTGGGTGGTCCCTGCTGGTAGCATCGGCCTCTCTGGTATTGTGCGCAGAGATGGCACCATCGAAGGCTTCACAGGCGACTTCACCCGTGACATTGTGGCCATCGGACCCTCTGGGATCGTGACCAAGTCTGGAGCTAATGTGCAGCTCGACAGTAACCTCCACAGGGTGAGGCGAGCTTATTATGCTGGATTTACTCGTCCTGAGGGCAGCGTTGGCTACTCTGGTATTGTGCGAGCTGATGGCACCGTCGACGCCTTCTCAGGGGACTTCTCCCATGATATTGTCGCCATCGGACCTTCCGGTATCGTGACAAAGTCTGGCAAGAATGTGCAGCTCGACAGTAACCTCCACAGAGTGAGGCGAGATTATGCTGGATTTACTCGTCCTGAGGGCAGCGTTGGTTACTCTGGTATTGTACGAGCTGATGGCACCGTCGACGCCTTCTCAGGGGACTTCTCCCATGATATTGTCGCCATCGGAGCATCCGGTATCGTGACTAAATCTGGCAAGAACGTCCAGTTGACATCGGGTCTGTACCGCGTCTAGTGACATGTTACTGGACACTTCGACATGCTCACCTCCTGGATCTGAACGGACCCGCTGGAATAGTCCTCTCCGACGGACACCTCCTCCAGAAGCCATCAGAATATTAGACCCGACCACAGCGCTCCAGATGACCTTCCCTTCCCGTCTTGCAGTCGTTGAGGTGCTCCTCTCCAAGAATCATACTTTTCTGTGTAAATGTTTCCTTTACTCTATTTGATCACAATATGTTCACATTGTTCATAAACACCTTAATATCTTCTTCACGCCATCGCCATATATTTGGTGTCTCTATAAAACATATTTTCTTGTCTTAAAAGAACAATACAAATATCATTATAATGTAACTAAAGACATATTTTCTGCGAAATAAATAGATGAAATATAAATATGTATTTTTCCTTTGTGTTTAACGTACCTCAAGAAAAGTATAAACCTGCTGCCTGAACTGCTTCCCATGGATGTATTTGATGTCAATCCCATCATGACGTGGTCTGCTATGTTTAGTGACAACATCATATAAAATAACAATGTTTTATTGATGTTGCCAGGTAACAACAGATGCCACCAACTGAGAAAATCAAAAGTCTTTATAAATGCCAATATTTCCTAAAGCATTTTTATCCTGTGCCAACACCGACTGGCTTTTGACACTCCCCTACTCAACATGGGTCATCTTGGAAAGTTGGGTGAGGCTAGCCGCGAGCGTCTGGCCTCCAGCCTCGGGCAAACACAGACATTCTATTATATAAATATAAATTAGAAAGATAATAATCTGAGAATATCTGGTGTTCCTCAGATTTAGTACAATGCAAGATTATAAGGAAGGGGAGATGGTACAGCCCGCTCTTCAAGCCAGACTGAGGCTGGTTGCCGGTTGGAGAGCACATCGTGCGTTCACAAGAACAGTCAAGCATTGTTTTATTTAATGTGGGAGAAGTCGTGGTTTGACGAAGCGCCTAGGTCTACATACCTAGACCCCCGTTCGTGCCTCCAGCGTCATTTTAAGCATCGTACATCGTACCAGGAGGAAATTTGAACTCACTGGGCCAAGTTATTCATGTGGGTCCGTAGAATTACGCAAAACTTCGAAACATTGCGTAAATCAAGACAAAATTAAATATAATTGTTTATTATATTAGTAAAGAATGTGGAAAGTAATAAGCCTAATTTTACTATGAAATATGCTCATATTATAATGAAATAAGACCAGTATACTGACGAGTGACGAAAAAGGAAGTCAGCAATTTGAGCGAATCGTTGGCTTCCTTTTCGTCACCTGCCACTTATTTTCGTGGAATTTTGTTATCAAATGAGATTATTTCCACGGAGAATTAAGCTTATTCATGTTCTACATTCAGGACTATTCTAAATTAAAAATTATTGTCTTTATTTAAGGGAATTACAGCAAGGGGAATTGGATAAATTCAGTGACACTTTTAGAAGGATTTACATGACTTATCTGTCCAATTGAATTAAATAATAAAAATCTGCCAATAAAAGAAGTAAATAAACTGAATAAGGTGTTTGATAAGATAAGGACGCCACACTAGTGCAGCATATTCCAGAACTGTCTGATATATGTGGTAAATAAGGCTGAGAATGAGAAAGATTACTTACTAAAGTTTCTATAGGCAATTATTATGTTAACCAGCCTAGCATACACGCCTGATGATTTGTGTTTGATGTCGGCTTCAGGAGACAGATTCGGTGCAATATCAACCAATAGGTTTTTTCCTTTCTACTGTAAGAAAGGCCTCTGATTAAGATACTATATCTGTAAGATTACAGTGAATAAGTAAGGTTATTTAGGTTAAAAAATCCAAGAGCAGAAGATGGTTCAATCGCATCCTGCAGACATGATCCACACAGCCGTACCTCCATAGCAAAAAAACTGGACCTAGTTGGAGGTCATCTGTAGCATCAGGGAGAACCTCTGAATGTTGAAGGTTAACAATTCGGCCTTCACAGATGTCCCGGCCTAGTTGTCGTCACAATGTTTTGCATCCTTCGCTTTTTCTTCCTCTTCTCCCTCCTCCTCCACTCTGTACAGTGTTCAGGTTGCGTCTTTTGTAAAGCGGGTGAATTTTTAATGCCGCTTTACATAGTATAATGATGAACTTCATTTACATATCTGATCATTCGTGTGTACAACTTTAAGAGCTTCTGGTAATATAATGAATATACTATATGAATAACTACATAAATAAATAAAAACGAGTCACAGCTCATGAACTCTGGTCTATTAAATCGGAGAAATATATAATAACAACGTGATGGTAATTATCAGGAGAGAACGCTAAGACAATATGAATATGTAGCACTAGGGTGAGAAATAAATACAAGCAGCTAGGACACGAGAATGAACGCAAGGTGCCCAACCACTTAGACCACTGGGGATCGAACGCCGACTCTACACGAGTAAATGGCGTGTTTGTACGGTCCAAGAGTAGGTAAATGAAATGAAAATGAGAGCACAGTAAGGAGTGGGTAAGAGTGTGTTGGCAAGGTAATTGGGGCAGGCGACCACGCCTAAACCAGCCCCTCTTGACATCACTAACCAGTTCTGTGCTCCTCGAGCTCCCGCTACATATTCTTGTCCAACTACTGCCCTTTCGCAAAGGATAGCAAGAGCAAGAACACGAGACATGCATCTTGGATATTGTAGTGGAAGCTCTCCAAGGACCTTGTTTTTGTTTTGTCCATCACTGCAAATTTCCGTTGTATACAAGTGCATCAAATGACCATGGGGCTGCAGGGGAATCTTATTTTCTGCAAAGATTTCCCCGGCTACAACGAATGAAAATAATGGATCATAACGCATCTTAGCGTTCCAGTGAATTAAATAATACTGATGATATATCTAGTCGTCATAATATATTTAGTGTTCTGGTTACAAGGATAGTAGCATACAAACGGCGAGCATCACTGAGTGGGCGTCAAATACCAGAGGTGAGAGATGGTGGGATGGGCAGAGGTGCCAGTGCCGGGGCAGCGAGGCATCATCCACACCCATCTGCCGCACATCATACCCATCCTCCCCCCGACCACTCCAAGTCTTACCTACACCATCATAAACAATATTCGCGTATGTTTTAGTTTTGTTTTAATAAATAATACAAGATAAATGTTTAAGATTGTTGTTTCCTCCATCTTTGCTTTAATGTCTCAGCAAGCCAGTGAGACGAGCGATCTCAATTACAAGAAAAGCATTTAGCACAAGGACATTCAGGCCTCCGAACCCTGAATACGTGAATTAAAGAATATACAGAGAAACCTTCTAGTGACGCACACCTGTGGTTGATAATAGAGTAGTAGTAAGCCGCGGTGAGGGACCCAGTGTTGCCCGCCCGAAGAACCACGGCAACTCTCCCAAACACCCCAGATGAATGAAATGTTATTCCTATGCAATTGTGGTTTGCAATCTATATAATCTGTGCAATAGGGATGGGAAACTGCTCACTACTTCTGGTAGTGAGCAATACACACTCTTCGGGTGTACCCGGCGTTGCCCGTGTCTGCCTGTCCCACATCTATCCATATATCTATCGACCTATTTTTTTCCATCTTTCTGTCCATCTATCTATCCACCTGTCTATTCATCTATCTATCTATCCCCTTGTGTCACCCGCCTCTCCCCTTCTCTTTGAAAATATATTAAGAGCCACAAACAACTGTATGGATCTAAGAAATTATACTGTTACGACATGTAACTCCACGTTAATCACACGTCACATTTTACACTTGACTACTTGAAAAGACTGTGAAAATCGCCTAGGGGTATTAGTTAATAATATTTCATAAAGCACTTAACTTAGGCCTGTCCTGACCAGCCTATGTCCATCCCCAACTCCAGACCATTTCCCCAGTAAATTTGGGTGAGGCTAGCCCAACGTGTCTGGCCTCCAACTTAGGACAGAGTAAAAAAACTGTACGCGTGAGTTGGTGTCGGACTTTTTGTCTCATAAAATCTAGATTCTCATTACAAAGTATTCAGATTATGATAAATAATTCAAAATGCGTGCAATATTACTTATTCATTGGTAAACAAAAATCAAAGGCTGAGAATGATTGTTTGGACACAATGATCATGGCTTGAATGTCACGACACCCGGGGAGGAACCGTTGCTGGCAAAGAGCAGTGGTCTAGCCACACATCATTAGCTTGGCCCGCCTGCATATTTTACAAACAAGGTTTTTGGACGATTGTTGTCATCCCAGGTGGCACGGACAGCAGGCGTCCTTGAAGCCTCATCCTGTCTCCCCCAAATTTTCTCACCACCATCTGTCACATTGACTGTCAGTTGCTCACCACCTCATGCTAAATTAAAATGTCAAATTAAACTGTCAGTTGCTCAACACTACATGTAACCGTTGTTAGGTACAGTCATTTTAGGCCTAATTTTGTATATAAGCATTTTTGTATAAAGTGTATCATTCACTATTATTGTTAACGTAAATTAACTTGTATATATTTTATAATTAACTTGTGTATATTTTTGCCTTTGTGTAAAGACCAAGTGGTTCAGGGTTTCTTGTCATTAATTATTTATTATTATTTTCTGTACAATTCAAGTAAATTTTTGTTAAGTTTTGGTAAAGTAAAATATTTAAAGTGTTTCTTTTCTTGTTTAATTCCCGTGACTTACACACCGTAAAGGATTGGCAGTTTTATTTCATTTTGGTTTTATTAATGTGCGTTTGGCACAGAACACCTGCCAGGATAGTAGCTGCGGTATCACCGAGCACGTCACACTATGCTAAAGCTTTTGATACGCTTTAAAAGATTAGGAAGAAAATTACAGGTACATGGAATAATTAGTACAATACTAGAATGGATAAAACAATAGTTAAAACAAAGGGTCGTGCTAAACGGGAATGAATCTGACTTGAGAAATGTGGTGAGTAGGGTACCATTTTGGGGCCAACCCTCTTTTTGCCATATACATCAATGACATAGATGAGGCTATTACAAACCACATCATCAAATTTTCTAAGATGACTAAGATTTATTGTAAAATGGGAAGTGAAAATGATATTGAGGCCTTACAAAGAGATCTACGTGAACTTCACAAATGGTCAGAAGACTGGCAAATGCTTTTTAATATCCATAATTGCAAGACCTTGCATGTAGGGCATTACAATCCAGGTCACAACTACCAAATTAACAGCATTAACTTGCAGAAGATTAATGAAGAAAACGACCTGGGAGTCAGAATCCATCAGTCACTTAAAGTTGCACAACAAGTGGGAGCGGCAGTAAAAAAAAAAGCTAACCAAACCCTAGGAATAATCAAGCGTACCTTAAATTTAACTTTAAGGACAAAAAGATAGTCATTCAATTGTATAAATCGCTGGTGCGCCCTCACCTGGATTATTGCATCTAGGCATAGAGACAGTCTTCAGAAAAACATATAACTTCATTGGAGAAAGTTCAACACCGGCCACAACAAAAAATCCCAGAACAAAGTAAACTCTCATACCAGGATAGGTTGAGGGCCACAAGGCTACCAACACTGCAAACCAGACATGATAGGGCTCATCTCGTCGAAACGTTCAAAATACTGAAAAATTTGAGAATGTTGATCTAGACAACTTCTTCCAAAGGTCAGATGTAACGAAAACAAGGAGTAACGGTTTCAAGCTCAACAAGCCACGGTGTAGGACCGAAAACAGATACTTTTTCACTCAAAGGGGGGTTTCAATCCTGTGTGTTGAAAAGGCGCTTTGGCTGTTTCCCACCCATGGAACTGCCTACCCGCAGAAGCCGTAAATGCCAAAACTCTGCTGAACTTTAAAAAATCATCAGGACAAATGGGGGACCTATGACAACACGCCGGCTTCCTGTCCTCATCGAGGTCACTAGAGTGTTAGTGGCCCTCAGGTAAATTTAATCTTTAAAATTATTGATATAATTTCATCAATTAATTGTAACAATCTAAATTGTGTATTTCTTAAAGTGATAATTCAATTTGTAACTAAAAAACTTTAAACCTGCCCTACAGAATACAGCGTACTGTCCTTTTAATTATGTGTCACCCCCCCCCCCGTAATTACATATATTTAAAATTGCCCCCCCCCCCCGTAATTACATATATTTAAAATTGCCCCCCCCCCCCCACCGTAATTACATATATTTAAGATTGCCCCCCCCCCCGTAATTACATATATTTAAGATTGAGTCTAACCGTCATATTATATGACATATTTACTCATTTAGAATATCTCTCTCCCTCTGGAACATAAATTTAATTCAATAATGGTTTATTGCTTATAATAAAATACAAACGTGCGAACTATATAATTAGTCTACTGATATCCAATAACACAGTAACGCTGATTCAATGTTCATTTAACGTTACTCTTTGATATCGAGTCCACTGGAAAGTAACAGGCCATGCATGATAAATATATAGTAACATCAGTGTATCACATCAAATACGTACCGAAGATGGGTGAAGTCTGCAACATGCTCTCAGTTCTTTGCATCCAACGTTCAACATTCAGAGTAGTTTAAATCAGTTCTCCCCGTTAAACGTTACCAGGAAGGGTAGACACGCATCTACATCACCAATCAGGAGCAATTATAAGCTCAACGCTCACTTTTTCACAGTAAATCTTCCGCCACCATGAAAACAATCAAACGAGCCCCAAAATCATATAAAGGAAGTGTCAAATCACTTTCTCTCTAAACTTTATTTCGTCAACAGAAGGGAGCAAAATTAATTCCTGAATTTACCTGAGGGTCACTAACATTAGTGGCCTCGATGAGGACAGGAAGCCGGTGGCTTGTCGAAGGTCCCACCATTTGCCTTGATGATCTTTTCTAGTTGGATTTTAATTCAAACTAATTCGCCAGAGCGACTTTCCTGTCCAGAAACTGTAGCGTCACTAATTAGTAATTCGAAGGGTTATTAGAAGTTAACTTGGAATTAAGTTTGGAGTACACTACCACCTAATTACGGGCGGTATTAAGGGGGCAGGGGAGTTAAGGGAGAAGTGTTTCGAAACACTAAGAGGAAGTTGACTCGTTTTCGGAGTGAGGGGAAAGTACTGTGTAGGAACAGTGTCTCTGAACACTGACCAAGAGGAATTTTGGGGGAACTGAGAATAAAATATCTAAGAACATTGAACACTGAGGGTAAGTGTATTGAAGCACTGAGTACGAAGTGAGTCGAAGCAATGAAAGTGAAGTGTGTTGAAGCACTGAACAGTTCGAGTTAATGATGTAAACAAACTGGTGTGGGAGCTGGAAAATGTTCTCATTCTTGAGACACCTGTAGCTTGTAACGTATGTTCACTCTTAGTTTATGTTGTATATAGAATACTTAAAACAAGGGTTGTAAGGTTGCCTGTATAGTACGACCAAAGTGTGTGTTTACAGGTCGGTGATTATTTTACCCGTTACGTTTACCGCCAACTTTAATTTCGTTTTTCCGTAGCTAATATTGTATTAGGGTCTTCAGAATTTTCAGCACTATATATAGCTGCTCATCTTGCATCTTACACGCTATTTTTAGATTTTTTGTATGCTAAATAGTTTATTTTAGTATTGTAACCTTACCTAACCAAATATTTCAACACAGTATGGGTTAGTAATGTAAGCACTTTGTGTGTATCTAACCAAACTTGTGGAGTTTGCTCACAACTTAATGAACCCAAGTTTACAAACAGGGCGAGACGCTGTGGCACATTTTCATGCAGTGGATGACTCTGTTTGCCTGTCAGCAAATAGACACCTGAGAATTTGGCAACTTCTGTGTTGAATCCTGGGAAAGGTCAGATGTTAGCTTAGAGGTACTTTAGCAAGCTTAAGAGCTTTCTGTTCCAAATAATGGGAGGATAGATAACAGGCGATGCTTTTTTGTAAATAGGGTAATACAGTACTCATCAAATTGTCTACCTGCCAAAGCCGTAAATGCCAAGGCATTACTTAAGTTTAAAATTCAGCTGGAAAAAATCCTCAGGAATAATGGGGTGATCTTTGATAAACTGCCAGATCTGTTCCTGCCCCTGTCATGTCCATTAGAGTCGGTGGTCCTTAAGTAAATTCCGAATGTGTTTGTTTTGCTGGATGTAGATTACAGTGGTATTTTGGCAAAAGTACTATAAGGGAAAACATATTTCACTTTCTGAGAGCTAACTCAAGAATTGAATGAATGCAGGCAATGACTCGTCACCTAACCTAAGAATGGTGGATGTGTTGAATACAAGTCCATGAAGTGCGTGACTACTTAGATGATCAAACAGTTATCACAGGTCTGTCTAGTTAACCAAAGATACCCAAAGCCTCCTAGTATTACATAAGTAATGAAGAAATATGACATATTTACTCTTTATAAAGTTGGTACTGCATGTAGACCATTAAAAAACTTTTTTTTATCTTAAATAATATATTTATTTATTTATTTATATACAAGAAGGTACATTGGGTTTGTGAGAATACATAGCATGGTATTTACAATCTTGTAAAGCCACTAGTATGCGCAGCGTTATATAATTTTATAACAAAATTAGACGAAACTAGGTGGCAGGGGACACTAGATAGTCGACAATCCAAGCAACAGTGTTGTAGGTTTGTGTAATTAGATGGACTCGATTTCGTTATAAAATATTATTTTAGTTATTACTCGAATGTTTTGCGCTTGGCTAGAGGGACCTCTTCTTTCCCTGGATAGACTTTGTCATATAGCACGAAGTATTTATCATTTTGAACACCTGTTAGGCTTATCAAAGTCCCCTCAAGGCAAGTGACTGACATTCTCCAGGATGCACCCAACACAGTTGACTAACTTCTAGGTACCTGTATCTATATACTTTTTTTATTTTTTTTTTTTTTTTATTATTTTCTACCACAGACGTGGCCACACATTTACAATGCTAACCAGCATATATACATTTTCTTCTGTCCTCCATGGACAGGGTTAGAGAAGTGTTAAACATACAGTTCAAGGGTTTATTGAACACTCAACCACAGAAGGTGATTCGGTGCACTTAAAATGCTAAGCTAACCTACATACGTAAATACAAAGATACACAGATTTACGTACGCCCTACATAAAGTATTAGATGTGTCTTTTACATAGTGTCATTAATGTACATTCACAAAGGTGAAATGTAATTCTGATCAGCTTCCATATATGCTTTATACCCATACATATACATACACACACACACATACATACATACATATATACACACATACACTGTTAGGTGAACACATGCAACATGTTTTTGGAAATATAGCCAGATGTCTAACCCTGCCTGGGAAATGAACTCATTTTCCAATTGGTTGTGAGCAGATTGTGTCTAACTGCTGCACAATAGGCTGCTATCTATTGCACAGTTACAGTCCAGTAACTTTGGATGTGGAAATTAAGATATATTATGTTTTATTGTATTTATATTTTTTAATTTAAGCTAGAATATTCAATGCTAGTTTCCTGGGTAAAACATTGGCTCCCTTCTGTTTGGCTACAGCACCTTATTTCACATATTCTATCCAATAAAATTTGTGACCACTCAACACCTGATTGTCCAAGATATTTGTGTGTCCACTTGCTATACAGCCATACTGGTTTAGCATATATTTTTCATAATTGTGACTCCATCATCAAAGCTTTTTGAACATTCATGGATCCACAATTTTGCTAAAATGATGAACCCAGTAAATGTCTATAAATTAATATGGAAATTCCCTAAAATTAATTGTTATGAATGTTGTTATTGTTTTAAGATTATATGTATGACTTGGGTAGAGTAGACCTAAGTAGATATAAGCACAAGTACAGTACTAGAAACTGTAAAATTGACCTCACCACCCCTTTCACCTCCTTGACCTTCAAAGTGACCTCAGCCTTCTCATTTCTTATTCTTTATGAACACTGGCCCTGTGTGTATTAGTTTTCGTTAAATATTTTCAGGTGAAACATTACTGTAACGCCAAATAAAGTTGCCTCAACTTGGTGTCTCTAGTTGTGTACAGGTATGTGGATATGATCACTGATGAGTTTCTTTAATACGTTACTATTGTATTGGTGGGCAGTTTTACTCTGGTATTCATGTGCATAATTTATTACAGTTGTCATAGTGCAGGAGCTGAAAATGTCAAAAACTTATCCTTAAATACAGTACATGTATAGTGTATCTGTATCAAGATACAGTATATGGTTTTCATTGTGTAGTCTTGCCCAGTTAATATGCAATTGAAAAAATGTAATAAAGATTTCAGTATACTGTATATTGATTGTCAAAAATTAATACCTGTACAGTATATATATTTTTTCTTTTGTTAGAATCGTTTTGCAACTTTAGTAAACTATGGATGCTACGGACACAGAAGAATTTTCTGATGGTGACAGTGCAGGAGGAGGAGATGTCAGAAATCGTTCCTTAAGTATGTCAGAGAGCCACTGCTCGGATTTCTCTGATGCAGATAATACAGACTCCCGAGATATTAGCGATTCTCAGTCCACTCCTCTTGGTAGTGATCCTCTTGCCCAATTGTTGGCAACCCCAGAACATGCAGGTACTGTATTATATATCTAGAATAATGTACTTTATTACTAAAGCAGTGTAGTAAAGATTTTAAGTGTGTAGTTTTGAAACTTCTGTAGTTAAAATTGTAATATAACAAGAATTTTTGAACATCATACATTACAGTACAGTACTTTTATGTAAGATTGAAAATAATTTGAAAATTGAAAATTGAATTGATTTAAAATAAATGATTTTAGGATATTTTTCATGTTTTTTTATATTCTTTACTTTTAGGCAGAGATAGTACAACACCTGGAAAAGATCCGGGTACACCGGGTCAAGATAACACCCCTCCAGGTCAGTGTCTCTAAATGGTTGTGGTTACCTATGGTTTTCCTTTATCTGGACCGTTTACCTATTTTAGACATACTGTATTAAGGTCTCCCCTAGACCAATGACTAACCATTCCCAGGATGGAGCTCACAAGTCACATTACTCCTTGGTACCTATTTACTGCTTTATGAACAGTCGTCGGGTGTAAGGAAACATTCCCTAATGTCTTTCTCTGTCCAAGAATCAAGCTTGGGGCCCAATTGATATGAGCAAATAATGCTAAAATATAATGAAGTGGAAGAATTGTGGAGATATACTATATAATGTATGAAATTTTGATGAAAAACAGTAGACCAGCTGTATAAAGTCATTTGTGTAGTGCAAGAGAAGTATCCTGCAGAAGCCACATGCTACACAAAAATTATACTATGAGAACTCGATGTGATGCATATACTGTACAGTACTATAAAAAATAGAAATGCATTTGAACAACTTCCTCAAGTCACTTTTTTTCCACTGGCCAATTTCTGGACACTTATTGGTGTTCATATAAGGTTTAAAAATATAAATACTGTATAGTACAGTAATATCTTTAATGAAACATTGATGGTATTTATTACACGAGGAACCAAGATATTAACCAAAATGTGTAAGTGTCTTGATATAAAGTGTCATACAGTACCAGTTATCTAGACACCCTAGTGCCAGCATCCAGACAGAAAAATATATCACTTTTGTATAGGGAAGTAAATTATGGCCTATATTATACCTTTTTTTGTTTCCATACAATTAGGAAACACTTATAATACAACATACAGTACCTCATTCCAAGATGTTTGATGGCTTGTTTCTTCGAAACCATCTGATACTAATGTACTTACCCAAGTGTTGTGAGCTACTCATGGTGTCCCGTCTTCCCAGCATTCTTTGTCATGTAGCGCTTTGAAACTACTGACGGTTTTGGCCTCCACAACTTTTTCACATGTAGTGCAGTACTATACAGTACATGGTTTTGGTGTTTTGGAATCGGAATTCCAGCAACAGTGTAATTGTAGTTCAGGTATATGAACACATCGTTTCTTGCCTTTCGTACACCTTTCTAGGCTTTTTCCGAGTTGCTCAGCATTTTAAAGACCATATACTATACTTGTATATCTGAAAACATCAGAGAACAAATTAAGTCAAATATGACCCTTTAAATTTGATGATACAGAAAATAATTTAATATTTTCATAAGTACTGTACTATGTACAGAACCATGTAAAACTGTTAGAATAATTGTATAAAAGTTTCGTAATGGATACCCTTTGTTTTTCAGTGGTGTTACTGGAGTGTATTTTAAGTGTTTGGCATATTTATGGTTTTTCTAAGAACTGCTTGTGCAAGCACTGTAGTATCTAGACATTTGCTTGAACAAAATCTAAAGTCCATCCAGATATGAGTGACTATTCTAAAACACTTGCATGAGCATTATTATCAAGCCCTGTTAATTTCTAACCAAAAATAATGCTGTATAAAGAAGATTTGTATTCTTTCCAACGACTTTGATGAAAGGAATTGCAGAATGTTTGGAAAGGGGTCATGAGGCAATAATGTGATCCAAAAGTATGTAAAGTCAAGGAAACTCTGCTACAACAACTTCCTCCATGTAGCTCATACTAGTATTACACAATTTTCTGGATTTAGGGAATGTGGTCATGTTGCTCAAGATATTGTATGTTTTATTTCTTTCCTCTTTATATACTGTATAAATAATAATATTAATGGATTGTTCATATTAACTATATTGGATTTAAATATAGTTTTTATATTGTTCAAAAACATGATACATATTTCCAAAGTACAGTGATTTTGAGTGATCTGCAGTTGCAAATCACTCAAAATAAAACGGGTTACTCATAGTCTGTACTGAACGTCAAATTTGTTATCTTACCTGAATTTGTTTAGGAAGAGACTGGACTCCAGGAAGAGACACAGATGTTGATGTTGGGGAGAGTGGAGATATTTTGCTTCCTAAGCCAGCAACTCCACAACCTGGTTACAATAAGAATGACCGCAAGAAAGAAGGCAAAACCAAACGGGAACAGGAAGAGGAGGAGAGAGAGCGCATGCAGTCAGTAACATTATTGTTCTGTTGGTCAAATATATTTCCTTTTCACTGATAGAGGATAGAAAAGGATTTACTGATCTACTTCCTACAATTATAATATATCATGCTAAATAATGGTAATATCTTACGGACATAATAACCTAGAATAAAAACCCATATTTATGTCTTTGCGAAATTTTTGTAAAGATTTACACACTCTTTCGCACTCTCCCGAGTGCTTTGTCAAAATCTGAGTGTGTGGTTAGGAAGAGACTTGCATTTCAACGACTAATGCGGCTGCTACCCTGGATCCAAACCTCTTATCCTTCTTGACCATGTCACCTTTATTCCCGACTGTCGATGCACCTGTGGTGATGTCGCCTATAGAATTATGATCAGGTGTCCTTTCTGTAATTCTGATATTCTGACAACTGGAGTTGTCATTGAAAGGTGTTCATCTGGATGTTATCCCTCATAACTCCCTCCATACCCAAAGGAAAACAGCTAATGGTACTACTTACATTCCTCAATATCTAATTTTAATTCACTTAGAATAATTTTTCTAGTAAAGCTATCCTCCGAATTCAATCTTTTGTTACCTGCAAAATTATTCAGAGTATCTATTAGAATCCCTTCTAATAGCCTTCTAGTTCTAATATTATTACTTTTTATAGATTACAATATTTCACTCTTCTTAAAATTAATATTGTGATCCTTTACCCAACTATGGTTTGCTACAGCACTACTAAGTCATGATTCTACATTCTTTCTTGTGTTCCTCATTTCTGATCTAAAGTTTTTGCCCTGTTTCCTCCACATAGACTACGTTGCAATCTCTCTAATATAAACGCCTCCCAGAATTTTACTTCGTGTAAGACTAGGTGTGAATCTTTACATAAATTTCACACATACATAAGTGTGGGTTTATATAATAAATACGGTATCTTGCTTATAAAATTTTGTGAATGTTTAATATTTCTATACAGTTTCATACATAAAATTTGTTTTAGCATTCCTTAATTGTTCATTTACAAAAAAGATGGGTTCTGTGTTTTCACTTGATAAAAAAAAAATTTGTTCACTTTGTCATTTGCACATACTGTACTGCACCAGTATTTTATTTAACTTTTCATCTTCTATTAATGATAAATTTAAAATACAGTACAGTATATAGATAAATCACAATGACTTAAAAATTAATGATATTAAAGTTTTTTAATTTTATATAATCACTACTATATGACCCATGAGTATTTTTATTTCTGAGTCATTTAGCCATGATTCCTATATTAATGAAAAACTAATTACAGTACTATATTAAGATTTTCTTTTAACATCTTTTAGACCTCGGTAGATGGTACATTTCCATGAAACATTATGTAGGTCATACAAATGATGTACAGTATTATTCATATGATTAATGTTTAATTTAAAAATCCCAAACGTGAGTTCAAATTTAAATCATGTTTTCAGCATGCTACTGTATTGTTTTTTATTTATGGCTTTTATTCATATTATAATGCCTGCTGAAATTTAAACCATTATTAATAATGTAATGTAATGTAACCATGACCATGAGAAAATGCTGGGTTATTACATTTGTAATTGAAATCTAATACTGTTGTACAGAACAGTTTTTCTATTTTATTTAGTAACCCTTTTGAATACTGAAAGATCAGTTTCAAATCCAATACATATCCATTTACAGAGTGTTAGTGTCCAACTTTACAGAAGAACAGCTGGACCGCTATGAGATGTTTCGTAGATCAGCGTTCCCTAAAGCTGCCATAAAAAGAGTAAGTTTGCAAAAAAATTACTCAAAATTAAAAAATAAAATTATGGTGAATATGTTTGTCTGTACTATCTGCATGTGAACTAAAAGCAGGATGCTTGTATTATAAAATAATCAAATGCTCTAAGATATGTACAGTATAACATTAAAATATGTAGTGTGTACATAGTTTATATATACTGTATATAGTATAGCATACATACTATTACAGAACTGTATATGTATCAGTATGATAAATATGTGTGGAGGCTATTAAGTAGTAGACATCCAGTAGTCGCAGGTGACTATGGTTGTCGGTCTGAAAGCTATTACAGTACAGTAATTATATTTCTTCTGAAAGTCATATTAACAAATTTATAACAAGGTTTTCATGGCAAAACATAAACCATGTTTGTATTATTCTTGGTTATTAGCAGCTTGAAACATTGCATTTACAGATTTAATGTGTTTAATGGATAATGTGATTTAATGTAAATATATTTTTAGCAGCTTAATCTATTTATCAACCATCAGGTTATGCAGACCATCACTGGATGCTCAGTGTCACAGAATGTTGTCATTGCTATGTCTGGTATCGCTAAAGTCTTTGTTGGGGAGGTCCTTGAAGAAGGTAAGATTTACTTTTTTTTTTCGAGGGGTGATCTTGTGCATTTTATTATGTTTTTTACAAATATAGTACAGTATTGTACAGTCTTTTGGTTATACTGTATTTCCATATCCCATACATCTTGGAAGCTTAAATCCAATATCATATGCCTTCTAGAAGCTTAAACCAGATCCAAATTTTTCCTAGAAACTTGAATCAGATCGTCAAATCAAATAGCCCATTCTCTAGTTACTGGAGTAACAATACTTGCCACAAAAACAAATGATATTCAAATACTATTCGTTCATGATTAGAACGTATAGCATACATGGAATGCGCATAAATTGAATTGCCTCGCAAAGCTGCATACAAATTTTATTCTTGAAATGTTCTTTTCTGCTTTTTTTTTGTGCAGCTTTGGATGTTATGGAAACACAAGGGGAAACTGGACCAGTACAACCAAAGCACCTTCGTGAAGCCATACGTAGGATACGTCGTCGTCCAGGACAGCACATACCAACAATGAAACAACATAGAGCTCTATTTCGTTTATAAGCTCGGTAAAAGTTGAGCTGCCATTTTTCCTCCAATGTTAGAGCTGCAGGAAATATTCATCAAGAGAGAATTAATGCAAACTTGTAGTAAAAAAAAATCATTATGATTTCCGCTCTTATAGTTTCTCGAGGGTTTTATTCACTTATTGACTAGAAAAATTTCCAAGTACTGTAATTTTGTATTGGCTAAAACCTTGTTTTTGCTTTTACCTGATAAATTTTTTTTGTCAACTTACTTTGTTTCTTAAGGTTTAGCTAACTCTGAAAATGGCTTCAGTATTATTGCTGTTCAATGAATGCTTTCACTTTATACAATAGTTACAAGTGGCTAAGGGCACAAACCCCAGGCTTGCCAAATCTCAATCTTTTAAATTTTGTGATATACTATTTTTTGCAATAATAATGTAAGATATCAACCAACTTCTTAGTGAAAGATTTTATAACAAGTTCAAAACTATTGCATATTCTGTATAGCATTACAGTACTGTATTTGTTGTATGTAACTTATTTCCATTTCTATGTTCTACTGTATGCTATATGGAGAACAAGTAATAGATCTTGTAAACCAAAATTATTTAGAAATGTTGGCCATGCTGAATTATTTATTCAGTATGAGCTGTCATTAGTCAGCTAACTACATTTATGTTCCACAAATGGTGTCCAGTGCCCTCTTCCCCAACACCTTGAGAAATCTCACAACATCTTATTCACGTCTTCCATGTTATTTGTTAAAATCTTCAGTATTAAATTGCCCATCTTTGGCAAATATGTAATATTTTCCTAATACGTATACAGTATAATGCGTTCTTGTTATTTTAGTACAAAAAATGTTCCCTTCTGGTAACTTAGTTCCATAATCATTGAAAAAAGTAAAACGGGGGATTTTATACATTAAATTTGTTTCATGATAAAAAAACTATGGCACAGTACAACTAAGGTCCCCGTGGCACAGTGGTAAAGCACTCGCCCAGCGTTTCGCAAGCACCTTGGCCTGGGTTCGTATTCTGGCTGGGGAGGATTGACTGGGCGCCAATCCTTAACTGTAGCCTCTGTTCACCCAGCAGTGAATGGGTACCTGGTTGTTAAACGTTTTGGCGGTTCGTATTCCAGGGAAAAATTAGGATTAAGGACCTTGTTTGAAGGGACGACGACGTTTCGGCGTCCTGGACCATTCGTATTCCAGGACGGAAAAATCATCCCTTCAACTTCTAGGATTGTGACTCAGGACCTGCCTGAAACGCTATGCATGCTAGTGGCTGTACAAGAATGTAAGAACTCTTGTATATAAATAACAAAAAAGTGTTGACAGAATGCAGTATTTTTTGTCTGTGATGTGCAACATAAAGCTTCACTTTTTAAGTAAGAACTTAGTTTTATGAATATACTACTTTTAATCAACAAGCAAACTGTGTGTAGCAATATTTTCAGGAAAAATTGTAAGATAATTTTTAATAAAGCTATAATGTACTGTATTATAATGAAAAGTCTTAATTTTGTCTCCTTGTAGTATATATTAGCAAGTGGTTTGGTAGCTACTGGTATATTATCCAATCCGTAATTTTGCCTTTCTTATCACCGATGAAATGATTCATTGGATGGCCTTCATTTCCTCCACTACAAAACCAGAAAGAGCTGTTGATCTTGTTCCCACTCCAGCCAAGGCAAGGGCTCAATAAGGTAAAGTGTGTACCCTCATTTCATGATAATATAGTTAATCATATGGTATTAAACATTAAATTTCCACCCAAGCAAAGAAAGTCAGATGTAATTGAAGGACTCTGTCCCACTAGTATGATTGGTTGCAATGGAAAGTAATTGAAGACTCCATATATTCACTGTACTATATTGAAATTGGTACCAAAAAACATAAAAATATAATACTGTACGATCAAATACTTAAAAATTTACTTTTTTTCCCAAGTAATTTTGGTATCTAAATCTACACTAAAGTACTTCAGTAATACAGTCGGGTTCGTTCTCGACTCTCAATTCTGAGTTCATATCCTGGGTAGGACAGAAATGGTTGGGTGTGCTATCACCTAATGCCATTGTTCGCCTAGCAGTAAATATCAAGGTCATTTGTGGTGTTGCATCCTGGAGAGGGTCAGTAATTCAACCCTAGGGAGGAAGGGGGGGTCCCCTAGATATAAACCTAACATGTATATATATACACTGGCAGCCTGTCCCCCTAACAATGAATTATTAGTTGAACTAATGAAACCATCATAAAATTTGGTATTTAAAAGCAAGCTTTGGATGCCGATGAAGTGCTCTGGTATGAATCTATTCATTGAAACTACACACTTACTCATTGCCACCTGTACAGGCATACTTTTAATAACTACTGTACTTACTACATATGGCTTGTTTTCCATTCTCCTCTAGATAACAAAGTTGATAAATACAGTATAATGAAGTCTTGTGTTTATCTCTTTAAATTTTGTTATAATCTTTGCTTTAATTCTTCCTGGGCTTGGCAGCTGAATGTACAGCGATTGGGATTCGTAGTCCTAAGTTTCCGGGTTTGATTCCAGGTGGAGACGGAAACAAACGGGCAGAGTTTCTTTCATCCTGATGCCCCTGTTTACCTAGCAGTAAATAGGTACTTGGGAGTTACAGCTGCTTCCTGGGGATGTGTAACAAAAAGGAGGCCTGGTCGAGGACTGGGCCGCGGGGACGCTAAGCCCCGAAATCATCTCAAGGTAACCTTTCTCAATCAGTTTAATATTCTTCATGTGCCACAATGCTACATCTCTTGAACTGTTTACCAGATCCAATACACCATGTATATAAAAAAGATATTATTTAAATCAAGGTTCTGAAACCAGGTACAGTATGTATTCTGTTCTGTCATAATATTAGGTAAATGAATAATAGTTTTCTGTAGAGACATTGGTGGACCTGATCATTTACTGTCACAAATGAGGAAACGCTTCTTAAACTCAAATAAATAATGGATATAAAGATTTATACTCCCTCACTTCCTACATAACATATACAAACAACTATACTGAAGTAGACTATAGGATGGAGTTTGGATCTATGTGAAGTGCAAATACACTACAAGACTTGGAAACTAATTATGTTAGTGAAATTTAAAGTATATGATGGTATGATGTACAGATTGGACACTGACATTGATATGATCCTTAAATGACCTCAAGGATTTACTGAATGAAAAAAGTGAAAACATGAACTTATATATGAAGGGTGATGAAGAAAGGCTCAGTCATCATTATACGGGTGTCTGTTATACAATAAGTCGGTGCGTGGCTTGTCTGAAGTTTTTCTATTCTATGGATATGGGTCTGTCTGTCCATGTGGTTATCTTCCATGTTAAAGCCTGACCAATTGTGCTTAACGTGACTATATGAATGAGCAATGTGCACATTATCATCTGTGTTATATCAGTGGCCATGTGTTCACTAAAATAATAATAGTGTTATAAATACTTGTGTTATATGTTAAGAATTGGGATAACCTACCTACAAACATAGGTTAGGTAGGTAGATTACAGCTGTAGCAGAATTGTATTCTTGGTTTAATAATAATTGGGTGTTTAAGTTCACCATCCAGGTGCCTGCTGGAAAACAAAGAGTTTGTCAGGCATGGATAACTGTCACTTTATTCCATTGTACTTAAATATTTAGTGTACTTATCCTAAGCCAAATAAAAATATGATAAAGAAAATGTATACCAGTATATGTGTACAATTTTTTACCCCTATACAGTGTATGTTATCATTTATTGTGTTTTATAAAGCTGCCAATACACCACTTGATTATAGCTATCAATCTTCTCTTTTGTATTTAAAACTAAAATAAGAATCAAAAGTTTAAATTGTTTCTTAAGAAATGTAATGCTGTATCTATAAATAGTTAGAGTGCAGTATTCAAATATAGCGGGCAGGACGCCATAACCCTATGGGATTTGGTTAATTCGCACAAAACCATTTCGCTCATTAATCGTTTCATCTATAAATTCTAAATTAAGTCCTATATATTTCGCCTTTTGTAACTTTTAATATTTCTATATTATACACTCTCACACATTATCATGAATTAAATCCGATTATAATAACCGTAAAAGAGCGAGAAATGGGGTGTACGAAGCGACCTGTCTCCGGCCCCACAATGCTCAGTTGTAAACACGGCTCTCATGCGGCCGCCCTTTACACACACTCTCCAGTCATCCTCATATTGCCTCACAACTCCTCTTGAGACCTGCTGATCACTATGTTTAAGAAGTAAGTTGAAAAGTGCTGCAGTCTTGGTCAAGATTTTATATTTATTTTACAGCAGGGGTGATTGGTAGATTGTGTTTCCACTTGCCTATACTCCTGTCAAGGATTGGGTTGGCAGCACGTCAAATATTTCTCTGATTTACTTAGTAGGGTGATTGGCTACTTATTGACACTATAAGAGTATTTACCTAACTTAACCCAGACCAGTCAATGTTCTCATTGGAATATTTATTAAAATAATTATTCCGTCATGTCATCTGTTTAGTAAATAAAAGAATTTTACACTTAGATTTTTTTAAGTTTGATAAACTGTCGGTAGGTTAGGTTTTATCCGAATTTACCCGAGGGTCATCGTATCTAGTGGCCTCGGTGGGGCCAGGATGTTGGCAACTTATCAAAGGTTTCCCTCATTATTCTTCAGTTTTTCCACTTGAAAAGCATTTTTCCTATTTTTAACCCTATTGCATATGGTTAATTCACACAAAACCATTTCGCTCATTGGTCGTTTCATCTATAAATTCTAAATTAAGTCCTATATATTTTGGCTTTTGTAACCTTTTTTCTTTCCAGTTGTATTTTGAATTGGAGTATTTTCAGTAGGCAGAGGATTCTATGGTGCTTATTACCAAGATATAAGGTGCATCATGCCCAAGACAGGTCACCAGCATGTCTTTAAAACATGCCTGACCTTGCCTAACCCATCTGAGTTAACACAGCTTCCCAAGCATTCAGTCTGCTGCAATTCAGAGCTGTCATTTCATTATTAATCTAAACTCTTCTGGTAGTCTTCTTAGAACCATAAATAACTAATATCTACTGGGTAGCCATTCACAAACATCCTAAACTACGGGACCTACAAGCACATCTTATTTGAAATGATGCAACAGACAAAAACAGTAATTTGTCAGTTTTTTTTTTTTTTTTTTTTTTTTTCTACCACAGACGTGGCCACACATTTACAATGCTAGCCAGCATATATACATTTTCTTCTGTCCTCCATAGACAGGGTTAGAGATGTGTTAAACATATAGTTCAAGGGTTTATTGAACACTCAACCACAGAAGGTGATTCGGTGCTTTTAAAATGCTAAGCTAACCTACATACGTAAATACATAGATACACAGATTTACGTATGCCCTACATAAAGTGTTAGATGTGCAGTTTTTGTGTAACTTGTATTGTCTTAGTTTAGTGCCCAAGTTAAGGGTTGAAGTAGCGAGTGCACTAAGGGCTGCATACAGGAGGATGACGGGCTGCTGGTTTGACACTCCTGCAACAATTTACTGTATATTGGAGGGGGTTTTAAGAGATACTATTGCACCCCAGCAATAGTATACAGGTATATTAAAACCTCCAAGACATTTTAATACTTTATTCAACAGCAATGTGCCTTATTCTTGGGCTAGTGCATGTTTATTAGGTAAAAATATGTTAAGTTGTAAGTAGGCTCTAGCAGCATGCATTTTATTTCTATTTATGAAATCAATTTTATAATGGTTTGTATTAAACTAATTTTAAAATTTAATTTGGATAAGTCTTTCCATTTACTGTAAACTATTATGCAATTGCAAATATTGGTTTATTAATTTCAGTATTCTTTTAATTTGTTTTGTTTGTACTTTGATTTTATTGACTCAGATTAGCATGCCTAATGTAAAATATTAAGCGAGTATGTTTCAGCATATTTATTCGTGTCACAAAACAAGTCAAACACCATACAGTGTTATGTGATATTTGGCAAGAGCCACAAGTGTTATCTGGCTTGGGCAGCAGTGGGGTAGTATTCGGATAAGTCACATCATACAGAAGACAGTTTGCCAATTAATTTTAAAACTTGCCTAACCTGGGAGCCGGTCGGCCGAGCGGCCAGCACGCTGGACTTGTGATCCTGTGGTGCCGGGTTTGATCCCGGGCGCCGGCGAGAAACAATGGGCAGAGTTTCTTTCACCCTATGCCCCTGTTACCTAGCAGTAAAATAGGTACCTGGGTGTTAGTCAGCTGTCACGGGCTGCTTCCTGGGGGTAGAGGCCTGGTCGAGGACCGGGCCGCGGGGACACTAAAAAAGCCCCAAAATCATCTCGAGATAACCTCACCTAAGCCCAATGAGCCTAACACAGTCTAACCTAAGCTAATGCAGCCTAACGAAATAATGTACAAGTATACAGTTTTGACAATCGGAAAATGAGGTGTATTGAACCATCTTGTGTACGATTTGATCATACCCTGCGTGTTCACCTCACTTTTGAATACGTGGCAGAACTGCACATATTTTAGCACTTATTTTGTTCATACTAGTAGACTCCATTGAGTTGTCTACTTAACTCAAAATTGTTTAACCTGATTAATATAATCTGACCTAAGCTATCCTAATCTAATAATAAGTAGTAACTCAAATAAATTAGTTGACAAGGCTGTCTGTACAAAAAATAAAAAAATTCTTGATTAGCTACACAAGTTTACATTTTTGCAGTACAGTATATTTGAAAATTATGCTTTCAAGTCAAACTGCCCCTTTTTCAATTTACTACTCTTGAATACACCCTTATGTAACCTACTGCTCTCTGGTGATCCCTGCAATGCAAAGAAGGTTTACCTGTAGTTTAACTATAGTTGGTTTTGAGAGTTTTACTCCCTGAGCCCATCCAGGTCTGTCTGGTAATAACTATAATTTTCATGTACAAGCACATGGAAACATGTTGGCATGTCTTATTCAAAACCACTGTGTAATATAAATTTATACATCTGATTAACAGGTTTGATGAGAAGGAATCTGTGTCTGGTACTCAACAGCTGAAGTCTTCTGTTCAGAAGGGAATCCGAAACAAATTAATAGAATCCTATCCATCGCTTGGAGACAACTTAGAAAAGATTTTGCCCAAGAAAGATGCTTTTAGGATTGTTAAATGGTAAATAATTTTTCTTATTTACCTTATAAATATTATATACATGTATTATACAAAAATAAGTATGTTTAGCCTACTTTGCACGTGAAATGATTAACACAAAATTAGCATTGGTTGTTGAGACAGGTGAACTTAGAGGAGTCAAGATTCATGGTATGAGACACCAGAGAGGTGATTTCAACAATATACAGATTTCTCTACAGCATGTACATCTATGATAACTAAGCAGGGGAAATTGGTTAATTAACATTATAGTTTCCATTTTCAGAAAGAGAAGAGTTCAGCTTAATAGAAATAATCTGTATTCAGAAATGCCTGTGGTGTTAAACTATATTAAATTTGTATGGTAGTATGAACAAATGAATAGAAAATGGTAAAAAGCATCAATGCATGGATTAAATAGACATGTACATGTAAAACTTAATCTAGCAACTTGAATGTCCTGACTTCCAGGACGAGCGTGTGTCTTGCTTTCCGACCGCCCCTCGCGGTCACCTGTCCCTCGATAGAATTCTTGGTGACTCGGATACTTTTGATATCGTTCGCCTTATGATTTTTGTTCTCGTATTGGCATCCTTGGTGATATTTAGCGCCCTCTGATTATTTTGCATATTTGATGGTGCTACATAGCCTTCCCGGTTTGGTGCCTTCTTTTGATAATTACTTACTTAATCTAGCAATGGGACCAAAAAAACAATGACAGCGAGACACCAATGAAGAAGATAAGTAAACTCGGTGAAAAGTAGGCATGCAATTAGTACACTTAAGGTACAGTGTTATCTTCTCTGATCAAGTGGATGCATTGAATTGAGGTATTTTGAATGCTACCTAGATAAATAGCCACAGACATTACATAGACAAACGGAATGGCAGGTCCTTTATTTTCTAAATAACATTTTTTAATGCATGAATTTTGCAGTACAGTACTATGGGCCATGGAGATCCTGCTAATCTGTGATTGAAAAAGGCATCAGAAGATATAAATGAATGAGATGAAAATTTCTTCCACTGCTAGTTAGTTTAGATAAGTTTTAGAAAACTGCTATTGACTAAGTATGCTCTTAAAAGTAGACCAAACTCAATGTTCAGCCTGATAGCTAACTTATTTGTCATTTACAGTACAGTATTTCATTTATTGCTTACTTTTGCTAACCCATAAAAATGCTCGGTAACTGTTGTATTTCAAAATACCTTGCTCTTGTATTTTTTAAATGTGAAACTATGGACAGGTACAGTATTGTTAGACTGATTAAATTTTCTTGCAGTCATGAACACGTTGAATTGCTTGTGAGAAGTGATGGGGAATTGCTTTTCTTTAGACAAAGAGACGGACCATGGATGCCTACTCTGAGACTCTTGCATAAATGTAAGTACAGGTTGCCAAGTGACAGTTTGTAGTACATAATTGTATAACAGAAACTGTACCATAAGAATTTAAAGGACTACACAGGTTTCACTGGGAAAGAACTAGACAGAACTGTATGTACACTATAGACTTTGTATACAGAATTGAACAACAGTTGTGTTCCTTCAAGTTAGTTTTTATTTTTTATTTTTATATTTTCACTCGCACTCTACAGCATATATACACATTACAAATGTAAACCTTATTGACCGTTCCTACTCTGTCGTTGACAAATCCAAAGTCACCAGGTTCTTATACTGTACATTCTAATAGACTACAGGTAAATGTGTTGGGGGGGGGGGGGGTGTTGGATAATTGGTAGTAGAGAGTAGTGTATTTTCCAGACATCTTGCCATGGTAGTCCTTGATATGTCCTGTAGAACTCTGTGACCTTTAACCCACACAAACAGATTTTCCTTGGGTATGGGTAACGTCTACTGGTGGAAATAGACAAGGAATAAAAGAAACTTGAGAGAGAGATTGAGATTTTGTTATTGTGAGATATATTGTTGTCTGCCTACTGAGAGATCCACTCATCATGGTTGACACTAACACTGGTTTTACCATAATCTTCAGGAGGGTGTGTGGCTAAGGTGGTCAATAGGCTTGAGGCTTTCTCAACTTAAATCTTAACTCAAATACTAGAATTATAGCCTCAATGCTAAAAACAAATGCCACCATTATATATCACTACATCAATCACATACCAATGCTACAGCCACATACTATACTGTATTATTGCAATAACAAGAGATGAAACTGAATATGAATACATATTGTGGTTTTTGGAACATAATGGGTTTCTCTCAATCTGATGTTTGTGTCACAGTATGGCTGATATCTTGGTGGATCTGGAGGTGTATATTTGTTGTTATTTCTGCTAATAACTGTTATTGCTGTTCTTTTTGATTTGGAGAAAGTGCATGCTGACTGAAAGAATAATATATTAAACTAATTGCATTTTCTTGACCTCCATGGCAATTTGCCTCTCTTCCTGCAAAAATTCCTCTCCATTCATGTGTTTTGAGTATTCCTAGGGACTTCTCTCTCTCGGCATTTAATTGCCAATACGAGTGTTCCTGAGGGTAGTGTTGAACACTACTCGCTTCCTCATTGCCCTTGACAGTCTCTCCAATCCCTTCCCTCATGGAATTTACATAACACTTTGTGGACAGCCCTGCCATTTGCTGCAGTGGTAGTGGTTTCTCCCTTATTCAATGCTGGCTCCAGCTTGTGATTGACAGCAGTTTCATGTTTTCTCCATTAAAGACTTATGCTATGGCTTTTTCTAAACACTAAATCTTTCCCCATCTACCTTGTCACTTTATTGGAATAACCTTGTGTATAAAGATAGTTCACAAAGCTCTTTGGGATGATCTTTGACACCTGTCTATCTTGGTCATCCGAGGTCCTTTACCTACAGACAATGCTTCAAGGCCCTTTCCTCACTCGGTCTTGTTACATACCTCCTGTGGAGCAGATAATGTACACGTCTTTATGTACTGTTTCCTAGTCCTGTCTAAACTGGACCATGATTATTCATCAACTTCACCCCTTTACCTTTCACTGTCATGATGCTTTGCATCATACAAGGTTGTGTCTTGGCTCTGGAGCCTTTTTTTCTTCCTCAGTCCAGAATTTGTATATGAATTTGTATGCCCTTTACCCACTCATCCATACAACCAATACCCCTAAGCCACTCACTCACCCACCCATTCCTTCCTCCCTATCTAATACTACTCATATTGTTTAATACAGTATGATATACTAAAGGCATTTTTATTTTTTTATATTACATGCTTATATTTCCGAGATATACCTACTATGGGAGACCAGGGATACCTTCCTCAATGGGAGGCATTGCAAAATACCTAGTTAAAAATGTAAACATTGTTTATTGTATTTGAGTTCAACAAGCAAGCCTATACAAAGGAAAAAATATTAAAATGGATGACTTAAAGATAATACCTATACAGTATAAATATACAAAAATATATTTTGATATAAAGGTTAACTTCTTGTTATTTTCATGGTTTGCAATTTATTTTTATAAATATTTTATGACAATCTTAAAATTGCAGATCCCTTCATGCTTCCATGGATGCAAGTTGATAAGGGTGCTATTCGCTTCATTCTCAGTGGTGCCAATATAATGTGTCCAGGACTGACTTCTCCTGGTGCTAAGATGTCAAAAGTAGAACAGAATACAGTAGTAGCTGTGATGGCAGAAGGCAAACAGCATGCTCTTTGTGTTGGCATTGCCTCTTTATCTGCAGAAGATATTGCCAAGACTAATAAAGGCGTAGGTATTGAGAACTGCCATTATCTTAATGATGGACTCTGGTACATGAAACCCGTCAAGTAATTACTGTGAAATTTAGGGTATTGTACAATTACCGAGAATGCCATCATTTTTTTTTTTTTTAAACTTTTATTTGACATGTATTGCATAAAGTTGATGAAAACATGCATGTTTTTAATTTAGTCCTAGTGTGCAGAAGACAAACCTTTTTCAGCTTAACATAACTACTTCTGTAGTTATCTGTTCTGTTGGGGCGCCTGACAGCTGGGTGGACAACACTTCGGATTCGTAGTTCTGAGGTTTCGGGTTGCGATCCCGGGTGGAAGCAGAAACAGATGGGCAAAATATTTCTTTCACCCTGATGCCCCGTTACCTAGCAGTAAATAGGTACCTGGGTGTAAAAAAAAAAAAAAAAAAAAAAAAAGCCGCCGCAGGGATGCCGAGCCCTGAAATCATCTCAAGATAAACTAAAGATAGATCTATATACAAACAAATATCAGCTCTGTTCCAGTGTTGACATCCTCAAGGAAACGACTATTTCAATCGCCTCTGTAATGTGGCATCTACCATGTGCTTTAGAAATTAGATATGAAATTGGCACATTGCTAACACTGTACCATGTACATGTATTTAATCGAATGTTTCTACATTTTCCTGAGCAATTTTCACTGGACAAAATTGTTGGACCTTCCAGGAATTTGTTAGAGCATAGTTTGTTTGAATGAGAATTCACTGTGATGACTTCTCTACTGTTACACTGGAAATGCTGAACAATTTAAGCCGGTTATTTAATTGAATCCAATTCACTCTCATGGTAAAGTAAGTGAAAAACATTTTTTTTTTTTTTTTGCCTTGTAAGCTTAAACATTTTTTTTCCTTCTGTGGTAGGTGGTTGCATGAAAGCCCTTATAGAAGGAATCTGCCTCACCCCATACAGTAAGGGGACACTGTACATGAGTGGCTATAATCTTTGTTTCCTCCGGCTTGGTGCCTTATTTTGACAATTACTTCTTTTTTCCTGCTAACAATTCTTCAGCTAAATGTTTTTGTTCAATTTAAAGAGTACAGAAAAAAATAAAATAAACAGCTAATTCTTAAATCCCCTGAAATCCTGTCATATTATTTTCTGATAACTAGCTGTATACAGTGTGTACAATACAGGTGTCTCCTTTAATTTTCTCCTAGGTAATTGTTACAGTAGTAAATAGTTTTGATTTCACCAATTATATCAAGGTTTAAAGGAAACACTTTTAAAGCAAGTCAATGTCTCATTATTGCAATTCTTGTCAACAGGGCACTGATCCGAGAAAATAATAGCCTCATTTGCTGAAACAAACATACTCTGCATAAAAGACAGCATTCTTATCTTACAGAAAATAAGAGAATCAAGTTATATGAGGTTACAGTGCAGTAATTTACAATGTTTTGCGAGTCAGAAATATGGACATACCGTACTACTTAATACTATTCCAGGTACATGAATAAATAAAGCAAATAATATACAACAGTTTGTAAATATTGCAAAACACACCTGTAAGTACCATAGAGTACATGAGTAAATATGTTTGAGACAATTTAAATAATAATTTGGCACAAAACAATTGTTTAAAATAAATATGATGAGGTAAAAAAATCCACAGTTTGGAACGAATAGTTGCACCAAATATCCAACAATATATTTCAAGGTAGATTCAGTTTCAGTAAAAGATATTTAAAACAATTAATTTTATGTATATGTATAAATGTATGTACACATACATACATACATATACTGGTATTTATTATATTCCATTCTTAACATGGAAATAAACATTTCATCCACTTGGACCCTTTTGAGAAGTTAGCTACTGATCTGCTCGGTACAGTTTCTACAGATTTCGTTTTCACCTTCAAGAAGTTCCAAGTATATAAATATAAAATAATATGCACGATGTCACAGAGTACATGACCTTAAAATACAAGTACAGTACGACTGCAGTGAATAGGAAAATTTTAGTACAGTACTAATTTCCTATTTCACTGTGATGGTTCTTGCACACGTGTACACAGTATGTGTATATATATATTTATTACTATATAAAATACTTGGGCATTTGGGGTTAAATGTGCACATACAAGTATACACAAGTCAATTACTGTACTAGGAACCCTTATTAGAAAAGACTACCTCATAACTATAATTTATACTAACTACATTAAATATGGACACATCCAGACTGGATTATATATGAATAGTTTGCAGCCAACACATTAATTATTCCAAGGTTATAACATCAGTGGAACAGTTACTCGTATCACAACTGTGTGCATATTTAGTCATTTTATCTACTTTGGATTATATACAATAAGTCCCTGTTGCCTCTCATTTTTTTTAATAATTTTTTTTTTTAGCCACAAAATATAAAAATAGTTAAAGCATGTCTTCAAAGTTTTTTTTTGACTAGTCTATGAAACTTTATTTTACCTAATGATTGAGCAATTTAATCATTGTATAAACAAAATTGTCCTGATTTTTGTTAATGCATTACCAATCTTTAAAGTGGAATATGCAAACTTGTAGTACCAAAGATACTGTAGATGTAAATTTTACATTTGCAACTTTTGCTGTCAAGTAGCAAATTTCATTGATTTTTTTTATTTTTAAATGGTAACAGCTGAAATTAGAGAAAAAATAAAGATCTAAGAATAAAAAAATATTAAGTATTATATAAAACTATTCTCTTTGCATATCTTTGGTGTGACCATTTCTGAGAAATAAACGGATGGGATTGTCCAGCATTACCGAGTCCATATTGACCCCCTCTCGTAGGGAGGAACTAGGCACTGAAGATGCACATACATTATACCATACAAAATATTATATACAGTATTAATAAAATTCTCAATTTTAATGGCTATTGCTTTAAAATGTAATTATTTAATAAAATACAAGCTTTCATGATAAGATTTACAAGCAAAGGATAACTTAATACTGCAGTGAATAGGTTTCTGTAGTCCTTCCCATGCAATGATAAACTGCATCTTTTTAGCCAAATCAACACACGGACCTTTATCAAAGCTCAAAGAATTTTTTAAGAGATTACAGGATGTCAAGTTATTTTTTTTGAAGTTTGTTATTTTCACTGTTTGGAAAATTGTCGTAGGATACATTGTATAAATTATAATCATTAAAATATTACAAGTGTGCAAAACAGATACAACAAAGCTTCAAGAAAAACAAATTCTAAAGTCCTCAACTAATATTTCATGTTGCAGTGATATGCTGTTAGAGATATAATTAAGAAAATAAATACTGTAGTGACAATTTATTACCTGTGCATTGTATCTGTCCACCTTTCTATCTTGAACTGTTCTTTCACAAATCACCACCACCAATACAACATGTTAAAAATCCACCTGAACATTCAAACATTTCTTGTACAGTGTATATTTGCTTCATGATTATTCCTTTTCATTCTTAATATTTACTGTTAACATTTTGATGTAATATGCATCCTCCAGAGAATATGCACTTGTATTCTGATGTATACAATTTATATTTTTGTACTTTAAATGTTAAGTCAATATGATGAGACATTTTTCAGATATTGGGCAGAAACCTTAAAAAAAGAAAAAACAGTGTTGAATGCAAGGAAAGACTTTTTCAGGTAAGCCCCCAATAGCTCTGGCACTGTCAAGCTTTAGCTTTATGCATCAAGGCCTCAGAGACCCATCCTTGCCTACCAGATACCAGGATTAAAATCTGGCTCACTCTATGAGGTAAGGGAAGTTTGGAAATACCAGCCAAAGCAGGAAAAACCTACCAAAAACCATATGCTCAGCAAAATGAGCAACTTTCCTAAAGGCAATTAGGCAATCCAAGGTAAACAAGGCAATCAAAATCACACATTAAAAGCCATAACCAAGAATTGTCCAATCACTAGATGTAAACTAGACCTGGGTGAGCATCGAGTGGCACAAAGGTAGACCCACATACTCCTTGGTGACCAATGTACCTGAACCACTACCTTATCCATGTGTCAAATGAATGGAAACACATTTTTGCCCAAGCCCAGAAATTTAGCAGCTGGTGCTGCCAAAGCACAGCGTTGAGCTGCTAAAAATACTTATCACCACCGAAATTTGTGGAGTCTTCACCTACAGGAAGAGAGAATGGAGCAGTGGACATGAGGGTGAGCAATTAAATGGCTCTGGAGAAAGGTAAAAATGGCAACCTAGCAGTTACGGATTAGTCTATGACAGTATCATGGAGCAGTGGAGCAAAATCCTTGGGAATGGCATCCGCAGAGGCAGATAAGACAGATCATTCCAGAGCTGCCCAGAGAAGATCTGCACTGTACATGAATGGATGATCTGTTCCAAGTGGGAGCAAGCTTCGTCGTCAACCACTACTAATGCCAAAGGCAACTTGCGGGGAGCCGGTCGGCCAAGCGGACAGCACACTGGATTTGTGATCCTGTGGTCCCGGGTTCGATCCTGGGCGCCAGCGAGAAACAATGGGCAGAGTTTCTTTCACCCTATGCCCCTGTTACCTAGCAGTAAATAGGTACCTGGGTGTTAGTCAGCTGTCACGGGCTGCTTCCTGGGGGTGGAGGCCTGGTCGAGGACCGGGCCGCAGGGACACTAAAGCCCCGAAATCATCTCAAGATAACTCAAGATAACTGGGACACCTGGACAAGGAGCCCCAATAGGGCAGGAGCAAACAGGGTACTATTAATAGCTGCAAAGAAAGGCCCTCAAAGACAGACCTGAAAAACTGAGATGGCCAGTGTATGGCAGTTACAAGCTGCTACTAGAAAACGGTTATTTGTCAATCAGGATGAAGCCAGGACTTCAGGAAGATGGCCCCATATTGAATGGAGGCTTGAGTCAATTAAGATGCAACGTCACAATTTGCACCAAGCACCAAAGCAAATACCATACTTGAATGAAAGATGATTGAAACCTTTTCCAAGCAACAAATCATGACCTGGAAATGCACCTAAGAGGGAGTGGAGGTGGCATAAAATCCATACTTGACAAGAATAAGGGAACATGTTCCTGTGCAACCCATCCTCCTGTTTAGATAGTACTTTTTGTAACTGGACCATAAATCAACGTAATGGACAATTAGTAGAATTTGGTACTACTGTATTTGCAAGTAAAAAAAAAAAAAAAATATTCTTAGGCCTAATATAAAGTCTATATATACAGTACTACAGTATATTAGGCCTCAGATAGCATGTATTACGGCCTAGAAAGGTTAGGTTAGGTTAAATTTTCTTTGCAACATCAGGACAAAAACTTTTCCAGTCTAAATTAAATAGTACCGATTTCTACTTTCTAATTGCCTTTTACATCAATATATTTACCATGGCTCTCATTCTTACTGTAAGTACTATCTAAACAGGAGAATGGGCTGCCACGTGTAACACACCCTCATGGCCATGATCCAGATCTCCAAAAATTTAATATGGTTTCATGCTGCAAGCCTGTAGATACAATGCTGGGCTGGCAGATGTGGCCTGAGAGGCTGCCCCTCTGGAAATGTGATGAAGGAAGAGAAAGCGTACTATGCGTTCTAGTGGCTGTACAAGAATGTAACAACTCTTGTATATATCTATAAAAAAAAAAAAGGATACAGAGTATTGGGGTTGGCTAGAAGAGGGTCTTTGGCTGCCACAGACCTACTACTGGCAATCCGTGCTGTTGAAGGAAGGATCAGGGTGAGGGCCTACAATCGAAGCCTGTAATCTTGACATGCAGAAAAGCAAAATTCTGAGACTCATTCCAGAGAGACAGAAGGCCTCAGGCTCCTTCAAATCCCCAGAGGGGCAGCCTTTGATTTCACATTCAACAGTACTGCATCTGTTAGTGTCTGTCAATTTGTGTTAGCAGCACGAATCCACATGAGAGCTCAAATCAACACACACACACACACACAGATAGACTATCATTCCAAACTTAATTATAAAAAGTGCCAAGCCTCAAAATAATTCAGGATGACAATACAGCACACAAATAGAAAGACAAAAGACTGCAAAGGCATCAGTCAGAGGATTTTATTGAGGACATATGTTCCAGCACCACTATGCCAAGTGTGAAGTGTAGCCAATGACGATAAACAGAAGTGAGATAACAGGCTGGCTGAAACCCCTTGTAACCTAGGTTGTCATCAGGTGGAAGTTGGGCTTATCAAGGTTAGTGTATTTACACAATGACAACAATCATTTTCTTTATTTACTCTAGGATGGTGAATTTCTTCAAACAGATGCTTGCTTTTTTGCCTATATGCTTTCTGGTTTTTTCTTAGTTTGAAGTTAATCTACGATCCCTAGGCTCCCTTTAACCTCAAGTCAAGCCTGGCCTTGGGGAGCAGAAGAACTCCCAGAACCCTATCAAGCAGGTATTAAGCAGGTAACCTGTAGTGAGAGTCAGTTTCTGGTCCTGATTTCCAGTAGGTAAGGATGGGTTTCAAGAGAACTGGTGTGATTAGCTAAGATTGGCAATACTGAGGGGGTAAAACTTGGTTAAACTGAGGGGTCCTTCCCATAAAATAGTATACCAGCTTTAAAGCTAGATGGAAATATAATTATCATTCAGTAATAAACCACATTCAGATTATGAAAATTATAGTTAAAAGCTCAAATACTGATACAATTTGAATATTATTACAAGACTACTACTGGATACAAGACCTAACAACACAGTAGTTCGTATACAGGTACAGTATTGTAATTTAAATATATCATAATTGCATACAATTGATATATAAAAATTGGTAAATACCCTTATGTACTTTGTTTCACACTTTGGCTGTCCAACATCTACATGCATTTCCGACCATAAATGTTCTAGCTCTCCAGGCTGCTCACAGGTTGCTCAGCGAAGCGAAATGTATTTACAATAATTTTTTGTTTTCTTATTTATTAACTGGATTATTACTAAAAATTTGGTACTAAAATGTTTGCAAATGAATTCTCTAGAGAATAGGTGGAAATACAAAAGTGTATTTATGATATATTATGGTGCAACCATGATGAATATACAAATGTTTATGAAAAGCAATTGGATGACGCATTTTAGCATCATTGGAACGATTACTGCCGGAGTACAGATAACGCATTCGAGTCATTGGAATGCAAAAGTGGTAGAGGAATGTCAAACATGCCATTCATATGAAAAGCATCATAAAATATATATATTTTGGGGGATGTTTTCTAAAAGGAACTTCTGCATTTCTCCCTGAAGCTGTGGAAATAATGCATACTCATCACCACCCTAAATAATATTACCAATGTCTGATAGATAATGAGAGTTTAGCCAGCAGAATTAATTGGACACATTGACCCCAATGTACTTAATTATTTACTATTTCTAAACCAAATACAAAATATTGTATACAAATTATTATCTTAAAAACCTAATTTTTCTCATATGAAAAGTGATAGCGAGATGTTCAGAATACTTTTGTAATGTCACTTAACTTTTAGGTTTAAAGATCAAATAGTAATACTCAAAATATTGACAAACTCTGTTGATTTCCATATAAACCACCACTCCTGCACACTTAATATACTGTTCACTCTTGTACCTCTTGTTACAACTGTGACAATTTATCAACATTATTTTCTAAACTTATGTCTGCCAGTCCTGCAGGGAACACTAAACAGCCCTTTTATATTTTGTATATTCAATCATATTTTAATCTTCAATGCCTCTCTGTGAAGTGTATTTTTCTAAGTTTGATTGGCTCCTTTTATTGAAAATCTACCAGCAAACATTTTACCTTCATTTCTAATACAGTACATGAATTTGTGTATCTATAAAGCAGGATCCAAAGAATTTGGTAATGAAATATCTTGTGAAACAAATGTACCCCTGCCCATGCATCCCTTTTGTTACTCCAATACAACTCGTTCCCCATTCCTACATAGCATTCTTACCCTCTAACATTTCCTGCTTCCCAACTTTCATACATTCCTTAACTTGGTTAACCCTCCTTTATTAGAGACATGCAGTCTTTTAGTGTATACAGTATATCAAAAGTTGTAAGGACAAAATTAAAGCCACACACATCCTTTTTCTTTAGTCTTTCTTTTGACACGGCATAATTTAGGCCAGAATACACCCCATGACAATGTATTGGGCATGAAGGATGGTGGCACTGACAAGGATGGCTGAAGCTCATCACACACAATGTGTGGTTACCAAAATATGTAAGTGGAGTGAGGCCTAGGTCTAGAACCCCATCTTACAGTTATTGTGCACGATCTATTTACACCTTTTGACATTCTAGCATTAGCACTTTGACATTTTCTTTTGTAACTGTAAATCTAAGCAGCTTCCACAACCTCTGAAGTGTGTTATTGTTTACAGCTTACAAGGAATTTAATTATTTTCATACATCTAGATCCATTTGTTTTCATCTTCAGCCTAAACCCCTCCTAGTTTTGCTTTCTTATCATATCACCTCTGGTTCTCTCTTCTTGAGTCATTGGATTGGGTTCTCTTAGTCTTTTCATAATTTGGCTCTCCTATCTCTTCTACTAGTATCACAGAAATTATCTGAATTATCTAACAATATAATTGTGCATGACTTTGTTTAGTGTATGCATGTGCATGTGTATTTGCAGTACCTAAGAATAATATCAGGATGATAGCTACGCTCATGGTGTCCCAACTTTTCTATAATCTTTGTTATGTAAAGCTTTGAGCTTCCAGTGGTTTAGGCATGTACTACCTTCTCATTATTTATTTAATCTGTTTTGGCACAGTCATTTTCATAATTTGAATCTAAAACCTCTTTTCTTGATACTGTAAATTTAAAATGCTTCCTTATAATTTCTTGTACTGTATTTGTCATAATTTTGTACATGGCAATTATATCTCTATCTTCTTCTAGTTTTGATTTGTTTAAAATAAGCATGTATAAGTATGCATGCATGTCTATATGTAATTACATACCTAAGTGCAGTTATAGGACGAGAGGAACACTTGTGGTGTCCCATCTTCCCTGTAATCTTTGTCATTTTGAGACTGCTAATGGTTTTGGCCTCCACCACCTACTCACTTAAACTGTTCCAAGTGCCCACAACCCTGTTCACAGGAGAAAACTTTCGGACATCATTTCGACACCTTTGTTATCTAAGTGTGGGTTTTAAACATTTCTCCTTTACAACTTTGTTGATTTCAATCATGATTTTGTATGATCATATCTCCTCTTTTCCTTTTAAGCTATGAGCTATTGCTCATAGCACCTTAAGCCTTTCTTCACAGCTCTTTGTTTTTTAAGTCAAGAAGCTATTTGGAAACATGTCATTGCATCTTCTCTATTTAGTTGATCTGTTTTTATAGACATGAATACCTTACAACTGATGAGATGAGAGAGGAGAGCGAAGGAGGAAAGGAGGGGCTCCTGAAATTATTACAATACAGTAAACTGGCCACTTTTAAATTCATTGTTAATTTTCATATGTACTTATTCTCCCTGACAAAATACACTGGTTATGTTTTGTGTCAGGATATTCATTTTAATCAACTACAATAAGAATACATTTGCATTCTAATATTTATGATTATGTACAATAAATATCTCCCAATTTTATAATAATTTTGTCATGAGCAACCCAGATTCACCTTTCAAAATTGTGCTGTCTTGAAATAAATATTTACAGTGCAATATATATATACCAGTATGCATATCATATCAATGTTCAGGAAATTAGTCCTTCAAATAATAATGTTTATAGTACAGATGATAACAAAAACATTGTACAGTACATCTAAAAGTATTTATAGTGGATTGGATAGTTACCTTAAATCATGCTTTGGTCAAAATGCACAATATTGCCTTCATCAGCATTATGCCATTATTTAGAAACATCCTCATTTTCAACTGTGAGTGCACAAGTTAAAAATATAATAACAAGCAAGCCAGGCACTGATATCTCCTGCAGACCAACACTTGGCCCTCATGGATGGAGTTCACTGGAAAATGAACAACAAATGAACAATATTGCTTTACAAAATATCCTTTATAATGTTAATAAAATCGAACAGAAGAATGCTTAAGAGTAAATAATAACCTTCAAAAAAATATATTTATATTTCAAATGATTATATGTTGTTATTACCTACAATGACAAGTGGTGTAAGACATAGGCATTCCCTATACATGTATGCTGAATACTGTACACCCATTACCATCAGAAAGACATTATGTGAGTACAGGGAATACATACTACTGTATCTTCTTCTCACAATACATTAATGCTTTTAATCACTAGCATAATAATATCTACAGCATAAAATAATTGACAGGTAAAAAAGAGTTACTGTACCTGTTATATAATAAAAGAATACAGTATAAAAAACTGCTTTAACAATTTATATGGGTAATAAATATAACCAACCATTTATATAGGTAACATATGTAATAATCTTATGTATTATGCCAAGACCTAAAACTACATAAGACTTTGAAGTCCTTAAACTAAAAATCAGCTACAGTACAGAAATTTAAAAAATGCACAGAAAGAATATTGGCACTGGAGATTATAATAAAAAAGTTGAGTAGGCTTGATAATAGAAATCATAAATTCATGCATTATGCAGCAATTCAAGAGACTAAATTAAATATATTTTAGATAGATTATAGCTATGATCAGCTGATTTAAAAAAATAAATTAGGCATACTGTTACCATGTACTACAACAAAACTCTTAGTACTGTATTAAAAAATGTATCGGATTTAAATTCAAGTGGTCTTAATACTTAATTTAAAAATATGCAATCCCAACTAATTAAATTTAATAAATTTTGAGCTAAGCAAACTAAAGGCAAAGATTTCATCACAGAGCATGGCCCAAGTGCAGGAACACACCGGGTATAGCACACTGGTCTGCAGTGCCAAGCCACTTATGCTGCTACACATCATGCTAAAACCTCAAGTGGGGGTTTGAGCATGATGGGGGTTTGAGCATGGTTTTGAATGACGTGGGGGAAATCCCCCCACGTCATTCAACTCCCCAAGTTGAATGACGTGGGGGATTTCAGCAATGTTTATGACACAAATAGCGTGTCTCAAGTAAGTAGGTAATCCAAGCTGTGATCACATGAATGCACCCTATAAGCAATCAACCAAATCGGAATAATCTTTGTACGCTGCTTGAAATGCAAAGGATTTTGGTTTGGGGTTCTGTAAGTAGGTTTATCAGATTGAAAGTTACATACTCAACAACAAATAACCAGTGAAGGAAAAATGCCAGCTTAAGTTTTAGAGATAATTCAACAGATAGTTCTTGACTGATGCAGCAATACAACTTTGCAGTGTGAGGAAAAATTAATGATGATGATGATGATAGGTTGGTTTCCTCAGTAAAGATGATAGGGTGGTTTCCTCAGTAATTTTCTTTAATGAAAATACCTGAACCTACCTGAAAATACCTCAAATAGCCTTGCAATGTTGGTGTTACCACAAGCCTTTCAATGATGGTGTTACCATAAGTCTTGCAATGTAGGTGTTACCATAAGTCTTGCAATGTTGGTGTTACCATAAGTCTTGCAATGTTGGTGTTACCATAAGTCTTGCAATGTAGGTGTTACCATAAGTCTTGCAATGTAGGTGTTACCATAAGTCTCACAATGTTGGTGTTATCATAAGTCTCACAATGTTGGTGTTATCATAAGTCTCATAATGTTGGTGTTATCATAAGTCTCACAATGTTGGTGTTACCATAAGTCTCACAATGTTGGTGTTATCATAAGTCTCACAATGTTGGTGTTACCATAAGTCTCACAATGTTGGTGTTACCATAAGTCTCACAATGTTGGTGTTATCATAAGTCTCACAATGTTGGTGTTATCATAAGTCTCACAATGTTGGTGTTATCATAAGTCTCACAATGTTGGTGTTATCATAAGTCTCACAATGTTGGTGTTACCATAAGTCTCACAACGTTGGTGTTATCATAAGTCTCACAATGTTGGTGTTATCATAAGTCTCACAATGTTGGTGTTACCATAAGTCTCACAATGTTGGTGTTATCATAAGTCTCACAATGTTGGTGTTACCATAAGTCTCACAATGTTGGTGTTATCATAAGCCTTGCAATGTTGGTGTTATCATAAGCCTTGCAATGTTGGTGTTATAAATATTGCAATGTTGGTGTAGCCATCAGCCTTGCATTAACCAACAGCTTCATATAGACCCCAATGATTTGTTACTCTTTGCCTTCCTTGTACACCTATGTGTGTGCCAAATTCATATGCTGCAGCCAAAAATAAAGAAAATCTTGAAATGCAATATGAAAATGAAAATTAAAATAAATAACAAAATTAGCACAGAGAAAATTCTCATTATATCCGTATTGCATTTTATCAAGCGGATTTAAATTGGGGTCCACATTTAGTTTTAAATACAATAAAATTATCACCAAAAATATGCTAAAATACACATTTAAAAATCATCCTTGCAGAAGAATTTGTTTAAATTTGAGCATTAATAGTCATGATAATAATATTCCTAGTCAGATTCATCACACAAATGATGCTCTGAAAATGTATTTTAGTTGCATAGAGGCAAATTGCTGTTAAAATTCCTTAGTAAATTTGAGTGTGTACCTAGCCTTGCTGGTGATGGCTTGCAGGATTGATCACAGCATGAACTTCATCAGCACCTGCTCCATCTGGAAGCAGATTGTTATCTTCCTCTCTCATTCCTTCTAAAGGTTCTTCAACAGATTCTGATCTTGCATTTGTTCTAGCTCTATCCCTGGAACAACCATTATTACACAATCCAACACCTTCTGCAGCTCCACCTACCCCAGCTCCTTCCTCAACTCCAGCTGATGAAGGGGCATCTCCCATTACAACAGCTGCAGCTGCTTCTTCTGCTGTCCCTCCACCATCTTCTTCACTACTGTTTGAATGATGAGGTCTCACAGGAGCAACTGCATGGTCAAAACCTCTCAATTTGGGACGATTTTCAGAGCCCACCTGAGAAGGTGTCTCAAAGTGTACGCAATGAAAAACCTGGAGGATAATAAAAGATTAAAAATGTACTCTTATAATAAAATCGTGCACCTAGGGATCAAATATATAATATTTTCCAATATGTTTTTTGTTTACCAATGTAACAGAAATAAAAGTAAAATGTAAACTTTCTTAGTCTTACTCACCTCATTTGCAGTGTTAAAGGTACCAACTATTTTAAAGTAAACAATAGCTCTTGGTGGGAAACTTAAAGTCTGCCATGACCTGCAGGCTTCACGTGTCTTATCAACAATCAGCTCCCAGTCTCTATTATTTACCGAAGCTTCTATGTAATAACTGTAAGAGCGATCATCACAGTCCCATAGAAGCAGCCTGGAAAAGTAGCGATTATTATTTATCAGGTACCAGATTAAGATTGTCACAATCATTCAACAACGCAGAAAATGTCTACCGATTTTACGCTAAACCAATTCACTTTATATAAAACAATAGAATACAACAATATACATACCTTTAAATTATAAAATTATCAACAAACATTTGAACTACAACAAGTGAATATACATTACAGTGCTAATGAAACTTTCTAAATGCTTTGTGAAGGTACGCTGCATGTCAGATATACACTATTGTACAATGATTAGAGCTGAATACAGTACAGACAAAAAATACTAAAAATCCCCAAAAGACATTAAATTAGGAAATATATATCACACATTACATACTTGCAAGAGGAAAGCCAATAAGGCTGCCCTAGCTGAACACATATGGATCCCGAGCCTAGTTGGTGGCAGGTGTAGCCAGAGTCCCAGTCATAGTGGTGAATATCACCATTTAAAAGGTTATTGCGGGCACGACTTACTCCTTCAATCACTAACGCACTTTTGGTAACAAGTGCAACATTTTCTGTTGGAACTGTAAAGAAAAATTATGTCATTTTAATTACAAATAATATAATCATTAGCAACATAAACCCAATTTTCTGTCTTGTTACTTCGACATTTTCCGTCTCCCTAGACCTACTTTTATAACTGAATATACTTCTAGAGGAAGCTCTCATTATTTCTGGCATCTCCTTCCCGATGTGTACAAAACAAGAAAAAGAATGAAATTTGTGTTTGTTTACATTTACCATACTTTCCACATGCAAATATATTTTTCTATAAGTGGCAGACAGAGTGGCACATTTGAAGACAGCCACTCGCTAAGGGTTAATAAAGCATTCGATACATGAAATCAATATCATGTTATAATATTTAACATTTATCTGATGTTCCAAAAAATGACTTCTAATACATGTTCAGCATTATATTAACTCTCTTATTCATTGCTTACCTATAAGTCCTTTGTTCAATTCCACTTCCTGTTTAGAAAAATAAGCTTCAAAGGCCACCACATGGAAAACACGATTAACAGTATTATTTGTGCCAACAATTCGAATATACCGGACAACTCTTGGAGAGAAGTAAAGATACTGCCAAGAACGACAGTGATAACGAGTGTGGTCAACGACTCGAACCCAGTCCTTCTGATCCATAGACACTTCAATATAGTATGAGTATCCTCTGTAACAGCAAAAATATTTATATGGAGTACTGAACATTATATAAAATTCCAATACACATGTAATACATAAGATACATACAAATATACCACCCCACCCCAGAAGTGAAGGATGAATATATACTTCAACATCATCAAAGTACTGTTTATGACAAAAGATGACACTAACAAAGTTAATGGAATTAAGGCAAGGATATTAAAGGGAAATGCACAATGCTGATATATTTCCATCTTACAACATCAATATAGTTAACAAGTGAATACACATTACCATTTAAAAGGTTATGTCATTCACTGCAGGGAACATATTAGTAAAAAGATTGCAATGTTGCCTAAATATATAGATGCACATTCCACCAAACACACGACCGAAACTATGACGTTGCTACGACGTTCGAGCAAGTTTTAACACCTAAAAATTGTAACAACCAATAGAGCAAGTTCTAACATTCTAATATGTCATAAAAAAGTTATACCAAGATGTAACAACTTTATTACAAGTTGTAACAAGGGATTCATAGACACTGTTACAGTGAGTGTTTGCAGGGTATCTACCACTAAATTAGATTTGCTCTTAGAAAATACATAACATGAAGTTTATACAGCACTTTATTCTAAGTGCTGTATTTATTCACTCTGGCAAATTGAACATAATTAACTATTTAATTGAAATTAAAACACAGTAATTAAATATTTCAAATCACTTATTAAAATTTATGGCTTTAGGTATAACTGAAACGGTATGAATGATGTCATTTGGGGTACTAAAACAGCGTAATACAGAACACAGGATGAACATGATGAGCTAGGGTTTGAGGATAATGTGGTGACAACACTGCCATTTAGAGGTAGCCAGGAATACCGGGTTATCAGGTTTTATACATCCTCATTTTTCATTTATGTCTACTGAGAGCCCCCCCACCCGTTTTTTTCTTTTTTACTTTTTTTTTGTACAGGTGGATACAGGAGCAGATGACTGCTGTCTCCTGTTAGCAGGCTGAGAGCTTTTCCATCCCACAGCATATGATAAGCCTTACCCACTAGTTTTCCTGGAATACAACCTCCAAATTGTTTAACAAGTAGGTACCCAATCACTGCTGAGTAAACAGAGGCATACTGTTAAGGATTGGCACCTAGTCAATTCTCCACACCAAAGATACGAACTTAGGCCAAATTGCTCGCGAAGCGTGGATTGTGTGTGTTACCACTGCACCACTGGTGACATGGCTTTGAGATTTGATGGAATGAACCTTTGTCAACTCACTCCAGGCTGAACTGGACTAATCTCCTGTGACCCCCCCCCCTCCCCCTAACAGCTCTGACCCTACAGGGACCAACTGGTAAGTTCTCTGTGGCACTGGTGCTAAGAAGGTTGTCTGACAGTCAAGATCCTTGCCCAAATGACAGTAGATCTTTCCTAAGGGCAGTTATTAACTTTTATTCCTGCTCATACCTCGATTCCCAAACTGATGAAAGAACACACAGCATTAACATGGAAGCTAATTTCAGATTCCAGTTAAGAACCCTTGCCTTTGGGGGTACAGTACCCAAATGCAATAGCTCAAGGATCTAAACTCAAGTTTGTTTACCTACAGCAGACAAACTTATTCTTCTAAGAATTATTCTAGTATTTCAACCAATTTAATTATTAAGTCAACCCTGTTAAAAAATTAGTAAAAATATGTGAATGCCCCCTTTATATCCATTTTCCATATTAATTTTTTTTACAAATATTTCTTATTTAACCTAATACAATAATTAAAATCTTGAATGTCAAAATAATTCTTACCTTTGGTCTTTATCCCAGAGCATCATTCTCATGTGATTGATGATACACTGCATCCCCAACTTGATTAATATACCTTGACCATTATTATCATCAATAGGATGCCTTGTGAAGCCACGGTCCATGTCATATGTTGCTACATTTCCATCCAAAAGGTTTGCTCGCATCTCTCCTTGAAGCACCTGTGCCCCTTTGCTAGGTACAGCCACATTTTCTCCTGGCACTGGAAATTAACAAATGCATAAGAGCAAATATTAATCCTTACATACTGTGTAATCACCTGAGTAATTACTTTTTGTGTTACAGCAAAGCTCTGGGTTGCAAAACAAATCCACTAGCAGCTCTATGTCTGTACTGTACATGTATCATACTACACTTACTTAAATAGCCTCGATACTGAAGATCCATATCCCTCGACTCATTTTTGGCTTTAATTGCATCCAAAATTTGATCAGGAGTTATTAATGAAGTTGGTCGAACAACATTTAACAGATCCTGAAAGAAGTCATTAGATTACTGTTAAATAATATAATCTTATTTGTTGACATTTAAATAGGATGATACCAAAATATCATTAATTAGATGAATTTTGAAGCATTTAGTATCATTGCACACAAAAATATTTATTAAAAATATTAAATATGTAACCATTTTGGTATTTTTCTACATTCAATCTTTTTATTTTGTTTACCCTGACTCCAATGACAAGAAAATTAAATGTAAAATTAAGGTTTAATTATGGTAAGATTAAATAAAATTTTAGGAACTAGTGATATTAATATCAGATTTTAATTGATTTTAAATTTTTTATATGAAAATCATTTTAAATATTTAATTCTAGTTCTTCATATTTTTAACCCATTTGCAAAGAAACTTAATAAAAGCATTCTAAAAACAGTACATAGTTGACCCAGGACTTAGATTTTCACATTCCAAGGCTTAAGAACAATTATCTATCCATAATAGGAAGAGAGAAGAAATGATAATATTGAGAAAAATAAATTAACTTACAGTAAGACTGATAAGAGGTAATCTAATATGAGCAAGAATTTCTTGTGTTTGTTCTTTTGTCAGATCTGAGTTCCGTTCAACCCATGTTTGTACACCTTGGAATATATATACTTCTGGGGCACAAAATGAATCTCTTCCAATGATGGCTTTCAATGCTGACTGCAAAAAATGAGAAAATATTAATTATACAAATTGGGGCCATTATATAGATGTGACACTTGACTGCACTACTTTACAACAACTACTAAAGACTTAGATTTTTACAGCACAGGCTACAATCCACTTATCCTAAAAGTTCCCTGTAACCCCACACACATCGCCATTACCCAACTCCTCATGTTCATGGGGTAGAGGCACATAAGCCTGGAAGAAATAAAAGCAATAGAGGAAAAGAAAGTTAAAGATACAGAACTTTATATGATAACCACCATTCACCAATGGCCACTTAACCCTAGCAAGAATTGGCCAGTAGGTTCATTTGGTCGGACCCCCACCAAAGTAGTGTTGCCCCACAGGAATATGGGGAGTACTATACGGGTTGCCACGCACAACAAACACAAGAGTTGCATAAAACTACAAAGGGTAGATGGGCTGAACTTATTTCCTTGAAGCAAAGGAGACACTTTATAAGCCATACTTATCTGCCTTCTATGTTATTGGAGCAATGTTAAGGAACGATCCTTGAGAGGAAGAAAAGCTACAGGAAACTAAAATATGACATCTACAGTACACAAAACAAAACAAAAATTACAAGAATAGCTACAACTTATGAATGCAATAAAAATTACTTTAGACAAAAATTATTTATAATAAGGATTCACAAGAAAAATAGGACTGCAGAGTACTACAATTTTACGAAGAGGTGGGGTATTGCTGTGAATAATTACCTGGTGGGGCAGTACTCATTTTTCTATAAGGCTAAGTAGTATTTATGATAGGGTGAATGGATATGCATTTTTTTCCTGGGCTGATGTCTTCCTACCCCATGATAGTGGAAAATGAGAAATAATAATGGCCATGAAAAAAATATATACAGTAGTACAAAGTCTCCCACAGAGATTTTTTCTTTGGCTACATTGATAATATTGCACCAAATGGTAACCTACACCCATAACCCCACTTAATGACTCACAATGCAATAGTGTTGGGCATAATTAAATGCTCCTTTTAAGGCATAAGCCTTGGATGCTGCTATAGCCAAATACTATATGATCCACCTAGGATTTGTATGAAATGCCAGACTCTCAAGAGTTTTATCCTCATAATAACAGGGATCTCTGCACATGATTCCATTATGTATCTTAAGAAGAGTGACAGTGATGAGTCTATTTCAAGCTAACATCGACTCAAACACCTTACTAATGAAAATTATAAGTGAAAACTACCAATTATCAATTTGCAAACTACTGATAATTGATGAAAGGCTAAGCCTTTGAAAAAAAAATGACAGCTGTCCTATTTTGTGTATACTTACTGGAGAAAGGGCATAAAATGATTCATGATTCAGTATAGGTAAGGCATTTTTATCCATAAAATCTTCACACACAGTCTTCAGGTTTGTAAGGGTGTATAGAAATGCCATATCATATATAACACAAATATTTGCAATACACAAAGCATCCTTCAAGTATTCACAGACAGCAGATTCCAAATCTTCAAAGCCATACTGGTGAGCAAGCCCAAGGATTTCTAATACAGTCTCTTCCTGAAATAGTGCAAAATTATATTACAGTAATTCATTTTGCCTATGACAGAAGACCAAGTAAATTAAACAATTATAGTTAATAAAAAATGTAACTGGAAAAAGAATACACACTTTAAACATTATTCCTTACAAAGAACATTAACATTAACTGTCTGGGCAGGAAACAAGTGATGAAATGGAAAAATCATGGAAAAAAGGGTGAATATAGTACAACAAAGAATGGGTAGAATGGAGCAGGCTTAAAAAGCATGATCAGATAGAGCTCCTTTGAGGCTTTTCTGCTGTAACTAATTCCCTCCTAGAAGATCCTAAACAGAATAAGACATCAGATATATAGATAGACTGTACCTGGGCTCTATACCAAAAATATAAATATTGTATTAATTTTTTTATTCTCATTGCCAAAATCTTAGTCTGTAAAAACTCACCTTTTCAGAACTGAGACTGACCCATCCAGTATAGATATATTTCAAGAGTACATTGAAAGCTGTTAAATTGGCATCTTTTATTTCTACCTCAGCTTGGCGAGATTCACGCAATCCACCAAATAGAAGAGCTCTGAAATTCAAATGTTTTATGAACAATTTCTATTATATTTGGACAATATATTAGATTATTTAATTTCAGGGGTTTTAACTTTTGCTTAAAGTTGAATCAAGCATTATTATTTAAAGACATACATTGCACAGCAAAAAATCAGTGTTGAATGTAATGAAGCGCCATTTTCTGGGTGAGCCCTGACAGCTTCCTGAAGCTATCCAAACAGATATGTGCTACATTAGTTTCAGGTCATCAGTCACACGAGTTCTTATGCCTACTAGGAACCACAAGCCAGAACCTGGTCCCCCTCAGAGGCGCAGGGAGCAGTGGCCTATGAGCACTTTACATTTAAAGAACAATACAGTATGTCATAATTACCATCGACCAGGGCAATTATGACAGAAATGAAGGGTTTATGACAAATTATGGAGGGTTGCTTGTTTGGTTTCTTTCTAGGGGGCTGTTTTGATCTTTTGGGATGTAGATTACACAGGTTAACCAGACAGTGGTCTGTTTTGATTCACCTACCTTTCTGGGTCCTTCCCCGGTCAATAGCAATTATGACATACTTTAAACGTAAAGTGTTCATAGGCCATTGCTCCCTGCGCTTCTCTGAGGGAACCAGGTTCTGGCTCGTGGTTCCCAGTATGCATAAGCACTCCTGTGACTGATGACCCCAAACTAATGTAGCGCATATCAGTTCGGATAGTTTCAGGGAGCCGACGGGGCTCTCCATAGAAAAGAATTTCAAATGCAAGCAAATTTTGCTTACCATACAAACTATAGAATTTGCATTTCAGATAAAAATAAAATAATTTAAAAGAAAAATAGAATGCTCAAATTAAAAATCAATACAAACCTGAAATACTGACTTCGTGCTGCTAATATGACTTTGTGTGCACGAAATGTTTGTCCACTGACTTGTAGAGTGACATCACTATACTCATCGTTGAGATAAAGAGCCCCAATATCATGCGCCAGGTTGCTAGAATGATCTACAACTCCACCAGGGTAGGGTAAACCCAGGTGGATGTTAGACATGGTTCTCACACACTAGAATGATGATGATGATGGCTATTACCTTGTGTATTCTTAAGAAATCCTCTTCATTTCTGAAAATAAACAAAATACTATATATTGGCTCAACTGCTGATTATATACATATATGTACTGTAAGCACAATTCACGTTAAACAGAAAATATGTGTATCTGCTTATAAGATATCTAGAACTTGAGCAAACCTTGCAACAGAGCTACATTTTTTATTTATACAGTGTAAAAATAAGCTGTTAACCTTTAGGGTGTTGTGTCAGTAATACTATATTTTATTTATGGAGACTCAAACCAGTGAGGATTGTAACAATTCACTTTACTATGTGGCAGCAAAATCAATAAAAATTACATCAGGTCATGAAGTGTTAGCAATTAGTATATCTCTTGTTCTCAATGGATAGCTTTGAAACTCATAAAACTAATGAAAAATATCACAATGATAAAATAACTCTTGAAAACTTATAAATAAATAAAAAACACTATTATATGTAGCAATATAATATTTAAGCAATTTCTAATACATTATTAGAAAATATATTTTACATATAAGTATTTTTATGTAATACATTACACAGCACAGTAAATGGCATCCATGCACAACTTTGTGAATGTACCAGATCAACACAATGAAAGCATCAGATGCAAGGAGTGTGACGCTGACTCCTCCTTGCTTAATTCCATAAATCAAAGACAAGGGGCTTATTCACCAACCAAGAAGAATCCCATAAATGCATAAGTGTTCCGAACCATAATGAAATCTGACTCGAGTAGCAATTGGGTCAACCTATGTGTTGCGTTTTCACAATGGTTGCCCAAGTTAAAATCGACGAACGCTGATTTTAACGTTCAAAATTTCCCCATAGATATGAAGTCCCCCATGACACAGTATTAAAACACTGATCTAACCTGACCTAACCTAACCTAACCTAACATTAAAAACTTTGGATTTTTGGTTTAATAAGTTATCAAGATGTTTTCAACAACATTCTTGGGGCGTTCACCAATTTTAACTTTGGGGACCATTGTGGAAATGCAACACATGGGTTAACCCAATTGACAATCATGTCAGATTCTAACAAGGGTTCGACCATCTGTGGCAGAGGGTTCAGCATTGGGTTAGGTTAGGTATAGGTTAGAATTTGTCGGCAAACCACATTGTGTGTACAGTAATGCTACTTGTACCTAGTGGTTCACATACAGCTTACAACTATGTTTTGTATACTGATACTTGTACCTGAAGGTTCAGGTACAAATTTTCAAACCTAAACCATTATATTCATCAGTATAATGTGTGAAGCATACTGTTACCATGTGGTTACACAGAATACAGTGTACACATAGATTTTCCGTGTATATATTTATTGATTTTCAAAAATGATAATTATAATTCAAGGTCAATTAATGGAATATGACACATCATATTCATGGATAATTCATTCATAAACAAGCCACGGCAGACATGTACGAAGTGACCTTACCCCAGGCGTGGGAAGGTCTATGCCAATACCTTCCCTTTCTCCCAGTCTGTCAACGCCTGCATTTTAATACCTGCATTGCTTCTTCAGTAGCACAACCTTCTGCTAATGCCATCACTGGTTACCCCTAAAAATAATCAACTAATCTCTGCCATCAATGTCTAACTTCTCATTGCGGTCTGCCACAGCCAAGACGTCAACTACCTTGTCACTGGTGCCATATATCACGTCCCTTGCAGGTTGCAAGTGATGCCACTGGCCATAGGTGCCAGGCCTAGCTGCAACAGCCCTCAACTAGGGTCATGGTAAGAGCAATTCGTGCCAAAACAAGGCCAATTACCTGCGTAGATTCTAGAATGTGATAGATGCAACTCCAGTATACACAGACGCCATCGTACTGTGTCCATATACTCGCATTTCCTTGTGTATACTTGTATCACACGTATATCTCCTCATTATACATTTTGGGGGCGGTGTATTGGTTCATTCCAACCTTAAGAGTATATATTTATTTGACATAAAACAGCAAATGTTTTGAATTCTGATCTGGAAGGATATTGTTAACCTTTCCTCCTGTTTAGATAGTACTTTTTGTAACTTGCATCATGTGGACCTCGATATATAGACATATGCTTGAGTACATATAACTATGACACCAGTCGTAACTTACTTTAATCATTTAGAGCATGAAGTTTGAGTTAGTGCTCCACTACTGATCATTTTCGCCAGTGCAGCCACTGAGGTCAAGCGATCAACATCAATTATAGAGGTTGGATATAAAAACCATGATATTTTACGTATGTATTTGACGTGTTGAGATCTATAGCTACCCAAGTGCGAGTCAGTAGTTAGCCTAGGGCTGGACAGACCTCGAAATAACATATAAAGGCCGCTTTCATATGTATACATATAAGTAGTGCGATAGGCACGTCCTGGTAATCAAGTTTGTTCATTTATTATGCACCCCATACCTATCCTGTGGGCGGTAGTGGAAAGGGTTACAGAAGCACATAATGGGCTGAGATTGAACCCCAAAATTCATTTAGATAAGCATGTTATAGTCTTGCTTTGACTGTAGCAAAGACTAAGCTACACCAGAGTAGCAGAAGGTTCGCCCTCTGTAATATGGTATCATCAGGCCATCATATTCACCAAGTTAGACAGGTTAAATATCCCGAAAGGAATCCACAGTGAAATAACAGTTCGGTTGTATAGACTACGTCTTGGTTACATATGAAGTGGGAAATTAGTGAACCCAGAGAGTGGGAATGCATCTTCTGCCAAACAATCACAGAAAAGCCACTCATTCCCTATCTCCTGGAACGTGAAGCACTAACGACCTCAGAAGATATTTAAGTGTCCCTAAATCTTGCAGTAACCACCCTGAAGCCATCAACACTGCCACTCTTCTGGTCAAAAAAGGTGTCCAGCAGCTGGACACCCTCATAAATACTGTCAAGCAGTATCCTCCCTCGCGATAGCAACCACATAGCAAGGACTGGCAGTTGCAAGCTCAGCACACAATATTTCCTATCACGACTAAAGATCACATTCACAACCAAACATCTACCACTTACGGGCATGTCCGTGCCATCTCTTGGGTGCATATACATTCATGTACACAAATACATTCACATATCAATAATCTTCTTATATCAAAAGAGATTCAACAAGAGGTTCACAACAGTCACTATACGAGACACTTTACATCATTGGTGAGTCACACAGTTACAAGTCTTGCTCCACACCCACCCAACTGGGCAGCAGCTTTAGTCATGTGCATGCATTATCTACTGTAAGCAAATTTTGGATACCTCGCTAAGATTCCTGGCAGAACATCATTATGAATGAAGTACTTACACATTTCTTGGACACCATTGATGGTGTTATCTTTAAATTCCGCAATTTTTTCTCATTCCATTACATAATGACGCAAAGTATGCGAATAGTTCTGCTGACAGAGTTTACATTTAGTCAAATCTACATCAGCAGATGTTGCAGAGGTACTTGTAGTCGAGCTTAAGCCTAGCAATGGTGACATCTAGAAGTCTGCTAACCTTATTGTATGTCCCATAGTCGTGCGGTTCTTCCTGCACAACAAAATAATGATAGATGGAGTAACTGGTGTGAATTTCACTTTGCCTCAAGATTTACGAGATTTTGTTGATCCCAGAATATTACTGCCATCAGGCTGCTCAAAGGCAGTCAAAGATGGTAATCAATTCCCCTCTTTACGAGCAAAAGTTTTGACTAACTCATCATTTCTATCATGCATCAACTCATCATTTCTATAATGCATTTGGAGACCAGTGTGGGACTACATGAAACAAACTCTGACCCCATCATTGATTATTTCATTATATCTGTGTCTAGCTTCAGACACAAGCATGTCACCACAGGTATGCCTTGAGGAGCTGAGGGCAGTCAAAGATGACAAGGATTCACTTACAATTATCGTGTCAACTTTGGATTAATATACTCGTTCGAGTGCAAGGATTATGGCAACCAATTCTGTTTGATGAGTGGAGGTTCAGTTATTTATACGCGCTCATGGGAGTAGGAACCATTTCCTGCTGCCACGACAACTGCACTTCCAGCTGCACCATAGGACAAATGCAAAGAGTCATCAATGTCATCAGTAACTGGGGTTCTCTTACCAAAGCATCAATTTGGTTTAATTCATTGTACTTTGCTTTTTGTCGAAGCATGGGTTGTTCTTTAATCAGCTTCTTGGGTGGGAAAGTTGTGACATTAATTGCCGCCTTCAAGAGAGAAGGCTTGGAGGGCTTCAGTGTTGGGGTTAGGGTGGGTTAGCCTAAGCATCTTGATACAAATTAAAGCATTAATTTCAGTGATACGATCACTTACACATATAATATTTAGTGTCTTCGTCATGTTTAGAAATTTAGTTGTATGGGACATCAGAGGATAATCCTCATGGCTTCGTTTTGCATCTTTTCCAGCCCTCCAAGCATTCTGTCAGGCACTAGAACACGCATGGGTGCAGCATAATCGATCAGTGATCTAATATATGAGCGGTACATTATTTTGCCAATTCTCACATTTGCGCCATAGCATGGATGAGATAGCCTTGAGAGCACGGAGACTCTCTATACTGACGACCCAGTCTGGCTACAACATTGCGGTACAGGGGAACCTTAAGACCAAGGTATTTGTATCTGGTTAGAGCCATCATGCAGCTGTATCTTGCGAACAGCTTCACCCTGTCTAGGTGGAAGTCGGTTCAAGATCTTTGTTTTCTCTACTGAGATGAAGCCTTACATGTGTTCAATACAGAGTGCATTGATTAACACATTGAACAGAACAGGACTAAGGACACCTCCCTGTGGAGTGCCAAGTTCAAAATCTCTCGTTACACTCCTATGACCTTGGAACAGTACAGATGGCTTCCTACTGGATAGATAGTCCATCTCATTATCTGCATTTAAGCTAATGAAAATATGGAGCAAAAATGTTACTTGTTAATATAGTTGTTACAGGATTTTAACTTGCTTAGTTAAATTAATTTTTGGTTCAGTTCCTGAGCCCATTATGTGCCTCTGTAACCTTTTCCACCCCCACCCACACAGGATGGGGCTGGGGTGCATAATAAACGAACCAAATTATAGTAAATTCTTCATAGTAGAGTAATCTCTTAATGCAGTGACGGTTTATACCTGCATATACATAATGGATGCATCAGAGCATGAACGTATACTTTCTCAGAGATAGGCCACACTTAACAGATGTCTACGTTCTTTCATTTTCATTCATTCATTCACTGAAAATTATGGTTACAACAAATATTTCACAATTGTACAGGGATCATCGATTAAATTTTAATGAATTTGAGACAAGTTACTTTCAACTTCTATGACTAGAAAAATTCACCTTATAATAATAAATTGTTTATATTTTTAGCTTACGATAGAAAGAAAATATGAAGGTGTACATTGTATTAGCAATAATATATAATCTCGATTGTTTGTCCGCGCGTCCCAAATGGCGGCTTTTGTTGTGGAGGCCTCGGCTACGATGTAGTTTTGCTGTCAGGTTTTTCTCGTAGTGTGCTGCATCCTCGTCGCGTTCATTCGCGGATTACTAATTTCCCATTGATGAAAATACCCGAGAAGCACCTGGCATAATGGACTCGGATTTTCCATGTAAGTAAACAGGAAGTTTGTGAAATTTGTGTTCGCTTTTATTGTGGGTCTCGAGCCGACTACGTCATCGACCTTGGAAATGGCGGACACGTTCGTACTGATCCGATTTCGTGAGCCAAGGATTAAAAACGCCAGTAATTAATCGTCGATAGCGCCTCTATGGGACTTTGCTACCTCGGGTTATGTATTCCAAAAGAGACTGTATCCTACGGTAATACATAACTGGCGCCAAGGCGCCGCAGTAAAAAGCTTGGAGCAGAGTTTATATTTGCATTACGGGGGCTTGGCTTGGTGGGGTGGCCATTGTGATACGCGGCTGCCTCCCGATACCCGCTCGAGGCTTCCCTCGCCGCTTCCGCCGCCCGACGTAATCGATACATTCGGACAAGCCAAGTCAAATGTCCGAGTTCCTTGACATGTTCGGCCGGAGCTTCCCCGCCCCCTGCCACCGCTCCCACCCTCTTAAACACACTTCAAACTCTTCTTAATGCACTCTTCAAAACACCTTAATATATCACATTTATATAAACTGGTTTCCTTACGTCACTGTCTCAAATTCCCACTTAAAAGTGTCTAATGGTAGAGCGTATAAAGTCGATTGTAACAGGAGGAACAAAGTTGTAATCAAAATCGAGTAGTAATATGTATGCAAACTTGTTTGTTAAGTCGGTAGAGCGTCATGCAGGTCGGCGTTCAATCCCCCGAGCGTCCAAGTGGTTGGCCACCATTCCTTTCCCCTCGTCCCATCCCAAATCCTTGTCCCGACCCCTTCCCAGTGCTATAAATAATAAAAAAATTGTTAGTTAACTAGCAAGCATGCAAGTCGTGTATGTATGTATATTTATATATATAATGTGTATAATATATATATATGTGTGTATATGTATATAATATACTGTATATATGCATTATATATGTTATATACCTGTTATATATAAAATAATGAGAAGCTCTGAATCACCACTAATATATGGTATATACACTAATAATGGATAGGGTTCCTGGATGTGATTAGTTTCTCTCCTCTCTCTCCAATCTCTCCTCTCCCCAATCTCTTTTTCTCCCCTCCCCCTCTCCTTTTCCCCTCTCCCTCTCCTCTCCTTTTTCCTCCTCCCCCCTCTCCTCTCCCTTTTCCCATCTCTCACAATTTCCCCTCTCTTCCTCCCCACTCTCCACCTTTTTCCTTATTCACTTCCACTCTTGATCTCCCTTTTTTTTCCCCTCTCCCACCCTTACCAACCTTTCTCTCCATCTCCCACTGGCTACCCTCTTTCCCTTATCCTCCTGTCTTCCCTTCTCACCCCCAACATGCCTCACTTTCCCTTTTCCCCTTTCTCTATCTCTCCCTTCTCCCTCTTTCTCTCCCTTCTCCGGTCTTTCCCCCTTTTTCTTCTCTCTTTTCCTCTCCTTCAACATCCTTCCCTCTTTCCAGTGCATCCATCTGTCTATATAAAAAAGAATTAATATGTCCATTGGAGAGCAGATGCATGGGGAAGGTCTCATTCAACTTTTCTGGGTGATACATTGGTGGTAGGGGACTGTCATAGGCAGGTTTGGGGTCAGCCCCCATTGCCCCCGTTTAACAGGATTAGTTCCTATTGCAACTCCCAGTGACTTCTATGAAGTCTGAAATGGGGGTTTTGTGTTATTAAGAATATTTCTTATTTTACTATTCATTCAAGAGGTATTCTATACCGTATGTGCACGTGATTGTGTACTATTAGTTGTCAGAATTTATAGCTTCAAGAATAGCCAGACTGACCATAGGGTGGGTCCCATTTAGCTGTTTTGGCCTAGGGCCCAAAAACAGTTACATCTGGCCCTGACAATGTTGTTACAGTGGTGCATCAAAATAAAAATAATAAAAATACATCATTATTACATTGTGTGTTTGCTGGGTGTGTGTGTGTATATATTACTTGTTCTGATTATATATAATATTATATATACTGTATATATACATTATATATATATATATATATATATATATATATATATATATATATATATATATATATATATATATATATATATATATAATATAATATAATATAATATAATATAATTGGGTGAAAGGAGAGGGAAAGTAGATGTAGGGAGAGAAGACAGACCCGGGCACCACTTGTTGCTCCATCTAATGAGGTATAACCAGCAATCTTTGCATAATTCTCATAAAGTCCTGTCATCTACAAATGTTTCCAGCACAACAACCACATCCAAATTATGTGTTCTCTCACTCGCGTAATACCTGAAAAATAAAATTTTGTAAGTGCTTACTGGTAATCCTTTATTCCTCTTATTTACATAGGTAAAATCTCGCAAGGGAAACTGCAAGCACGTGAAATAAATGGTAAAATATTAGAATGGATAAAATGATGCATAGTAACCCCTCCTCAACAGGAAGTACAATATCTGCTTTGAAGAAAGTTCAATACAAATTGACAAAATTTGCATTGAATTTTGAACTAAAATTCTCAATCGACTACATCGACTCATCCCCATAAGTAAATCGACTCTCTTCCCAACAATGGTTGAGAGCCTAACACTATGAACATACATGACAGGGCTGGCCTCATTGAATCTTTTAAAATACTGAACAAGTTTGAAGATATTAATCTAAACCATTTCTTTAAAAAGGTTATATGGAATGCTTTCAAGGGGCAACAGTTTTAAGCTCAACAAGCCACAATGTGGAAAAGAAAACAGGAGATGCTTTTTCACCCATACAACCCATGAAATAATAAACACGTGAAATTGCCTGACCACCGAAGCTGTAAATGCCAAGACATTTTGTTTCTAAAATTCAACGGTAAAATTTTTTTTAGGAACAATGGGGGGGATTTTTTCCAGCTACCTGTCCCATTTGCGCCCACTAAAAAGATGTTGGTCCTCGGGTAAATTCAGGTAATAGCAATTCAAGTCTGGTTTTTGTTCGCTTGTGTATTCTGCCTTTTCACCTAACATTTCATAAGGCATTTAAAAACGTTATCAAACAGCTTTTATTTTGTTATGTACCGTTTTATTAATACAGTACTGTATAATCATGAAATTTTCAGTTTCTTTTCATGATTACATATTATCAATTTTTTCATGTTGTATTGCAGTTATTTTGTATTATGTACTATTGATTTGAGATGTCGACTCTTTTTCAGGGACAGATGAGCAGACTTACTGTTTTATTCAAGCAAGAGCCCGTTTGAAGATTCACAGTAATGAAACTCCAGATTATGTGTTTCAGTAAGTTGATTTAGATTCTTAATAGCTTACTCTTGTTTCTTTTTTGGCTGCTGTAATTGATACAAAATTTATTTTTCTCCACCCCATAGTTGTTGCTGGTAATGAACATTCATGTATGGTATGTGGGCTGGATTACTGCATGTTTGTTTTTAGCCACATTTGTATTAACTTAGATGCGCTTGCGGTCGTTGAGCTTGAGCTCTTTTGGCCTGCCTCTTCAACTGTCAATCAATCAACTGTTACTAACTACTAACTTTTTTTTCACCCCCCTCCACATGAAGCAGCCCGTAACAGCTGTCTTACTCCCAGGTGCCTATTTACTGCTACCTATTTTGGTAACAGAGGCATCAGGGTGAAAGAAACTGCCCATTTGTCTCTGCCGGTGGCGGGAATCGAATCGAATTAATCTATTATAATTCCACAATTTGTATATAACCCCTAGCCCCTTGTATAACCCAGTATACTGTATACAGTATATGTACCTGGTATATACAGGAACCTTTCACTATGTCTGTTTCATTACATGACTGGCAGTTTGTATGTCTCTTGCTTCCTATTCAATTTAACCTTCTTTCAAGCTTGGTCTCTTTCCGACACCGACATGACAACTGACATCTACCAGAATCCTCTTCTCTAAGGATAAATTACCCCCCACAATGAAGAATCTTTTTCAAATGGCCTGCCCTTAGCAGTACAGTATGTACTGCACAATTTGGTCATAGTAGAGGCTCTGGCATGGTTAGCTGTGCATTTGTTGCATGTTGTGTTTGCTCTTGCTCTTTGATGGTACAGAGTTCAGCACCTGGCAGGTTTCTGAATTCAAGTGGCATTGCATGAACATTCCTGATAATCATCCCAGGGCTAGCTATGCCCTTGTTCACAAAATGTTGGATGGGTTTCTTTTTCTGTACTCTGTATATATCTGCTCAAGTATCTGATCATTCCTATTGAATTGTTTGGTGTGGAATTGCCAGTTCTGAAGTGCTGGGGAGGTTTGTTTTCCTATGAATCCCTTAGCCAACTCCCAGTCCAACTTTGCTGTTTTCAACTTTACAGTGTGCTCTGCTGTTTTTAGACACAGATGGACAGCCTGTTACTTTTAGCTTTCCTTCAATTTGATCCAGGGGTCTTGGTTTGGCTACCTCAGTAGCTCCTCTGATCTTAAACACTAGTAGCACTAAGCTTTCAAATTGTACTAGTACCCTGAGATTTGTGCAGTCCTACCAGGAACCAGGATCAAAAAAAGGTTTGGTTAACGAGGTAATGGAATATGAGGATCATAGATTGACTAAAAAAATGTCACCCATGTATGAATACACAGTCTGTCCTGCCACCATTAGTCTCACTTACCAGCTTAATGTGACTTTTCGTTTGTAATCTATTTTTTAATCTCTGTGATCCTTGCCTTTTCTTGTGTGTGCTGTTGGCAGGTCTTGATTAGGGAGTGTCAAGTCTGTCTCATGGTATGACCAATGAGGCTGCAGCTCAACTGCTCTAGGGAGCAACTTGGTTCAAAGTCCTTTTTTAATATAAATAAATTGTTAAACTAGTACTGTACTGTATTGTATTGATACTGACAGAATTTTATAAATTGACATATTGTACCTGTTTTCTTTCAGATCAATAATAGATGAACTGGGTTTGACAGGGCAAGTTAATCCCAATCAGGCTCGTAGGTACTGGGATTCTCTTGTAACTAGATATAAGGTAAGTTTACTAACACTTACAATATATCATTATCAATACCCTTTTCCCACTTTCATGGGGGTGGTGGGGTCAGCTCCTGAAACCACATGTTGAGTGAAATTATATGCTTTCTTATGAGCTAAGTGTTGATGTAGTGAAGTCTTAAGAATATTACTACACCATTTGAGTCCCATGCTGATGTACTGGGAGCCAGAACCAGAATCTGACTCTCTACAAGACAAAACAAAACTAGCTACTGCTTGAAGAAAGAAATAAAGACCTGAGGTAAACAAGACAAAACTATCATTGTTGTGGTATACAACCCAAACAGTGATGTAACAAACACTACCTCGGCAAAGGAGGACAGATTTTGTAAGTGAGAACATAAAACAAATAACAAAAGAAACGCTATAAAGGGCTAACCTGTGGGATATGATGGTAAGAAAGCAGTGTCCCAAAAAGAAGAGTATCAGCTGCAATCTAAATGCTTGTGGAAACACAGGTGCAGCATGGCTGCAGAACATCCAAAGATTATCACTAAGCAAACACACTGTAGGATTGCCAAAAGCAACAGGCTCAGATATTATCCATGGAAAAAGATGCCAAAAATGCAGCCAAAGCAGCAAAAGGTCTCTATCACAGACAAACAGAATGGTAGCCAGAAGATGGAAGAGAACCTGCCACCAGAGAAGCAGGACCAGCTCGCCAATGATTTAAGGACAATGTCCAGACCACAGTTTGGATGGAATGCAAAAGAGCATCAGGGTCAAGACAAAAATGGGAAATAAATACCCCAAAATTTTAACCCCAAAGGTGAATTTAAATGGCCCCCACAAGCAGGGCACAAGTGGGGAACCAACTCTTTGGGGTAAATAAACCAGTCCAAGACTAGAACACCCATTTGTTGCCTACAAAACTGAGGGAAGAAGTAGGCAAAAGCTATTCTCTACTGAGGTGCCATTGATGAGCTACTGAAAAATCAATTGTTGAATAGAGTGAAATATCCTTTTCTAGTGGACCCTCAGTTCTCAGTTCCTGCCCTGTTTCTTGCCCTTATATTTAGTGTTTTTGGTCCTTCTCAGTTTTGGGTTTGATTCCCCAAGCTCCCCTTGCTATATATAGAACTTGTATAGAGCCAGAACCTGGTCCCGGCTCCAAGTACAGTATGTCAGTGTGGATGTCAGAGGTCAGTGTGATTACTACTTGCTCACGAGAAAAGGGTATTACATATATTCAATGTTTGATTTATATAATTTTCTTTGGGGAGCCCCATCATCTCCCTGAAGCTATCCTACTGATATAGTGCTATATTAGTTGGGGTGATCAGTTGCAGACCTCTTGTTGCTTACCAGGGACCAGATCAGTCATCATGTGACTGATGAACCACTATATCAGTAGGATAGCTTCAAGGAGCCTCTTGAGGCTCTCCCAGAAAATGGCATTTTAGTACATTCAATGCTGTTTATTTTAATTTTATACTGTACTTGAATATAGTGATCTAAAGTACAGGTATCGTTTTAGTTTATAATTATCTTTTCACATTGTTCTTTAGTCGATTATTAATTTATTAATTTTTAGTTTATTAATTTTAGTTTCTAATTTTTAATTACCAGTACATTCTTTTAAGCCTGATAATATTTAATTGCTGCACTAAGCAGTCTGTTATTTTGAAAAGTTTGTATTAAAAAAAATTTATCTAATCGTCATTATTAGTACTGTAATGAGTTCTGAAATTTGTGAGCTTCAAAATGTTTTTTTTTCCAATAGGAACTAAGCCAACCTGCCCTAGAGCCTGAAGATGCAGCTCCTCCATCATGGCCCTTCTATGCCGCCATGCATGATGCACTTCTCACTATGCCACCGTCGGTACTCCCAATTTCTGTTGCTGATGAAATTGAGGCATCGGTTGTGAAGGCATTCCATGGAGGACATGGTATGGAGGAAGACTATGATGATGAAGAGGAGGAGGATGAAGAAGAGGAAGAGGAGGAAGAAGAGGAGGAGGAGGAGGAAGATGGCATTATAGATGAAGATGAAAATATGGGAGAATGTTATGAAGATGAAGATTCTCAAGATATGAATGAATCACAAGGTGATGAAAATTCACAAGAGATGGATGGTGCAGACATAGATGACACATGTAAGTACTGGTATTTTCTTATATATTACAGATCTCTTACAAGACTGTGTGATATACTGTATTGTAAGTAGGATAATATAATACTGGGGACATATACAATTTTGAGAGAGATGGAACTTGAGTGAATGTTGGGTTTGTAAAACTTGCTTATTATCAACAAGATATATATATACAGTATATGAATATGCTTAATGTAGGTATTAAGACGTATTTAGAGCATAAAATATGACTTAAAACAGCAAAAACACTATAAATACCATACTTATTACAAACTTGGTAATAGGGTTACTTTTCTGTTTATTAATCAACTTTCATGTCTTCTATTCCCATCATGACATACCTTTGCAAATAATCTTGTGGCTTAAATAAAGGAGATAGTGGCAAGACTAGCTGAAACTACCATTGAGTGACCCACATGCTGTGATACAAAGGATCAAACTCTCAGAGTTGGGAATGAGGAGTCCAGAGAAGGACCATCCACGGACCCTCGCCATTCTATCCCAAGTTCATGGAATCTTTTCTTGTCACAGAAGGGGAAGGGAAGGATCAAAGCCTTCATTTTAACTTGGAGCCCAAAGACCAAGAAGGAGGAAGGTAAGGAGCGCCAGGAACAAAGCCCTTGGACTCCCCAAAGCAAAGGTCACCCCTGCTTTCGAGAGTATTGTGAAAGAATTGGAATTTGAGGTCACTGTCAAATCCTCGATGGAAATAGCACCAGAAGCTTGTGTTACCAACATATTTGCCACAATCATATCATGCTTGTCTTGAAACCAAGGGAATTTCAGAACCTGCACAAATGATAGGACTGGGAGATTGAATGAGTAGAAACTGGACATAGAGACTGGCTAACAGCCAAACCAGTCAATATCCAAAAAAACCCTCCAGAAGCCATCCCACTAGTTCCACGCCAGAACAGGAGTCGGCAGAAACCACACCCAAGGAGAGTGTGAAGTGTTTTGAAGTGTGAAGTGTGTTGAGTGTGGAGTGTTTTTCCATGAAGGCAAGCTGTGACTGAAATCAAGGCTGGTCCAACCACCAAGGAGCCAGCTCTTTGATATATTTTATGTTAGTGTGATTTCTGTGTGTATGTGAAGTTGGGGAGTACGGTGTTGAATCACTCTGCCCTTCCACCTGAGTTCTTGTGGGTTATACATAAAAACTTGGACTGGCTTCAATAGGGACCTCCAGATTTCCTGTGATTTCAATAGAAATCCGGTTGTATGTCTTTTTACAAGTCACGGTGGTCTAGTGCTAAAGTATGCAGCTGGCAATGCTGTGGTCACAGGTTCACGTCACCTCGCAGCCAAAGTGGATTTTCCCTACCCCACATGCTTCATGTGTGAACATTGGGTAACGCTAGCCTCAAGCATCTGGGCGATAACCCTGGACAAACTAACAAACAAACAGACAGACATTCTCTCTTATAAATATTTTATATATAGATGATTAATTTAGTTATTAGTACATACACAGAACATTATTTTTATAGTAAGCATTATTTATGGAGTAACATATAATTAAAAAATTATAACCTAAAGGGACAGAGACCAGAACCCTTCGTTTTATTGAACTTCGAGGAGCCAAAGAATCAGACATGGTGGCGCTGGGACCTACTCCTGTGTTTGGGTAAGTACATTAATGAATTTTTTTATGAATATGGCTTGTGTAATTACCTAAGTGTGTAAGTATTATTTGGACAATTTAAAGTGTTAAATATGAGTTGACAATTTTCATGGCTGATTTGTCTCATAACCCTCAAAATGCAGTTATCGTCATATGCTGATCATCTCTAGTGTAATGTGTTTATCAAATGACAATTTGTTTTGTCTCAGTGTTTGAACACGATGTTATCCATATTGTTCCAGTAGCTCAATGGTGTCTTCCAGCAGTCATGGGAGGCAACAAAATAATTTGAAGTCAGATGGGCTTCTGGTCTCCCATCATGACAATTTTCACTGCATTTATTTACTTTGGTGTTTTCTGGGGAGCCCCTTCAACTTCCCGGAGCTATCCAGGCTGATATGAATGTATTAGATCGTGGCACCAGTCAAGCAAATGGAGTTCTAGGCCTACCGGGAACCACGAACCAGAACCTGGCCCACTCAGAGAGGCATTGATGCCATGGTCTAATACATTCATATCGGCCCGAATAGCTCCAGGGAGCCTCTGGGTCTCGCCCAGAAAATGGTGTTTCGTTACATTCAACGCTGATTTTTTCTCCACATTTGCTAGGTTGTGTCCGAGTAGGGATTCATGATTATTTTAATTAATTCTTAACATTAATGGAATACTGTGTATTCCATTAATACCCGTTAATGGGTTAAAGAAAAAGATGTTTGAATGGACCTCTTACAAAAATTGTTAAGCTGTATTCCAGTTAATTCTAAATCAATCTTTTCAGTGAGATCTTAGAAGAGTTGGGCATGTCAGAGGAAGTAACCGTTGCTGAAGCTCGTAAAAAGTGGACACAGCTTGTTCGCCGATACTTGGAGCTTAAGGTTAGCTTGCCTCAAAAATATTAGAGGCAGCAAAAGATTCTGGATTTATCTCATCCTTATCTACCACTGTCAGTATTCATGCATTTGTTGAGTTGAAGATAACCATTATCTGCTTTTGTAATACATAACAGTATACCAGGTCTAAATATATAGTTGGGAAATATTATATTAATATATTTTAAAATTTGAATTTGTGTTTAGTAGAACTCTAGAAGTATGTAATAACATTTTCTTCTCTTCCAGGGTCCAGATGTTGAAGATCATAAACCTGCATATGGAAACAGTCCAAGCCTCATTTCTGGTGATACTGTAGAAACAGGATGGTTATTTTTTGTCCCTATGCACTCTGTCATGGAGTCTATCAAGGCAACATCTCCAGATGGAGGCACCAAGGCACGCAAGTCTCCAGAGTACACTTGTGAGTTTACTGCTGCTTTAGAATTTCAGAATTATTGTGATGTTTCACAGCTGTGTTAAAGTAATGTGGGAAAAGTATCTAACTTAGAGCGTTAAGAAGACAGGTGTTTGTTTTCTTAATGTCTAAAGAATTGTAACTAGCTAGGCATCGGGATTATTTGTTATTACTATACAGGGTATTGTTTAATCGGTTTATTCGTTATCTAAAACTAAATTATTTTATATAGTGGGTAAGATAGTGTTGGTTGTAACAACCACATTAGATTTCTTAATCATGCCATCAAAATGCAATAAGGTTTTTTAAATAAATGAAAGACAGTTAATATTTTGAGATTACTTTCAGTTAAGAATTGATATTGGCTAGTGGTACAATAGCTTAATCTTGTGATGTGAAAGGTATCCAGTATGTTTGCTTTTACTGACTTAGTCGTTAGTGGCACAGTGGTGACACACTTGCCCCGTGCTTCCCAAGCAATTTGGTCCAGGTTCGTCTTCTGGTCAGGGAGGATTGACTAGGCACCTGTCCTTAACTATTGCCTCTGTTCACTCAGCAGTAATTGAGTACCAACTAATTGGTTGTTAACCAATTGGTGGGTCATGTTCCAGGGAAAATTAGTGAGTAAGCTTACCATGAGCTATGGGAAAGGAAAGCTCTCAGCATGTTAACAGAAGTCAAAAGTCATCTGTTCATGTACTCGCCTGTGTAAAAAAAAAAAAAAAATATATATATATATTCCACCTAACCTGACCAGTGAGGCTGCTGGTCAATTGCCTTGAAAAGTGCCAATATCCAATGCTTTAATTTCTGGTAAACAGCTTTCAGTTTGTGTGTTTTTTATCACAGCATCCGGTTATAGATACTTTAGTATAATGCAGGGTTGGATAAGAATAAAGCATTAATTATCATAAAATACTTCTTTTTGTCTGGTCACTCAGATGCCTCCAAAGGCAATATCTCACTCTGCCTAGGGAGAGGGACATTGTGAACGCCAGTTTGTAGCAGTGTGACTTTCTCACATTCTGTGCTGCGGGAAACTTTTCTAAAGATGCCCCTGTCAGGCACCATGTGGAGGTAGGGAGACATTGGAGAATTCTTAATCCAGTCCTGATTGACCATCAAAATGTAAATTACACAATACAGTACTGGAAACTGATCCCTAAAGCCAAGAATAGCCACACCCCCCAGAGCCAAATCTCAGGAATAAGCCCAACAAGGAAACCACAGGATACAGGACTCCTATACTATACCATGAGTGAGAGCATTTTGACCTCCCTCAACCAGGAGAAAAGCACAAGGAATCTGGACGACATGCTGCCCTTGTCTGGGAACCCAAGGTATCCAGAAGGGCAAATTGACCAATACCTGCCTATCTCCAAGGAACAAATGCACATTGAGATCAGATCAAGTAAAAATCTCAGCAATGAAAAGGTGGCAATGCTCAGATCCTGAACTAGTAAACAAAGAGTCCCACAAACACCTAATTCATAGTGTTGATGAGTGAAGAAAATCAAGAGGGTTCCAGGAAAACCACCATCTGACCAAATTTGAGAAAAGGCCCTTCTTTACAGTATAGTAATTGCTATATAGTAGGTAAAAAGACAACTGGAGAACCTTTGCAGTTGCAACAAAAGTAGTAGGGTAAGACTAACATGGCTTCTGAAAGATGCTACAGCAATATAGTACTGTATTCATGTTGGTCACTAACTAGGATATTCAATAACATATTAAAAATTTGAGGACTAAAACATCTGAAAACACAAATGTAACTCAAATGTGCAAGAATAGGTACATAGCAGAAGCAATAGACTACAGACCAGTATTACTAATATGTATTCATGAAGAGAATGGTAGGGAACTTGGATAGGGTCAAACTTTGTAATAAAGATGTAATACGAGTTGTAAAGGGGAAATTAATTTCTGACAAACATGATAGAGTTCAATGGCAGGGGGTTACCAACATGTGTCAACAAAAAAAAAAGACTCTAAAATTTCCTACTCCTAGAAAACATTTTGTATTGGTACTATAAAAAGCTAGCACATTAAATGGGAAGGCATGCTTGTTGAAATTGAAATTGAAATAAGTTTATTGATGTGAGATGAGAGACCCCTTTTATACACACAAAAGGATAAGGTAGCTCAAGCTATTCTCAGCCCGTTCAGTACAACGTGTTCCTCTATGTATACATACATAGACACACATCACAAACAATCAACTTATTACTGAATGTTCCGAGTGATAAATATATACATTTCTTGACATACTGGTATTACTGGTAAGACACTAAACTGAGTAAGGAAGTAGTTGGTTACAGTCAGAGAGAGGGTGAGTTAGACTGCAGGGATGTAGCAAGCAGAGACTCTCAATGATCAATCCTAAGACCATTGATCTTCCTAATCTTTGTGAATTGCCTACTTGATGAAGTGCATTCATATGTCCATATTTTTAGAGAGTACAACAGTAATTAGCAAAGTAAAAACTAAGGATGATGCTGCAGGAAGACCTTAACAAACTCCAACAATGGGCAGACACTTGGCTGTTATTTCAACCCCAACAAGTGTAAGGTAATGAAGATGGGTGCATGGTGGAAACATTTGGAAAAGAATCCCACTGTGTAGGAGATGAGAAGATTATAATGGTCCAGACTGACATGTGCCATATTCCTGGAAGAGTGGCATATTACCAAAGGGAGTGACTGAATGCCTTAGGCCCAGATACTTAAATATTTTCACCTTTTTAGGTGAAAACTAATTTTCACCTTTTTAGGTGAAAACTAATTTTCACCTTTTTAGGTGAAAATTAGGTGGTTAGGATAATGAATATTTTATAGTTCAAAAGAAGTTTGTAAACATTATTAGAATTATTCAATATAGCACCTATTATAGTGTTAAGAACAATAAGTCATAAATGTTAAATTAATCCTTTTCACACAGGGTCTGTTGATGTCACGAGGAAATTTATTAAGATTCGCGGTGAGAAACATACTGAAATATCACAGAAAGGCCACAATGCAGTTTACCAGTAAGTTGCTGTTAATCCATTTTGCATTTGTTGGTGCAAATACAGCACAATCTAATTTTCATAATTTAATATAATTTGATAATATGTGTTGTCTTTTCTGTCTCTTTGACTCCTCAGATGTCTTCTGACTTTGTGGCAGTGGTCATCTCATGCTCACTTGGCCCTTCCAGGTTTGTTGCTTGATATCCAATGCCTGTACAGTACTGTTATTTTCATTGCTCAGCTGTGGGTGAGTTACTCCTCCTCGCTTTCGGGGTGGTTTTGTCATTGGCTACCTTTCTAATGTTGGCTTGGGCCTTCTCAAATAAAATTCAAATTCAAATGTTTATTTAGGTAAAGTACATACATACAAGGGGTGATACAAATATTGATGAATTTATAGATAGAGCTAGTACATACAATGCCTAAAGCCATTATTACGCAAAGCGTTTCAGGCAGTATTCTATTACCTCTGGCCTTTTTTCTGCATCTCCTGAACTCTCTTGTCTGATGGGTCAGTTTTTGTCATCGCCTTCCCTCATGTAGAATTTTGATGTTTACCCTCTAGCTAGTTGCTTTTCCATAGGAACATTTTAGTTGGTTTTCACTTATGGGACCATATTGGTGTGATATTATGCCTCCCCTACTTGTGGTTCTTGTGTTGCTGTTCCATTATCTCTAACTTGACTTTCTTAGGTCCTCTGGATAGCTGCCCAGTTTTGCTGTCTGAATATATATCTCTTTATGCATTTCTTAACTATCTCATCATCTTATATTTTCTTAACTATCACATGTCTATGGCTCAAGACAGAGCTCAAGGCTTCAGGCATTAAAACTGAGCATTTGTTGCTTGTTTCCTCCTTAAAGTTCGATGCCCTTGACATGGCTGCGTGGCACTAGTCACTGGAAAGTAACTGATTGGTTTTCTTCATTATATTCCGAGAGCTGCCTTCTTTTTCCAGAGGTCAGCCGGTTTGCATTTTCCCACTGTTTTCTGTCAGGAAAGTCATCCTTAGTAGCCCCAGGAAGCTATTGCTGGGGCTAGCACAGAAGTAGATTGTTAAGTGTAATGAAATGCCACTTTCAGTGTGCTGTGTCGTAGTTCTCTGTTCTCACCCTTTTCCATAACATTTTGGGGCTAGGCTGATTGCACTACAGTGAGGAGGTTGCTGGGTGGCTGCTGTTTAGGGGACAGCCTTATGGTGTTACTGTACTGTAATTCCTTAAGCTCTGGGAAGCTACTGAGGTGCCACACAAAGTACCATTTCATTATGCTCTACTAAATTTTGTTTTGTTTATTTTCTAACTTAACATTCTTGGAAGCTTCCAAAGCCAGCTCTTATATGATAGCCTTGACTTGTATCACCCACCAGACACTTGTTACTTTTATTCCCATCTTAAAACAATAGATTAGCCCCATCACTTGAGAACATACTTTCTCAAGTGATCCTGTCGCCAATATAAGGGTGGCAGATGGTGGCAAGTCTAACATAAGCCACCACTGAGAGTACAATCTTGCTGTGTATATACTGTAATACAAAGACATGAATATGACTTGACTTCCCACTACAAGCTAAATTAAAATTATCAAGCCTGGAAACCTCACTTTTAGTCCTGGTAATTACCCATCACCTTGTTTGTTCTCTACAGTGGACAGTTTAGATTAGGTTTCTTCATCTGGGTTTTCCTAGACTTATATTTCCACTGGAGGTATTCTATACCCTTAGTGTTTGCTTCATAGCAAAGTGTGCTAGTCTTTTTGTGTGCCCTGATTATAGCTTTCTGCTGCGACTGTGTCTCAAGATTTCCTTACTTGGTGCCAATGGCTCCACAGATGACTTTTGTACAATTATTTTGCACTACCTCCAACATAGTTTGGTTCCCTTTGAGTTGTACCATTGCCTTGGTTATACCTAGGGATTATGTTCCAAGCCTGTGCCCTGGTTTTAGACTTCCTATTAAAATATTAATAAACATTTAAGGATAACACATATTTAGGGTATTTTACATTTCTCTGTTTTGTGTTTATGTGACGGCTCTTTCCTAGTTTTTGCTTGAGGGTTCGGCATATTTTTTTTTACAACGAGCTGTGCTAATCATAACTCACTGAAGTAGTATGTAATTTGGTTGGTGCACACCAAGTTTATGCCTCTTGTGACTAGGCTTCCATTTTAATGTGTCACCATGGGAATAGACTGGGAGCCTGGCAGGTGATACTAGTCCTGGGTAGAGCATGCCAGAGCCTGCTATGGGATCATTTGAGGGCTTAAATTCAGAAAATCATATTGACACTGTTTACATAAAAACAAGAAGGGTGGGGGGATGTTATTGTTCTTGTTATGGCAACTTTGCTTAACTTGAAAATTAGAGTAAAATTACAATAACAATATGTAACACTCTTGTGACTTGCTTTGTTTTCATACAAGTATATATATATTTTTCTTCCAGGGATATCCTGGAGAAGCTTGGAATTGCCGACAGGGTCAGTGTGATGATGGCTCGCAAAAAATGGAACTACTTGGTCAAGAGATATCAGGTTTGAATCTAAAGGCTTTATTTTAAAAGTACATTTGTCCTTTTGAAAAGAAAATTTTTTTTATGGAAATGGAACACTATTTGATGTTGAAAGAGGAATTCTTGAAATCTACAATTTCAAGAACAAGAGGTCATAAATACCAGTACAAGCTAAGGAAAGAAAGGAGGTGAAAAAATATGAGAAAGTTCTCTTTTGCAAACAGAATGGTAGGCAGTTGGAAGAAGTCAAGTGAGGAGACAGTGGATGCCAAAACCATTAGTAGTTTCAAAGTGTCATATGACAAAGAGTTTTGGGAAGGTGGGACACTACAAGCATAGCTCTCATCCTGAAAGCACACTTGGATAATTAATTGTTTTAAGGCATGGGCCTTGTGCCCTTCGAAGCCGTCTTTGTTCCTTGTACTGCATTCGTTGTCTGATGGTGAGCAGCCATTGGCACCTGGTGTTCCTGCTTGATTTTCACCATCAGGGCATAAAAAGCCCCCAAGTTTGTCAGATGCTTGTTAGTTTACTTTTATGCCGATGGCCATTCCTTCTGCTCTTCTGTGATGGGGCCAAGTTTTTGCCTCTGATCACTGGTAGGCTTTTTAATGACACACAAGGGAGTCACCATAGACCCACCAGAAAAATGAGTTTCATTACATTCAATGGTGGTTTTTAAATATTTCATAAAATATTTACCATTTTGAGATATAATGTACAGTACTTGGCTAAGAGACAAGGGATAACTCCCTCAGTCATCCTATTGTAATTGAATCATATCTAGCTCTGTTTGTTGCTATCATTAATACAGTAATAATTATATGGTATTAGTAACATTATATCAGAGTTGCATGATGATAGTAGTAATATTATCTGCCATAGAGATACTTGTTATTAATAGTGTCTTGTAATGTCATATAAAGTTAAATTTTAAGGCATTTGTCATTAATTCAGTTGTACAATCTTTCTTCAATGTAAACTTATATTTCTAGGATGAAGAGATGGCAGGAGGAGAGCGCACCTGGGCTTTCATGAAGGAAATGGGGCAAGTTATGAAGCATTTCCGAGGTGCTAATGTCAATAAGCTTAAATCCCGAGCATCTCCAGAATTTTTATGTTAGTACTGTAATTATTATGGCAGTTGCGTAATGAGTATAAAATTTCCTCTTATTTCATTCTGGGAAATTTTATTGTTTAGTTTTTAATGTAATATTCATTAATAAAATTTTCTCTTGTTATAACAAGAAGGAAAAGTATATGAGAAATACATTGAATATGATTGATGTTTTGAACAAATAACTATTTAATGGCTTGGTGTCTCTGAAAACTTCCCACAGAAGACAGGGTGATTACATGTATATTATTTCCAAATTATTTTGAGAAGCCTTCTCAGTAGCTCCACGTAGCTTACATGCTGGTGGGACGAATTAACCAAGACTCACAATCTACCGGGAGCCAGCAAAGAAAAAAAAAATTGAAAAACAAGGCAAATGATAGTTGGTTCTTGTGAAAGACCTTAATCTTAATGTGACTGGCTGCCACAATCTAGTAGCAGATGGGCACAATAAGGTTAGTTTGCCTTGTTTGTGTCAATTATATTTATTTCATGAAGCAGTAGTTTGTTTTGTTTTGCCTAATCTTTCTGGAGGGTTTTCCTCAGTTTTGGATAGATCTCTGATTACCAATCTTCCCCTCGCCTCATAGAGAGAACCAGATTCAGGTCCTGGCTCTCGGTAGGCTCAAGTTAGTCTTGGAAGCCCGGTGGGATTCCCAAAGGCTTAGCAGCCCCAGTGCTATAGCTTGGGGAGCTACTGAGTGGCCCAAAAAAATGAGTACTGTACTTAAATACATTCAATGCTTGATTTTTATCAGGGCCTAATGAACTAACCAGAAGATTCATTGAACTACGAGTTTCTCGACATTCAGATTTTTTGGAAACGGGAATTCAGACAACCTACACGTAAGTCCTGTTTGTTATTACTGTAGCTAATATTCTAGATTCATTTTATTCCTAAAGCTGATTTATTATTAAAAGCATCAATTTTTACTGGGTCTTGTATTAATGTACTTTGTTCTTTTAATATAGAACTATGCCAATGCATAAAGCATATAACATAAGAGATTATGCAAGTTTTTGAGCTAGGGGTTCCTCAGTTGCTTCCCAAAGCTAGAGCCTTTTACTCTACCCACAATCCAATACACACACTAGGCTATAGTTGACCTATCTCCAACCGTGAAGACCATGTTGAGTACTATCTCAATCCAACACCAAGTAATTGCTCAATATCTAAGAAAATAATATATCAATATACATCAGACCATTTGCAGACAATTAGTGAAATTAAGTAGAAAATGCATTATCACTGCTAACTACTGATTACTAATTAGGTGCTATGCCAACTGTCATTGAATGGTAGCATAGATTATAAAAAAAGGGTAGTCCATGACAGTCCTTAATGATCCCAGTCTGTGATGTGATGGTTTTGGTTAGAGCACATCAAGTGCACACCTCTTTGTAATGGACTCCTCTCTGTAGTTTGGACCTGGAGTGGCACGTCTGACTAGCAGTGGTGTAATGGCAGATTTCTGGGGAAAGTCTCTGGATGCTCTGCTTTGGAGTCCCCTTCTTTTTTGGGTGCCCTTGTATATGTGCATGGCTCTGGCCTTTGTGGGTTCCTTGCCAGACCAAAGTGTTGCTTTGGTCTGCTTGTCGGCCCAGGGGTTCTGTCAGGTGCCTGCTAGTGTATTTCTCCATGGCCAGCTTTCCTTTTCTCTACAGTTCCATTTGGCTCTGTTCTTTGCCTAGGGTCAGCATCTTTTCTTTTCTGTTCATTTCTTAAGGTCATCCTTCTCTTCTCCATCCTTCTCCAGTGGTGATTGTCCATGGGTATGTGAATTGGGGAACAACTGAAAGGCCCTAGCCTAGAAATAAGGTGTTGAGTGTAGTGAAATGCACTTCTCTTAGCAGTGATAATGGGTTTTCTTCACAATTCAGTGACTCCTTATATAATGTTTTGAGTGTATTGAGCTGTTCTTTTGTGTGACAATGAGTAGTCATGCAGCAATAGATTGAAATGGCCTATTTGCTGTCTCTTCACCCCAACTACATAACACAATTGTTTGCAAAGATTCTTGCAATGACGGGGAATAGGTTGACTAGAACTTAGCATGTGTGTAGTGACATGGGTGGAGCATAAGATTCAGGCTTGGGAAGCAACCGATGGACCAGCTCAGATAGGAGCATTTCACTATACATACAGTACTTGACAGCCTATTTTTATTAATTTAATGAAAAACTTTTATTTTTCTGTCCTAGTCTATTAATTTAGAATTAAGGATTATTGTGCTAAGAAGCTATATCAAGAAAGACATGTATATGTTCTGTACCATACATATATTTTTGCACATGCTGTCCTTCTTTTATAACGTTTCCTCCTGTAGGGAAATTATGGAGGAGCTGGGGCTGGAGCATATTCTCAACCCTAACCAACTACGGAAAAAGTGGAATTACCTTGTTGCTAAATATAAGGTAGGGGAAACAATCTGTACATGTTTGTTATGAGTGTACAACAAATCGAGTTCATCTATACTAATTTTGTACTGAGATTAATTTACAGCTTGATTCAATTCTATCATTGCATTCAAAACACAATGTATGCTGATGTTAAGTATTATTTTAATGGGTTACTTTAATTTTATCACATAATATGATAAAACTTCCAAGATTTATAGCATTTGTCAGGTAATGTTGTTACTGAAAGTAATGTGGTATAAAATATTGTCAAACTTTTTCTTGTGTAGGAACTCTCTTGTACAACTGGACCAGATGGAACTAGTCCTGCACCTCACTCTTGGCCATTTTATGATGACATGCAGCGCGCTATTCAGCAGATTCCTGAAAGTGCTGTGCATGGGAACCGACCTGTTAGAAATAACTTTGAAAATATTTGTGAGTAAAGAATTTTTACTATATAGAGAGCTATAGATAATAAAACAACAGTTGTAAGAAGCACTTCCACGTGAGTGCAATGCATGCAATCAATATAGATGTCATTCTATTTTTGTTAGTGCTATATTATTTTCTGGGGGGGGGGGGGGCTCGGTCAGTGACTCCCTGTTGCTCGCCACCTAGGCAACTCTTCATAAGTCACACCAGGCCCTTGCAAGTCGCTAAAGGGCTACTGGAGACCAGATTACCCTAGATGAGAAATAAGTCACGGAAAATGTAGAGTGAAACAAAACAAACAACAGCAAAGAAAATTTAAACAACTCTGAAAGCAAAGCATACACTAGATAGGTCATTCACCTACTAGTAACCTCTCCCCACTTCAAAGTGGCACCACCTGGAGCTCACAGACTGCCTGTTGTAATACCTCGCTCATGAGCCTAGTGTGGACCAGTTCACAAGTGCTCATCATGTCACCTTTGTTCTTCAAGAAATGATTTATCTAGGTGGATGTTGGGCATCCTTTAGACTCTGTGTTGCAAAGGCCATTTAATTAAGTTTGTTCCAATTCTAGTGTTAATTTCATGTTCTTGTGCTTATGTGCCTTTGTTGTGTGAACCTTGATTTACTGTTCACCTCAAGCTGTACAGGCTTAGGGTTCTTTTCTTTAGGTACATGCTGGTGTTGCCTCTTCCCAGACAGGGTTACCTTCCTGGGTGGGTTGGATTTGGGTGTCTGTCTGTGAGAGACTGGTCTCCTGTGGAGGGTGCCTCGCCTGGTGTGCTACATGGCTCTATGACTCCTCTGCAAGACTCAGGGTTGAGGCATTTGAAGTCTTCCTTATTTAGGGGTGCACTGGGTTTGCATGCTTGATTTATGGCAATCCACTTACTCCCTAAGTCACCCTTCATGAGTTCAATGTCTGCTGGCTAGTGGTCTTTTGTACCTGGTGTCCCCTGCTTGATTTTGACAATCAGGGCCAGTAAAGCCCCCTGTGTGTCTTTAATGGGGTTTTGCCATTCTGACAGGGTGATGTTGGCACATTATCATGTTTCTGCTAGGGATGCGCCAGACCTGTGCGGGGGTTACCCAGCACTGAATCCATATTTTGTTTTGGGAGGGGGAGGGGGGGAGACTAACTTCTGTTCTCCACGGGTCCTTGTGAGCTCCCTTTTAGTTTTTTTCACTGTCATGAGTTTAACAAAAGTGAGCCACTAATGGAGCCCTTCCAAAAAACCAGCATGGAACGTAATGAAATCTGGTCCATCTGTTGTTGCCAGTGGTTGCCTTGTAACTAAAACATTACACTGGGTAGTCCAGAAGCTCCTAGTGCTACCACTTGACAGTGGGGAGGTGTTACCAGTAGGTGAACAACCTCATTACTGTGAGCTTTGCTTTCACAGTTTTTAAGATTTCCCTTGCTGTTTTCTGTTTTGTTTCACTCTATCATACTGGTGTCTTATTTCTTGGGTAAGGTGATTTAGAATCCCTGCTCATTGTGCCTCAATGAGGAAGCCAGATTTTGGCCTTTGGTCTCTGGTAGGCTTTTAATGACTCGCAAGGTCCTGGTGTGACATAAATGAATGGCTTCCTAGGTGGCTAGATGCAGGGAGCCACTGAGGACCCATCAGGAAGAGGCATTTCATCACATTCAACTATACTGTAGAATGTAGTAGATTTACAGGGAGAGTTGTAAATGTCATTATGTGAGGAAGGTCTGCAAGCCTCTACAGTGTTTGATATGATACAGCTCATTAACCCTTTTAACCTAGACCTAGACAAAAGCCTAACGTGTGTGAATTAACTTGGTAAACGAAAGTACATTTATGTTCCCCAGCACTTCAGTTTAAAACTTTAAAACAAACACAGTTGCATAAGAAATGTGATTCTACAGTTTAATTTTATATTTAGAAATCAACTTTTCTATATCTAATACATTTGTAATAACTGATAGTTGGTATTCTAAACTATTACACTTGGTTTACCCAATAAGGCAAGATCTACCATTTCCTCAAGACGTGGTTCATGGGATGACATCAGGCAGGTGACTTTCTCGGCACTGGCACCACAGAGACCTTTCATGGAGTCCATGTTTGCTAGGGGGGTCACATATCAGAGGTTATGTTACATATCCAAAGGAAAGGGGGCCTCATCTACTCCCCATTCCAATCCTATAGGATAGAGGCAGGCCACCAATACACTAGACACTTAAAAATATGAACTGTCTGGAAAAAAATCTTGAAGGTTTGGAGCAAATAACTTTGGTAAAATTGCACCCACTGTCAGCACAATATTTAAAGCAGGAAACTCACTCTACCCTTTTAGTAAAGAACACTAAGAGCAAAGAAGTCAGGGAAGAGTTCCTGGCAGACACAGAACTTCAGCATATCTGCCAGGTAAGCAAACTCCTTGGGATCCATTGTGAAAAGTTACATACTGTGATACCTGGGGAATCTCAACATGGAGCTCAAAGGAAACCACATTGTGAGAGAAAATAGGGGCAAAAAAGGACCAGTTTCAGGAAGTCGAGGTCCTCCCTGGCCAACAACTTGGAGAGGGATGCCCTTTTTCCACTCAAGAGCCTATCTTACCTTTTGTGTACCTAGCGATGTTTCCAAGGATCAATGTCCTCGTGGCCAGTCTGACCAGGGGCCAGGTTCACGAAGCAGTTACGCAAGCACTTACAAACCTGTACATCTTTTCACAATTTTTGGCAGCTTTGTTTGCAATAATTAAACAGTTAATGAGCTCCGAAGCACCAGGAGGCTGTTTACATCGATAACAACAGTTGACTTGGAAGTTAACAAGCTTGTAAACTGTTTAATAAATTTATCCAAAGCCGTCAAAGATTGAGGAAAGATGTACACGTTCGTAAGTACTTGTGTAACTGCTTCGTGAATCTGGTCCCAGGCCTCCAGGTTGGTAGTCTGGTTAACCAGAATGTCGGGACACGGGCTACTCGCAGCCTGACATATGGATCACTGCCTGGTTGATCAATTATCTTCTGGAGGTGTTTATTGACTTCTCTTTTGAATACCATGAGAGGTCAGCCAGTTAGACCTATATGTGTAGAGGGAGTGTTGAAAAGTCTTGATGCTTTGATACTGATAGTTCTCTTTCAGCATTCATTCCTATTGCACCTCTGCTTTTCAGGGGGGCCTAATACAGATCAAACAAAATAAGTTATTGGCCTTCAGCAAGGAGAAATTGGACGAGAATTCAAATTTAAGTAAGCAGGATAAATTTCAGATGCATTGTTCATGTTCCACAACAGAAACAACAAATTCCACCAATTTTGACCAGCAGGTAGGCAGGACAGAGCATATGTGTAGTGTTGGCTCATTGGCATCAACTATAGAGGCGATGAGCTCAATGTAAGGCATGAAAAGGCAAGCGTTACATGAAATTGAAAAGGGAGTGTGGGAATGAGGAATCTGGAAATCAACTGCCATGAAGGTTCATAAAGAAACTGGTTTGAACACTTCTATCATGTCTCAGGCAAGGCTTCTTCCTCCTATACCATGGCAGAAGAGGGTTCAGCCATTGAATCGTGGCAGAAAAGGGTTCAGCCATCGAATCATGGCAAGGAACATAATCCAACTTCTGACCATTAGAAGAAGGGAGCTGCTGTAGAAGAGTCTCCCAACTCCTGATGAGGGAACAGAAATGGCCTCTTCTACTCAAAAAGGGTGAAGAGAGGAGCTAGCTCAGACTGAGACTCAGGCCTCATAAAAAAACCTGGGAAAGCAGGAAGATAACTTCTGGCCTCTAAGGCGAGTTTAGGGAACCAGGGCACTTGACAAATGTCAAATGGCACTACCATTTTAGCACTTATCTGCAGGATACTAGCTGAGCTCTTCCAGGTTTGTCATTCAGATGAAATTATTACTGGGTATTTTTGGACTTGTACAGGCTCCTTGTGATGCAGTGCATTTTCAAGAGCTTGATGCCATAGATATTTCTTGCCATCTATATCTTCCTTACATTCTGTCAAGGTTTGATAGGCTATACATTACTCATATTACTAGTAAATTGTTATTTTAATTTAGTTCAATCCAGAGTGTTTATGTAAGAGTCCTGTTTTAATTCCCTGTTTACATTACATTTTAAATGTTCTTACATAAATTGCTATCGCACCCACCCTCATCTAACTTGCCTATCACTATGAAACAATTTGGTTGTGTTTAGTTGTACTTTGTTTACTATACATTTAACATTTTGATCTTCATAATTAGGGACAAGAGATGTAACTACAAGATTTATTCAGCTTCGTGGTGCAAGGCCTCCTGATAATACTAAAAAAGTTTCATCTGTATTTGCGTAAGTAAATTTTCTGAGTGATTTTGTGAGTTATTACATATGATACCCCCTAAGAAAAGATGCATCATGTCTTCTTGTGAAGGATCATGTCAATCGGGTAAGAAACATTACAGGCACTGGCACCATAGGGAATTGATATGCAATCTTTGCGGAGTTATTAACTGCCCACTTCTGAAATTTGTCAAGGTCTTCCTGCAGCATTCTACAGTCCTCCTCAGTTATTACTCGTTTCATTAGCTGTAAATCTTCTACTAACATTGACATGTTCGTCCTCAGTCAAATTACATCCTCGGTACGTCCTTACTCGAAAGACCAATGATCTTGGGAGAATTCTAAACAACTCCATTTTCCACTCCTCTTTAGCTTAACATATTGTCTCTATGACTCTTGTTTTTCAGATACATCCTTACCTTGTTCAGTATCTTGTTGTTCCTGCTTGTCTCTCTATGTTGTGCATTAGTCATCTGTGAGAAATCTAAGTGTTATTGAGGTTGTCTATCTATAAAGACAAGTTTACTCTAATCAAATGCCCCTTTGTGGGTGGCACCTTAATAGCTTTTTGTTACTGCCTGTTCCTCTTTACCCACGTTTTCTTTAGATATTTTAGCTCAAGAGGCTCAGCCCACATCTTTTTGGCAGTTGAATGGTGTTCATTGGATAGATGACACAGTAATTTTAAAGTTGTTCAGTAGTTACCAAATTTTCAAACATTCTCTTGAGTTTTGAGTGCTTAGTGACTTTTGTTTAAGGGTGGCTTTTCTCGGTAATGAGTCAATCTCAGATCCTAAGGTGCTCCCTGTTCCATTAAGTGGGTGGAGGAGAAGATTTTTGAACTGTGTTATTTGGGTGCCTCCAGTTCCTCACTTTCTTTTCTGCTTTCCTGTTTGCAGCATGTGCCAACTCTTGGCAGCTGGAATACGTTTCCAAGCAGTAAGAGTGTTTTCAGGTGACCTAGTTTGGTGATCACAACGAATAATTCTTAGACCTAAAATATTTTAGAGAATGCATCTATGTCAGTCATGTCTGATTGACTTGGGCATATCTCCAATAACCCTTTAGCATCTTTAATAACTCTTTAGGAATCAGTTAAATGTTTCTCTGCAGCACAATATTTAAAACCATATTGTGCCTATATGGTTTCCTGCCTGGCTGTCATGATGCCTATTACAGTATATGGTGCATGTTGACCAAACCACACATTAGAAAGTGAAGGAACGACGACGTTTCAGTCCGTCCTAGACCATTCTCACAATTGACTTGAGAATGGTCCAGGATGGACCGAAACGTCATCGTCCCTTCACTTTCTAGTGTGTGGTTTGGTCAACATATTTCAGCCACGTTATTGTGACTCCTCGTCTGCATATGGTGCATCTTGCAATAAGGGCAACCAAATGGCACAGCTCAGCAAAATTGCTTTTCATATTCACTCAAAGCTATTTTTGTTTAAAAAAATTTATAATTGCTTTGAAGATTATAGATTTTTGTATTTTATCTTCTGTAAACCAGGTTAGTGTTAGTAAATGGTATTATTTTGTATCTGTGAAAAATATAGTGAATTCCTGCAAATAAATTCACATTGTTTCAAGGCTTCAGTAGTGTTCAGTGTATCATTTTGATACTCAATTACAATACAACCAAAGATTTGTATATATTTGCTTTATGACAGTTTTAACACTACAGTACCAAATTGTTTTCATCTAAAATTATGTACATTTTCCTCCAGAAATATAGTGGATGAATTAGGACTAACAAGTGTGATCACTCCCAACCAAGCCCGCAAGAAGTGGAATTATCTCTGGAGCAAGTACATTGTAAGCAGTGTGAAAGTATTCATCATGTAGTGGGATAAAATTTGACACAGTTTTACTTTGGGGAAATATTGTATTGTATGTAGTTACTTTAGTAAGTAGTTAATTGAATTTGTTATCCTAAATAGGACCTGAGCCATCCAGAAATCAGTGAATACACTCGTCAGTCTTGGCCCTTTTATACTACCATGCAAGCTGTGGTTGGTGCCCTTCCACTCTCACAGGTTCTAACAAAAAAAGGTAGGTATCAAGAACTATTTATTTTTACGCTTTGTACAGTATCGTGAGAAGATAAATATAAACACATAAAATTGAATGTTATTTGAGAAATAAAAAAACTACCTGTACCATGAATATCGTTGTCATATTCTCACTGCAACTTGTTTGATGATCTACAACATAATCTTACATAAGTTTACATAATCTTCATATTTTAATTGTCCCATAATTATTTCTTGTCTTCTGTCTAAACAGAAGAATTCTAAATGATATTATTCTGTACTGGGTGGTCATTCTGCCACTTTGTGAATATAAATCACAGTTTGTACATGATCTTTTCCATAAGTCAGGCAAGATAACATTTTGCTGGCATCACAGAATCTTTTTAAAGTTTGTGCAGAGTCAAATATGATGATCAGGGTCATGGGAAAGTGTCAATCCAGCCAAGAGGGACAGACAGGTTTGTATATAATCATGCCTACAGCCTCACCTCCTGATGACATCACTTGTTTGATTGCCAATGAGAGGCTCTGGTTAACAACCAATTGCCATATTTTCTGGGAGGGTTTCCCTCAATGGCTGCCCAAACTAGCCACTTGTTTAGCTCCAAGCCTAAAGCACCCCACCAGGCCCACGTGAGTCATGAGCACCTACCAGGGACCAAGGACCAGAATTTGACCTCACTAAATGCAAGGAAGTTTCTTTGATGGCTCCTGTTCCCATCCTTCCATCCTTTCCAATCTTGGGGTCACATGTCTGAAGGGGACAGCTGGCTGAGTCTGGGTTGCCAGGTTTCCATCTGGTGGTGGGCAAGTGTAACTGACTAACTAGAAGTTGAGTTTGTACAATGAGCATGATCATGGTTTATGTAAAGGTTGCCAAAATTTTCAATGCAGTTTTTTGTTTTGAGGCGCACTACCTTTCTGGTGGTTTTTCCTCTTGGCCTGGGTTCATCATGTATCACCTAATTTCCTTGCCTCTATTGAGGGAGTTCTTATGACTCAAAGAACCTGGTGGGGGTGCTTTAAGCTTAGAACTAACCAGCGAAGTAGCTCGAGGAACTAACTGAAGGGTTCCACCAGATAAAGGACTTCAACACTGGATTTCTGTGGAGAGCCCTGTTGGCTTCCTGAAGCTATTCGAACTGATCTGTGCTATATTAATTTGGGGTCATCAGTCACAGGAGTTTTTATGCCTACTGGGAACCACAAGCCAGAACCTGGTCACCTCAGAGAGGCACAGGGAGCAATGGCCTACGAGCACTTTACATTTAAAGTATGTCATAATTGCCATCGATCGGGGAAGGACCCAGAAAAGTAAGTGAATCAAAACAGACCACTGTCTGGTTAACCTGTGCAATCTACATCCCAAACGATCAAAATAACCCCCCCTAGAAAGAAACCAAACAAGCAACCCTTCATGCGACTATCACTTCTACTCGTTAGCGCTAGAGGGGGTAACCTGATTCATCATTATGGTCTGGGGGATATCTGTCCCGGGTGTCCAACCTGCGAGATAGTCGCTGTACTTTGCTTTATAATTTTTAGTTTGTACTACTCTGTGCATGACACTCTCCTTAAGCATGATTGGGAGTCTTGTTGCTGGTTCAACAGGTTCAGTCACATGAATTACTCTTCATTATGGGTTAACTTTAATCAGGTTATGCACCCTACAAGGTAAATTTGGACCCAGTTTGTAACTCTAGGGGATCCACTTGTATCATTGTTCCTTCCCTGCTCAATTAATGCTACAAGATTAGGTTAAGGTTCTTTAACTGATGCTTACCTATAAGCAAACATTGATAGGTAAGCACCAGCTTCTCAGGTAGTCTGACTTCAGACTTCTACATTTTATTGAGGGTTAGGAGAAGGAATTCTGTTTACTTGTACAATGTTGTGATGACCTAGGGTTGTAAAAAAGCTTATTCATGCACCATGTTATAATTTACCTATGCCAGTGTTCAAAATCTTTGTTGAATGTAGCTTAACCCCTGCACTGCATAAAGCGCCTTTAGGCGCTCTGAGAGTTGTGCTATTTTTTTTTTTTAATTAGGCTATATTTTAATGTTTTTTAATGTTTTCATTACTCTTTGTGTTTTTAAATTAAAATAGTTGAGTTTGGAAACATTTTGACATTAAATTTACCTGAATATTTATGAAAACAACAAGAATATGTCCTTGACAATTGCCCCAAGAAGTTTTTGCCGAAACCAGGTGTGCAGTGCAGGGGTTAAAACTGTAGATGGTGGAGTTTTCCACAACTTCTTGTAGTGCATTCTATTTGTTGATGGATCATACAGGGTACGAATATTTTTTTTAAATTTATAACTCATTTGCATTTTCAGCTTCCACTTAGGTCTTCTTCTAGTACAACTTTCTCTCAGTATAAAGAGGCTGTCCTTGTCTATTCTCTAGTTTCTTGTATATTGTGATCACATTCCCATTTCTTCTCTCATTGTGTACTTTCTCACATGATTAGAATGATTCTTGAGTGCTTCTTCATCCCCAACACTTCTACTTGTTACTGCTCTGTGCTTCCATAGCCTTTGTTGCTTGAGAAATTAATTGTCGTTTTTTGATTTAAGAAAATTTTAAAATGTTTAAAATACTGATAAATACTTAATATGTTTAAATTTTAAATATTCCAGGCCTGGCAGATGACTTTGAAGAGGAGGAAGATCCTCAAAAAAAGATAGTGAAGCGCACAAGACAATACACTTGTTTTGTCTGTGGGAAGACTGGCAAGATCCTCAATGATTTTTTTATGTATGAACATGACCAACGTCTTCTTTACACTCAAAAGACTGTCTTAGAAGTCATCAGCCATTTGGTTAGTCGAAAAATGATTAATATGGAATCTAATACTTGTCTTTGTTCAGGCTGTACCAACCTTGTCAATGAAGCTGATTCTGTAATCCAGAGACATGACAGAATAAAGGAAATGGTACAAGAACTTTATTACAGTGGTATTGCACAGGCTAAAGCAGAACAGCAGCAGCAGCGCTTTTCTCGCAGTACAGCAGAAGATACTAGTTCAGAAGATGAAAAAGAGATTAAACAGGAGGAAAGAGTAACTTACAGTCAAAGAGGAAGAAAACGTAAAGCTACAGTTTTGGCAGATGATACAGAAGTTAAGATAAAGACAGAGCCTCTAGATGATGGTTTTGAGAGTATTGAATGTGATGTTGACTTTGATGATGACTCAGAAGATGAGCGCAAAAGAAGAAGAACACGGGGAAAGGCTAGGGGTAGGGGCAGAGGAAGAGTTCGAGGAAGGGGGCGAGGTAAAGGTCGGCCAGCAACAAGATCTACTCTCATTGGTCGCGGGTTGGGTGGTCAGTACCCCTCATCTAATAAAAGGAAGATTTTACCTTATAAAGGCCCCAAAATATATCATTGTGCTGAATGTGACTCTGAATTCAAGAAATATACTGATCTCATTACTCATAAAAAAGAAGTTCATACTGTAATTGATAATACTCCTCTTGAAGTTGAAGAAACTATTCTGGAAAATGGAGTAATTACTTACTTTAACAAAGGTAAAGCAAATAACTCGGAGACCAGCCATCCATGTAGGGAATGTGACAAACACTTTCTTCGTAAGGATGACTTGTGGTATCATCAAGAAATATGTCACACTGAAGGGAAAGGAAGGGCAAAGAATGCTTTTAAAGATAGAACATATGCATGTGAAGAGTGCGGCGAGACTTTCCTTTTCAAGTATAAACTTAAAATGCATATTAATAGCAAGCACCTGAATGATACTGGCCAAAATGCCAATGATTTCACTTGTGGGGAATGTGGATGCAAGCTAGGCAGTCTCCCAGGTCTTACATTCCACATGAGAAAACATCATAATAAAAGCCTCACATATCGTAAAACTACTGAGTATTTATGCAGTGATTGTGGCTTCATGGCTCCATCCAACAAGAAGTTAAGAGAACATCAAGAAGCCCATTGTGGTTCCTCCACAAAACCCAAAGTTCAGTGTGAGATATGTGGCAAAACTGTCTTAAAAGTGTCCCTAAAAATGCACAAAGTAAAAATGCATTCCGAATTTAAAGAACAATGTGATAGGTGCGGTGAGCGATACGCGACAAAGACAGACCTATTGCGACACATTAATGTTGTACATCTCCGTATCCTTCTTTATAATTGTCAGTATTGTGGTGAACGCTTTGCCACCTCAGATGCCCTTCGATATCATAGAGTTAAGATGCACGAAAAACCATCCTTCTATTGTCAGATTTGTGGTAAGTGTTACAAAAGGGTAGGTGAACTTAATACACATATTAAGCGTGCTCATAATGACCGTAGGAAGGCAGAGGTTTGTAGTTATTGTGGCAAAGAGTACTATGATCGTAGCAAGCTGCGTAACCATTTGGTGAGTAAACATAATGTTCCTCAGGAAATGACATACTCGGAGAATTATTTACGTAAAAAACGTGTTGATGGACTTCCTTTAGCTAAGCATATGGAGAAACGGGTAGGTATGGATCCTAAAATGCCACATATGACCCAACCTGGAGTTGTCCATCAGCAGCCACAACAAAATCAGCAACAGCAGCAACAACCGCAGCAGCAACCGCAGCAGCAGCAACAGCAGCCGCAGCAGCCACATCCTCACCATCATAGTGTGGTTCCACAACACCAACAACACCCACACATGCGACCAGTGGTAGATGAGGCAGCTGAGGCTGCTCGCAATCTTGGGGCATACCAAGAGATTACTGCTACAGAGGACGACAATTCTCTAGTTGTGACCGAGATCACAGAAGCTCCTGCTCCAGTGGAACAAACTGTGCTGGTAGATCCTTTAAGTGTGCCTCAGGGTATGATGCATCATCCACAGGTTGCCCACATGCAACCACCAATGCCCATGCACCACCCAATGCATCAGCAAATGCACCATCATGCAGCCATGTCTCGTCTTGGTGTACTTTATCATATGAACATGCCTCATCCTGGTCCATCACACATTAACATGTAGGCTCCAAATTAGTTGGTTAAACATTATGACTATACAGTACAGTATTTAAATAATAGTGAACTTTAAAATATAAACAAATTTTAGTGCCAAATTTTCTAAGCTAAACAAGGGTTTAAGAAACTGGTTTTAATTTTGGAATATACCATATAAGACTATCATGAAAATATAAGACTTTAAGCAAAGGCCCAAATAATCTTGTAACTCAATGGCTTCACATACAGTACATAGAAATAAAAACACTGTGTGTCTCATACTAAACATCTTACATTTTGTGTTGAGTTATACAGTTCTAAAGGCATCAAAACTTCAGTTGTATAGGTATATTAGGACAGTATATAACTTTTTTTTGTTACATTATATTTGAAGTGAATATATACCACATTATGTACACTGAAAAACTTTAGTTCCAGTGCTAGGCCAAATTTGACAATACAGTAATAACAGTATACATTGCTGTGTGTGTAGTCGTGTATGAGCAAACTATTAAGTGTGTAAGGTATGAATTATGTATACTTGGTTACATAGGGATTAGATGAAACTGTAAATGGTTCCTTATACACGATTTGAATGCAAGAAACTGCCATTACGTGAATCCTTCCAAGAGATAAGGAATAAGAAGTATCTTGCCTATTAAGTGAAAACACAAAAATTATACAATATCCAGTTAAACTTTCTTTATGTTGCGCATTAAATTCAGGGTTCACGAGCTGTGATTATTGCCGAGGCAAACCATACAATACTGACCGAAATAATTTTGCATTAATTTGAGGTTTATTGAAGACATAATTATTAGTAGATTTCTTTGTGTATGTGTATCCACATCCTTAATTGTATGTGTGTATATGCATTTTCTTCTGCAATGCTAATGCCCGAGGCATTAAAAGTCATTATTAATTTATTCTTACATTACTCTTTAGAAGAGCTATTGGAACTTTTCTGACCCAGCATTTATTTTAGTCAAGTAATTGGTTCTACAAACAGCATGGGCACCTTTACCTGTGCAAAGCCAGCTTCACCAGTTTTAGAACCTATAAATAATGCCATAATTAACACTTCCGTGCAACTGGGACCAATTATGCATCTGTAATTTTTCTCACGTTGTTAGCCGGGGACACATGTCGCGTCCCAAATTAAAATGTGTTAAAATTCTAATTTATATCTGATCATTGTGTGACTGGTTTTAAAATGAGTACCCTTAGATTGCAGACAATTTGATACTATAATGAATGATGTAGCACGACAATTGAGGTCAGAACACCGGAAAGATTATGAATACTTTTGTGTTGATGAGCGTCAAAAATTAAAAATATTTGTTAAAATTCTAGTTGTTGTTTGATTAGTATAGGACTAGTTTTCTAATGTACGCCTTTATATTGTGAACAACTTGATATCAAAACGAACAACGTAACACGAAAATTGATGTTATTAAACTGAAAAGAGTACACACATTAGGTTGCGGGTGTGCCAATTGGTGCTCGCTCACGGATAACACTTGGCTGACTTTCAGCTTTGCTGTGGGGAGAATCACGCTGGGCTTTTGGACCTTATATGCATGTACCCCTGTAGGGAATTCGATTGCGAACACATTGATACCAAAAGGAATGACGCAGCACGCAAATTAAGGTGAGAAAACTGAAACGAGTACAGTATACACATTTTAGTCTAGTCGCGCGTTGACGAGAAACGCCGAGTGCACACTTAGGTAGGCTGAGGCGCGCACGCTGGAGGCGTGAAAGTGTTAAGTATTACATTAGGTATGGAATATTTACATTTTTAAATTGACATTGAATGACATTGATATTTGTTATCCACTTTCAAAGCAGATTGAAACAAATTTTTTTAATTTTGTGTGAAATGCTGTAGTAGAGATGTTAAACAGTGAACTGAACTAGATTTAAACAAAGAAATTTTGAAGAAATTTTGTAGAACATAATATCATGTGAAGATGTAGGAGTATAAAAATGAGCTAGCAGTTGAATTTATATGAAGTAGAGAGAAAGTTGGTATAGTGACAAAATGGGATGAAAGGACAGCATGAAAGGATAAAGTAGTCATGAGAATGGATCTCGTTAATGGATTAGGGGTCTGATAGCCGAGTGGACAGCTCTTCGGATTCATAGTCCTGCTGTTCCGGGATCGATCCCTGGTGGAGGCGGACACAAATAGGCAAAGTTTCTTTCACCCTGATGGACCTGTTCATCTAGCAGTAAATAGGTACATGGGAGTTTGACAGCCACTACAGGCTACTTCCTGGGCTGTGTAACAAAAAGGAGGCCTGGTCGAGGATTGGGCCACAGGGACGCTAAGTCCTGAAATCATCTCGAGATACAGTATCCTTAAGATAGAGACAAAACTTGCATGCCTGGATATTCCACTATTGTGATTCACATAAGAAAAGGCTTTGTCTTTTCCCATTTAATTTTGTTGCTGTATGTCATGAAATCAGAAGTGATGAACATTATTTGTCATTAATACAGAACATATCTATACAGCACTGCGTTAAGGAAAAATACATTTTCTTTTAATACTGGACAAGGATATTTCCTTTACATGCAGTATATCATATTGTTGAAAATACAATTTATTAATACATTGCTCTGAGACAGTACTCTTGCCAAGATATTGCTGGGTGGTAAATTCTCGAGGACTTTTCTCAGATAATTAAAGGAATGTACATAGAGCATAGTTGTACAAGATAAATATGGGAAAACTAATTAATAGTTTATACTAAAGGAACATTTTGGATTAAAGTTTAAACAGTCTTCGTGACTGCAACAAAAACTACCGATATTTATCCAAGTTTGCTGTCATAATGGGAGTGCAGCCTACTGTGTGTTATAGTGCTTCTTGCCACTTGTTCATAATACAGACCTCTGCCTCACTACTACTATGCACTCATAGGTATCATCTAGGGTATAACAAATGCCAACAATAATAATGAAACGTGTAATCTTTTTCAGATATTGATAATCCTCTGGTAGGATATGAATTAGTCATTTGTGTCAAAGCTACAAATACTGTATTGTGGATTAATGTCGGGTGAAGAAATCTACCTCTTAAAAAATTAGTACTTTTGACAACTTACTGTTAATCTATAATATATATTTAAAAATTGTTTATATTATTTGGTGGTGGCCATTTGTTATAAAACTCTTGAGAGTTTAATATATTTGATATCGGTGTTAATTTAGCTTTAAAACTGATGGAAAAATAAATTTAAAAGGTAAGTAATTTTACCTTACCTGTATTTTTACGAAACGTCAATCTTCAACCCACTGATTTTGTTTTAAATGTCAGTGAGAGATTGTAGAAGACCTAAATTATATCCTCTGAATTCACTATATCAATTCTTCTAATGGTTGTGCTTGTAATTTTAAGTATTTGGATTAAAATAAGCCCCTAAGTACAGTAATTTATATTTATATATAAACATTGCATCAACTGTTGCAAGGAATGCAGTTTTTGAGATGAAGTATTGTACACAACTTTTTATAAATTAAATGCATTTCTATAAATGCATTTGAATAAATCTAAATCTGCATTATTTTCACTCAAGCAATGAATATCCAAGATTATTGTGTTTCACTTTAGCTATCCTATTACTAAAATAGTTTGATACATTTTAAATTGTGTCTGAAATTATTGTTTTTATATTTGAAATGTTTCCTACACTTCCCAATTTCAGCTCTTAAAAATTTAACATTCAGTTATCATCAAAGGTGGCAGTCTTCCCACCCTAGTGTAAAACCTTTTAGCCAAACTTGGAGGTATGAACACAATATTTATAAATGGAAGGAACACCTGATGATGTATCACCACTATGGCCAAGCTATAAACATTACAACAGAACCAGACGCTGTCTACATCATTTAGTGCTGTATTTAATAATGTCCTGAACCTCAAAATTATGTTTGTAATATTTGTATTTCTTTTCCTTTATGATTTCACAAAAGATGACAATTAGCACTTTTGAATATTACTTGACACAGATTATGGTACACAGCCTTCCCAGTTTGGTGCCTTCTTCAGATAATTACTTAATTCCAAAGTGATATTTAGAACTTCTGAGTGTGTTTTCTGTAAAACATGTGGTGCTATGTAGCCTTCTAGGCTTGGCATTTGCTGCCTTTATAATCACCATACACAAAAATTACCATAGTTAATAACCTTAGATGTTTAAGTAGGCAATGAAATTGCTGACTTCTAATATTAAATGGTAAACGTGCACATTTGCAATAAAAAAGCTTTAAAATGGTATAACCAAGTTTGTATATTTGCAATAGAATAATAGTATGATTTTTTTAAGAGTACAATGGTAAACTGAATTTATTTTTTTGAGTTGTACATTACATTTTTATTTATATTATTATTTATTTAACTGTCTTTGAACAATTCCAGTTAAATGTATGATAATATCCCAGTCACCCTTTGTAACTGCTATGGCCTTTAGAATATCGCTGGCACTACGACTAGTTGTTTCCATAAGATGATAAAGGAGGTACACTTTAAGGCCCAGTGAAACTAGAATGGACTGTAGAGAAGCCTGAAGTGCTGAGGTCGAGACAAAAAGCTTTCGGCCATAATGCTCAACACCTCGGACAAGTGTGCCACTGTAAGCCACACCTGAAATATGGCCAGTTTCGATGTTCAATACCGTCACTTGATTCTGCAACACAAAAATAAAACTAGTACAATATTATGAATCACTCCTCTTTAAGCAGGCCATCAGTCGCTTCTTTAGCCAGGATCAAGGTACATTGAAGGACAATGCATAAATACAAGGATTGTGTTGTACCTAAACTACAAGATGACATGAAATAATACAAATGGTCTTGCTACCTAGATGCAGTGGGAAGAAAGGGAATAAAGTTCATTGTACAATATCTGCAATCATCATTCTGTATTTATTACAAAAACTAAATTTTTTGATGTAAATAAGTGCTATACTGTATAGGCATTTGTGTAAATATTGAAAATAGACAAGTGTAATTTTATACTAACCTTTCTGTACTACTGTATATTGTACCACTTTTTTCTCATGAATGATGCATTCCCATCCTACAAAAGTTGGAAAGGGTAAGAATAATGATAATACGAGTCAAATAACTCACAAGAGTAGAATTAGTCATGAGGTCTTGGACGTGAAGGCGCTCTGGTATACATATACCCATTAAACGAAACTGCTTTAAGTGGTGATCTGTGATGGTGCCTGTATGCCACCTGTAATGCATAAAAAAAAACAGTTCCGCGAACTAGAGATTTCTCAAAACAATGCGTGCAACTATCATTTGCAGGATTTTCCAGTAAATCTCTACATTCATTCTTGCTCCTCTGAAACTACCCACCCACCTCACTTTATAGCATATTTGTTTTTTCTTTTAAATTATAATACATGAAAATAAAAATGGCTCACCTTCCTGTCATTTTATTAACTAGTTTTCATCCATGTACAATATTGTATATTATTTACCTGTATGAACTATTATACTGTAGCATATCTTCCCTACTGCTCACTACATACCTGCTAACTTTCTTTATGTATTTAAGGATCCAGCAATATACATTTTTAAAGCTGCTGTAATAAAACTTTAATAAAATACAAATGTAGTGAATGAAAATTAAAACAAAAAATCGCCACTATAATGAATGCCTGTTTCGGGTGGAATCCCAATGGCTCCCTAAAGCTATCACACTGAGATGGATTCCCACTACTACGTCATATCAGTTGCACGAGTTGTTTGGCCTACCGGAGCCTGGCTCTGGACCCTCTCATGGAGGCCCAGAGAACAGGGGGACTATTATCACCCTCACCAGCAAAGCATCCAGAAAGTCAGGGAAGCTTTACAACCAACTGTAAGGTTCATAGAATTATGAAGCATCGAAACAGCCAAACTAATCTGCAAACAATCCCAACAGAACAAGCTCAAACTCACTAGTGTGTGGAATATGCACAATAAACCAATGAATTTGGCGGGGAAGGAAGGAAGGGAGGTAGTCTAGGCCCACTGGGACTACCAGAAAGAGTTGTTTTACATTCAATGCTGGTTTTCTGGAAGGAACCCCTTTGTGGCTTCCTAAAGCTATCTAACCACAGAAAAAAGGAACACAAGAGACTTACCATGGAGGTTGAAAAACAGTAGGTACATGGCATACTGGGCTGCTAAGACAGACCTCCAAAAACTCCCCAAGCCTGAATATCAGCCCATGACATGATGGAGAAACCTGCAGCCAAAGCAATGACACCTCCATTGACAACATCAATGAAAGATGGCAAAGGGGTGAAATAAGCACCAGTCAATGTCATACTGCTGCTACGAAGACCACAATACAATGTATAAGCGATCTTACACACTGCGAAGGCACACAATACAATGTAAGTTTGTGGCTGTGGCAGACCCTGAAGAGAAATTAGTTTCTCTGGGCTTCATTTACCAGCTGCATTCTGACTGCTTCCCAGTGGTTTACTTCCTGAACCATGGGGTAGAGGGTTGCTTTGGTCCTACCTTCTTTGAAGCTTGACACTTTGTGTAGCTCTGCTTTTGGATTCTCAGGATTTGATTCTCTGTGCAGCTCGTGTGAGGGGTGTTCAAAGTTCTCACGGATGGGTCATCTCTTTTTCCGTCCCATTTCCATGGAGTGAACCATCGAGGATGCATTTTTCTGCTAGCTTCACAAGATGTTTGATTACCATAAAGTAAACCTTTTGACATTGGCATGGAACTGGTGTCTTATCTTCTACATGGTTCTGTATCCTGATCGTGAGGATCTTGAATTGGATGTCTTTCAGCTGGATTGATCAAGGTGGGGATTCATAAACCCTTTTTCCTCAGTTCACTTGTTGCTCCAGGTGTTGTCCAGAAAGGAATCATACTCAGTCAAGGTGATCTTACTGGCTCCTTGGTGACTGGCTCAGCCTTGGATTCCTGCCCAGTGTCCAAACCTGGGCATTTTTCTGCGGCTCCACCTCTTATAGCAGATCAGTTCAGTGATGTACCTCGCTAGTTTGACCTACTCTGTTCTATGTACCTTCCTGAAACAAGGCAGCTTGGTGAATATAGACCCAACACACATGTTGCAGGACTCTGGGCTAAAAGTGTCACTGGCCCAACAGACAGCATGTATGGGGCAGAGAATGATCATTGGCCAGTAGCAAGACTGATGAGCACCCTTCAAACTCGCACATAGCGAATGCAGACTTGTCAGGCCGATCTATAAAGAACCACACCATTGGGACCCGCTGCAACTTGGCAACCAGAAGAGCACAACTAGGCAAGTCAACATAAATAACAGGGCTCACTTTAGAACTGGCTGGCTATTGGTACTATTGGGCTAGAGCTAGTTTTGAATAAACCCCTTCTTCTGAATGTATCCTTACCAGTCATTTGGCTGTTTCTATAATTTTCTATGAATCTTGTAGTTGTCTGTAAACTTTTACTGACTTAATGGATATTTCCCAGGTGAGGGTGAAGTTAAATGTCTCCCTGCTCTCTGTCTCTGTGATGAGGCCAGGTTCTGGCTCATCTCTAGTAGACCAGAATCCTGCAGATGATGTGACCCATTACTGGAGAGCATCTCAGCAAGATAGTTTCAGGGAGCCACCAAGGTCCCCTCTTCCCAGAAAAGAATGTTTTTGAGTACGTGTACTGTATACAAGTTTATGTAAGCTAGCTTAAACCAAAAAAATTGAAATTTAAAATTAATTACATACAGCCCAGAATTTGATATCTTAATAATCTGGGAATTGGTCAAATGGCTGGTTCCATTATCGAGTTAGGTGTTGTAAGGCTTTTGTAATGTAGGAGACTAGGGCATGGCTGTGTTTTGTTTAATTTTATAATAATACTAATTCATTGTCGGGTACAGGTAACCAGTTTATACATACAGTACACTGGCCACTCCAGACTGACAACCAGAGTGCAACCCCAGAGCCTCCCGAGACTGATGGATGCCTACTACTACAGTGCATGTTAGGCTTATATTGAAGTGCCCCCTTAGGGTCGAATTACTGACCACAACACGCTGACTAACTTCTGGGTACCTATTTACTGCTAGGTGGATAAGAAATGCGTCCAGACATTTCTGTCCCGCCCGGAATTCTTGGATGTGAGTCAAACCTGGCTGTACTACTGGGACTACCGGGATTTTATGAACTGTACATACTGTATATGTACTGTACCTGCCAAAACTTAGCAGTGTATATATTTGAAATAAAACTTATTTTAAAACTTCATTTCTATTGCACATTAAGTGATCTTGCCACAGAGACTATCAGAGTGGAACAGCCATAAAAATACTGTACATGACTAACTTTACAAAATAGCAAGTATAGTACTGTAAAAACATTCATTTATGATGATTAGCCAACTTGCTGAAGCCTGATTCACCATTGTGAATGGTGCACAGGCAGATCCTGGAATATATATATATTCACATGTCTTTCTCACGGCATTCTTATTAAATATGACTTACTTTAATGCTAACTTCTAATTTGTCTATATATTAACTTTTACTATAAATTTTTGTTTGTAAATGAAAGAGTATGCACCTTATTATCATTGACTCTCACCATAGTCATTAATTGTAAGATTGTATACCAATACAGCTCTTTTGATATAGTACTGTATCACTGAATCTAGAATTACAAAACAAAAAGAACAAGCAAAAGCTTAATTGTCTCACCTGTGCACTGGAAGCTGGTTGGTGGGTGAACGAGGGAGTAGAGTGGAGAGTGCTCTAACATACAGCATAACTAAAGGACGATAATATTCTGCAGCCGCCAACACGACTAGCCGACCAGACAGTAGCGCATGGACAAGACAGTGAGACACACCACAGAACTGCTGCACTAGTCCAGACAAACGACACACTAGTACAGTAAGAAAAATAGTAAAAGAATATTATAAAATGAAAAAATAAGGAGGTATTGAGAGTAGTTAACATTCCTTTTTTGAGCCAGTCCCTCATATGCTTCTTGAGACAGAACCATTATGGTGTCCCCATACAGTAGACAGTTTTGAGAAGTCTTCTACTCCCCACACACAGCCTGGTGCCAGGCATATCTGACTATAACTCTATTGCTCAGACTGTTGCATGTAGCAGTGCCTTGAATACAAAACATTTATTTGTGATCAAGCTTGATTTTATTTGGTTTACTGTTATTTTTTGTGGCCTATTTGTCAGGAAATTTAACATACATTATCCCATTTTGCCTTTTATTCCTTTGAAAGTCATTTTATCGACTATCACTCGTCACATTTATCAAATGCCTTTGCATATTTTGTGAATACAATGCAATTTTTTCCAATGTTTCTGTGATTTTTGTTACACTGGTCAAGTAATTGTAAAAGGCAAAATCTTCCTGCTCTAAATCCATGTTAACCTCAATGGTGTATTTAGTTCTCCTTGCTAAAACTAGAAATTTTACTCCATATCATCCTATCAAGCCATAATGTGAGAGGTTTGTGCAACTGATATATAGTTTTGGCCATTTCTATGCTACCTTCCATGTGGAGTAAGGCCGAAATCTGCCAATTTAAGTGCCTCTGGTATCTCATAAGTTTCTACGCTTTTCTCCATATTACATTGAGTACTTGCATTAATTGCACTTAGTATTTCTTTATGAACATGGAGTTCCAGGAGTCAGGTCACATTTCAAAGTCTGCTATGTTTCTGTTAATATCTAATATGCAATTTAAACTGTGCGGATGATATTTATTTATGATAATTACCCAACTTGCTAATCAAATTGCAAGCAAACAGCCATGGCAGATAGCTATAGTCAAGGGCATTAAAATGCTAGTCATGCATGCCATGCAGGTAACCACAAAGCATGAAAATCCCTCATGTTGAGACAACAATTCAAGTAAAAATTACCTAAAAATACTTACCTTATTGGCTTCCATAGAGCCAAGGAGAGGTTGACTGTGAGGTTACAGGTTCTACCAACACTGTGGTAACTGGTGCTTCTATTTGGTAGCAGCAGGTCTTCTAGTTTTAGCCAGTACTTAAGAGATGTGGTAATTGCCTTGTGTTACTACATGGGTTTTCAAGGGTATTGCACCCTGTTTTCTACAATAGTGAGCTGGCTTCTTCATGGTGGTTTCAGTTACTCACCACTATCTTCCTTCCCTAATTTTGTTGACAATACCATTTCCAAAAACATTTGTCACAGTGGGGTACAAGGTCAATCTGAGCTAATTGGGCAAGGTAAGTAAGTAGTCCTGGGTGGACCATTATGTCTGACTCAAGAGCATCCAAGGTAAATTCAATTATAAATTGTCATCCACACTTCCGTGGAAATAAACATTCCATTCACTGGGGCTGTATGGGGGTCACCTATTGATAGAGCTTCGGCCTCACGTGGGGTCCACAGTTCAAGACCCATACAGCCCAGGTGAATGTCACGTAAATTACTTTATGCAGTAATTGAATAGAATATTGGATTTTATTATAATTGTACTAGCTCAGTTACCAGGCATCCACATGTTCACTAAACGCTATCATCATCATCATTGTATCCATTATCATTACACCCATCATCAATTGTATCCATATTCACTATCACAGTCATCAATAAAGAAACTACTGTATAAAGACAAATTATTTAAATTTATTAATTTATTATCTTTTAATCAACATGCAGAAAAAATATGCCGGATAACTGTTAGTGAGGATGGAGTCTTACTTAGAAAGATTGGAATATAATATCACCTGCCATTTCATGCAAAGAGGGAACATGGGTGTCAACCCCAATGCCCATGACCATCCCCCAACAACCACCAATCACCCTGCAAAGTTTGGCAAAGCTAGCCCCAATCATCTGGCCTCCAACCCCAGACATTCCTTTTTTTTTTAAGACAATCTTGAAAATGGCAATAAATCTTAGCAAAAATCTAGCAATGAATGTAATGAAACACTTTACTGTTGGGCTGTCAATACCTTCCTGAGCTTAAACAATGGTACCGCCAGTCAATCTACCCAAATGTGAGAAAAAAACTAATTTTTCAATATGATGATGATGATGATGATAATGATAATAATAATAATAATAGAGATATTCAAAATGTTATATTGATTTGGTTAGCAAGGCCTAGAACTGTTCACACAAAGCAAATTACCATTTGCCTTTTTTCATCTTTTTAATGTCTTTCTTTCAACACCTTGAGTTGGTTTCGGGGCTTAGCGTCCCCGTGGCCCAGTCATTGCCCAGGCCTCCTAGGTCTTCAAGCATTTATCTGTTTTGCAGTATTTTGTTTTTGTTTACTTTTTTGGTTGATTTTCCATGTTTTGTGGTAATCTTTGATCACTTAGTAGAGAGCCAGATTTTAGACCTAGATTCCAATAAGTGTAGGTCTCATACCTGACATGATCTTTGGGCTTAGTGGTACCAGTAAGCATTTTTAATCTAGGTCTCTGGGACAGAGACCTTCCCAGAAATAACCCACCAGGAGGAAAGGAATTTCATGTTTAAGCAAAAATATTTTAGGAATTTGTTATAGATTTAACAAATTATCATATAATGGTAAATGGTAAAACAGCTTTGCAGATATTAATGATGTGAATTTGCTTAAAAATAGAACATTCATGCATACAATTTGATGAATTAGGTTAAATTTCATACCCACCTTTGCTGATAATCATTCTGTTTCCAATATCCACCCTTGGAATGGGTTGCTCTCCCAGAACTGCAGCAATATCTTCTTCAACTTCTTCTTCTTCTTGTATATCCACAAAACTAGACAAGTCTAATGGAGGGTTGGAAGACCAACTGGTGCTACTGCTTGTACTGAGCTTGCTCACATTACGCCGATTACTACTACCAGTCATTGCAACCTCATCTTCTGAAAACAATCTTGCATTAATTGTAAAAGAGCTTACAAGGTGTCTTAAAAATAACACCAATGAAAATGGACTCTTCATTAGTGGTCCCTGGAAGCCATATACAAGATAGTCTCCAGATAATGATATATTCCTACTGAATTTGTTTAGGATCTAAATGGGCTGCCAGAGCCAACTTCCAATCAAATTTGTATAATTTTTTTTATATCCTTACAGGCTTTTTCAAACTTCAGATTGGTGTAGTCTTATAAAACCTTACACAACCCATGCTTAACTAATACTTTGTAGACATCTGATACAGTTCAGTAAACTATATCTAAAATATATCTAATTACCAAAGAAGCCCTTTCATGAAGCATAAAGCAAAGAAAACAACTATAAAAACTATAAACTACAATTGTGCTAAACTGTATTGTCTAGCAATTAACAACTATTAATTAATGACCATTAGAATTGCCTTAGGCAGGACTGGGGCCTACACAGGCACAAAGTAGAAAAGGTGGTGGATCTTGCCAATCTATAATTTAAATCCTAACTCAAACTTCTAACAATGGCTTCAAAAATTATACCAGGGAGTGGGATACATAACTGCAGAGTCAGATCCCAGATAGGTTTACGGAGTATGTACAATGTAAAGTATAATGATGACACAAAATGTTATACAATATTATCACAGCTGGAATTATATAACTTTTTTTGTGGGGGGGGGGGGGGGGGAAGGGGGCTATGTCACATCAGTCTTTACATTTGATTATATTGTTATTTAGTTAAAAACTTCATTTTATATAAAATACAGTACAGTATTAGCATTTACATTATACTCCAGCCATCACTACAGATCTATAAATCCTCGACTAAAAATGTACTTTATTCTTTAAACATATATATAATTAATATTTTCATTTTATCCCCAATATTATTAATTAATATTAGTTAATAATTGATTTTTTTTTTTAAAAAAGACAAATTTCGTAGTAAAATTGCAAAAGTCCTTGCTTGAACTATAACTTTTTGTGTTCATTTTAGGTCCTAGTGTTCGGCTGGCCCCCTATGGGTACACCACATTCTGGTGTTCAGTACACCTGCACAAGTTCAAAGGGATGGTAGTTTTGTAGATGTCTGATACTAGAGCCAATGCACCAGGAAGCTATGGAGGGCTAGCCAAGAAAATGCTATTGTGTTCATTATGTCATAGAGTTCTAAGGGGAAACATCCCACATAACATACTAAAAGGTCCAGTTTGACATGGAGACTGAAGAAACACATACAGTACCCTCTTGTAAAATTAAGAGGCTATCATACCTCAAGTGAAAATAAACAAAAGTACCTGGTCACTTATTTATAATACTGAATCAAAATACAGTACTTCAACAGCATATGCAAAAGCAACTGTAAAAGCAAGTCTCAAGTGTATGTATACAACAAAATAGTCATTTGACTACTTGTATTCCATCTATTCTGAAAAATGGATTACACATCTTAATTAACATTTCACATCAATGAATATCAACGATGTCAACGATGTGAGCCATCCAGTAGTATTTGTTGCTTAAAAATAATTTGTGAAATAATGTAATCTAATACTGTAGTTATTTGCATATTACAAAATAAAATTTGTTTGATGGCTGTCATTACAAACTTGAGTAAAACAGTGACAGTTAATATTTATGAGCCTGAACTATTATGTACATACTGTACATAATCATCTATCTAAATGATAGATGAAAAAACTCAAACTAAAAAAATCAAACTCAAACTCATCTATCTAAAAAGTAAGCAGTCATATATAATCATCATTCATATAGGAAATTAAAAGGAAAATAATTTGAGCACTTTCATGATTAAACATATTTTCAAGAAAAATGTGTTAAATCACGAAAGCACTAGGATTATCTTTGAATTAGTTTTCTACGTGGATATGTATGCATAACTGAATCACGTGTTCTTGTGATTATTCTTGCCTAAATCATCATTATTATCCCATTTCCCAATTGATGGGGTTGAGAGGCTATGCACTGAATGTGACTCCCTTAGTACTATTAAGACCCTGCAGAGACTGTATAAAGAGCTCCCCTGTAATAGCTTACACTTTTTATCTTTGCCATATAATCATACGATATATATATCTTTGTCATATATATCATACGATCATAATGTATGATCCTTACCTTGTATTTCTTTGGTTATCTTTTGAGATGCATTTAGTTTACTAGAATCAACATCCAAATCCTTTTCAGTCTTGAACTCATCTTTGGAGTCCTGATGAACAGTCACTGATTCTATATCAACATTTTCTGGTATACTTTGGTCAACCGTTTGACTTTCATCATTGCTCTTGCTTGAAAGTACAGCATCTCCATCATCTCCCATCACCATTGGGAAAACTTTCAGGCAATCAGCAGCTGCCGATACATTTCCTCGGGATGTTTCTAGTGTCTCGGCATATTCTGAGTCTGGAGTTGATGTTCGAGAAGTACTAGTCAAAAGAAACTTTACAAAATGAGTATCCCAGCAGAGTGCTGAATATGAACTTGGTTGAACAGGCAGCTTACACTTTTCATCTTTGCTTACATTAATAATAGGAATATTTCCAATAAATAGAGAACTAAAGGGATTATCATAGATATCACGATCCAAGTCTTCAAATTTCAAAGTAATAAAAGATTTACAGAACACTCCATGAATAGACCAAAGTTTGAAAAGGCAGCCAACATAACCCACTCCACACAGATGGTGCACAGAACGCATGTCCTTAAAGTTTCTCTTCATCAGAGACAAGACACAGACACTTGGCTTAGTTTTTTCTACAGGCTTCTCAAACATTGACAAGTTGTTCATAGCCTTATACAAGGGCGACTGTGGTTTGGATTCGATTTGCTCAGCTAAACAGTTCATTTCTCCTTCAATTTCTTTTTTAACCTGCAAAATAAAAATTAGGCTTTGAATTAATGTTTTAAGTTCCTTTATGAGCAGAATACTGATTCTTCTTAAGCAGATATCAATCCTGGTCCTAAAGGAGAATAGCTCAAGAGTCATGAATGGGTGACATTCTGCACTGGCAATTCAGTGTTCATTTCAGACATCCTGTCAAGTTAAACTGATGCTATGGAGACATTGCAGAAAAGTTTAATCCAGCTTAGAGTGACCACAGTCAGTTTTCATAAATACCATTATGCAAAGCCATTCCAAGTCCTACTTTGCACCAAGTAGTGCTCTCTCAAACCACCAGTTGTGCACCTGACCACAAGCAGATAACAACACCAATACCAGATCTCCTGACCAAAGTTCCTGTCACAATCTGACTAATACAAAAGAAGACTATCACCATAAAGAAATCAGTGACAGACAACATGTGCACCAGCAACTTCCTCAGAAAGGAGCCTTTCATATTCACTATAAGACTAATTTCTAAGCTATTCCACTCAGATACATCCTAAGGAAAGCGTAATCGGTGAAAACTACAGAAAAATGAAAAACACTGGGGTGAGGCTAATCTGAGATGCAGAATTGGATCCTCGAACTGCAGTACAAGAAATAGTAACCACAGGGTGGTAATCCTTGAGAATTAGCAGGCACCTAAGGTACAATTGGACCCAAGGTTACACCTACAGCTGACAGCTTGATAATTCAAGTTGTAAGCTGTAGAATGCAAAGCAGCCTAGAAATACAGGCCTTAGTACAGATCATCAGTATAAGTATTAAGGAAGATATATAGCTCAATTCTGCCAAGAACCTTAGTAATATTGACTTAAGGGAGCCACAATACAGAATATAATGTAACTGAGGACAGATAAAACAAGCTCGCATAAAGGCAGGGCCGCTCCTGATAGAAGAAGCCATATTTTTTACAAGAAGCTTGGGTTAGGATAGAGATGTACTCTAGTGTCTCCCCAACAACGTTATGAAGCCACAACTTTGATGGAGAGCAAGGAGCTCATGAACCTGGTCATACATAGTGAGCTTGTCATCATACATAGCTAACTGAGTGCACTTAAGGTGGAGTATAATGCACAGGCATCAAGTGCTGGTTCATAGTAGCAAGAAGTCATGAATATGGTGAGAACCTCAACAGGAGGAACCAACTACTACAGCACAAGGTGAACCAAAACAGAAGGTAACTATGTTTCATATATAATCAGTCATACACACAATAATAATCTGTATAGACAATACTAATCTGTACATGGAAAGTACAATCCCACTACACAGTGATAAAGTTTATAAGGATAAAAATAAGTCATTTAAATTAATACAGTTGAAGGAAAGACAGAATATATGTATAAATGTATAATAAACTAGGTTTTTTATTTTTAAAATATAGGTTTTGGGTTTTTGACTTAAACCTAAAAAAAGTTTTAATACATTTATATAAGTATATATATATATTGGGTCTTTCTTTAACTTTCATTCAAGCACTATGACACTGTTCAAGTTTCTCCATTAATACAGTCTCGAGTGTGCCCAACCATTCACCTAGAATGTGATTGGGCTCTGGCTAGGAGACCAGGTGTTAGCCTGAGTGCTGCTATCTATTTGCAATTTGTACTCGCTTAGTTGTACTCACCTAGTTGTGCTTGTGGGGGTTGAGCTCTGGCTCTTTGGTCCTGCCTCTCAACTGTCAATCAACTTTTTTTTTTCACACACACCCCCTAAGGAAGAAACTCGTAACAGCTGTCTAACTCCCAGGTACCTATTTACTGCTAGGTGAACAAGAACATCAGGGTAAAAGAAACTACAGTATGTCTGTTTCCTCCGCCGGGAATCGAACCCGGACCCCTTAGGACTATGAATCCCGAGCGCTGCCCACTCAACCGTCGGCTGATTTATTTGCAATTTGTGGTAGCAACCAAGTGGGCAACAGACTGCAAAAGTATCCATTTGGTGGTCCTTGAGATACAAAGTTGGGCTCTGAATCTTTATGAATGAACTTACTATGGCTACTGTAGGGAGAATTACACTCCTCCAGTGCCTCCCTAATTCAAATATGACCCAACAGGGACATTTGAAAAGATACCTCTTGCACTGATGCAAATGTCCCTCTTCTGAGACTGTTGTGAGCTATTCATTTAGAATGAGGATGGTTCTTGCCATACAAAGTATCCAAGAAAAATAGTTAAACATTTACCTACTAAGGTTTTAGAAATATCTAAAGTATTAAAAATCTGTAATAATGCCATTCATAGAACATATCATAAAGACTAAAATCTGTGATCAACTACACCTGCAATGATCCTTTGGGAAGCAAATAAAAAAAATTTAAATACACAAAAAGAACACCCCATTCAATTTTCCTATCTTCCACACTACATACTGCAGAATTACTGTATATAGAACCAGCACCATCACACACTAACAATACATCCTCCTAATGCACAAGATGTTAGGAGCTTCTTGTGAGTTGTCATCTATTGTACAGTATATAAGAAAATGTATGAAATGGCCAGAATGTTATTGTGGGTACTATGCTAGAATGTAGTGTTTACTAGTCTCTTGTGATGGTCCTATAGAATTTATGACATGTAAATTGAAAAGTGGCTGTAAAAGATTACTAGACATAAATCTAAATGACTTACATTGATATATGTAAATAGAAGGATGATAGTAAATTATTTGCTTTCTATTCTATACAGACAAGTCCCTCCATACTTCTTGAAAATAAGGAACTGGGAATATATGCTAACTAATACTTACTGTACATACTACTGTACTGTACTGTACTGTACTGTACTGTATTGTATATGGAATTGAATTGTGGAACATCTTAAAGATATGGCTATACACAAGTATACATATGGCTTCAATAATGAATGTCTTACAAAAGAAATACAGTGGAACCTCGTGTGACGAGCACCTCAATTTACGAGCATTTTGAATAATGAGCACGCTGATCGTCAACAATTTGTCTCGATTGGCGAGCGCTCGTTTGATTAGCGAGAAAACCACATGGTGCGTTCCTGTTGCTTCTCGCACATTCTCGGACGCCTCCAACGATGCAAATAAAATAGTTTTTTTGTTTAAAGATGCTAATGATGCTGGGATGTAAAGGGATGACTGCTGCTGTAGCAAAGCATTGACTTATTTTTGTAGAATAAAAAAAAAAGTGAAAAATTTGAAAAATAGAACAAATGTCAAAAAGGTTCGTTCAGTGTTAGTCATTTAGGCTGCTCCATGTTTCTTAAAAAAAATTGAAAAAATTTGAAAAACGGACAAATGCCATAAAGGATCGTTCAGTGTTTGTCAGGTAGGCTGCTCCATTATTAATAAATAAATGAAAAATACAAAACAAATTGAACACATTTGAAACAAAGAAAGATTGTCATTATGGAGCATCCTACCCGACAAACACTGAACGAACTTTTTGCTATAAAAAAAATGAAAAAATTTTTTTTTAACAAATTTGAAGAAAGAAAAATGTCATAAAGGTTTGTTCAGTGTATGTAAGGTAGGCTGCTCCATTATTTAAAACATCGAATATCATATTGATGTTTTTTGGTGGTACAACGGATTACAGTACAGTAATTTGATTTCCATTATTTTAAATGGGGAAATTCGTCTTGAAAGACGAGCGTTTCACATAACGAGCTTGGTGCCGGAACTGATTAAATTCGTTATTCGAGGTTCCATTGTACTTTTATTTCATACCATATGTGGTCGCACAACATCAAGAATGTGCTGGCACTCCATAAGCTGCATTGCAACTGCTTCTAAAGATGTATGCCTTAGCAGTGATTCCTCATCATCATCATCACTGTTTGTATTAGAACTTAGAAAGCTGTCCTCTTTTTCTGGTTGCAGTGAAAGCCTGGAAATAAAAACAAAATATATTGAATAACAAAAATTTAAAAAGAGTGATTTTCTAGTATCATAGTACTGTATGTTTTTTTTAGAAAAAATTAAAAAGATATGCTTTAACAGTTATGAGTAACTAATCAGCTGAATACAAAACAGTAAAAAATGCTTAAACATTTAAATTAAATTGCTAAAATTAGAAGCATATCAATCACATGGGCAAATGAGAGAGGCTTGCTCAAGCCAGCATATTTCAGAACAATAACAGTGGTGTAATGAATACAGTGTTGTAATAAGTAATTTACTATAATAATAATTTGGGATTTTACTTTTCTCGAGTCCACATTCCTCATTCTTATGAAAACTCACAAGCATTTTAACATCATGCAGTAAATGAAACCAAAAAATTACACTTTATATTCAAAAGGATTAGCATAATCAAATGGATTAAAAGATCTAGAAAAGATATACTGTACCTTCAAATTATGAACAAACTAGTCTTTAACAGGCAGAGACAACCAGTTAAACAATCAACGAGCTATACAAGAAGAGGATCTTACAGCACACTACCTCTTCCCAACAACGTGAGGCACAACCAATCTGCAGAAGTCCAAGGCAATCCAGTCCTCATTTCAGAGTTCCATGCAAAAGGAATACATACAAAAGGATACAGTCTCCGTGGTGTAGTGGTAAGACACTCGCCTGGCGTTCCGCGAGCACTATGTCATGGGTTCGTATCCTGGCCGGGGAGGATTTACTGGGTGCAATTCCTTAACTGTAGCCTCTGTTTAACGCAACAGTAAAATGTGTACTTGGATGAAAAAACGATTCTTCGCGGCAGGGGATCGTATTCCAGGGACCATAGGATTAAGGACTTGCCCGAAACGCTACGCGTACTAGTGGCTGTACAAGAATGTAACAACTCTTGTATATATCTCAAAAAAAAAAAAAATATATATATATCGGCCAGATATTTGGGCTCAAAATGCTTTTAGTGCTCTCATGGCACTGAAGTTTAACCTTTCATGTACAGTTTTGATTGAAATCCAACTTTGTTCATCTTCCACAGAAATAAGATAATCAAATTTATTGAGTTCCCAGTCATATTTGTATCACTTCAAATGACCTAGCAGATCAGATCATTTTAAATGCTAAAAAGCATTTATGTCTGTCCCATCTCCCAGAAACTAATTCCTTACAGATAACAAAAGAAGTGTTGAACTTACTAATAAGAACAATACCCTTTTCTGTTATGTTAGGGGCTATAATCATCTTATAGTTTGGTCTTTTTTTAAAATAATCTTTCCTACCTCTATTCTCATCAGACAGCATTTTGTGGAACTGGCTCTCATACACGACATGCTCAACATTTGTTATCAACTTTTGCCTTCCTCAGACAGTTAAAAGCTCTAATCTTCTTAGCAAGAGTAATCTGACTTGGCTACATGGCTTTCTGTGCTCTACTCTTCCTGTCTGTTTTATATATATTTTTTTCTACCTTTTGTTTCTCTCTTCTATTTTCTCTTTAATTTATTAATCTGCCATTAGGCCTTCAACAGTTTCATTTATTCATACGTTAGCTTGGTTTTCAAGTGCCTTACCTCTCCACTTACCCCTCATCTCTCTTCACCTTACATCCCTCTTGCCTAACACTGATTCTTGCTCTTCCTTGGGCTACTTGTTTGACCCACGTTATTATGACTTATTCTAAGCATTTCTTATTATCATTTGATTTAAATTTTCTAGCATTGATCCAAGTCCATACATCCAGCTGAAGAGAGCTCTTGCCGAGCTTCACATTTATCTTCACATTTCGAGAGCGTGCAAACATCCTATACTGCTAGAAGCCACTCAATAAAACATCGAAATTACTGGGATCGCCTACAAATTTTAAATCTGTTTTTCATAGAGTGCAGGCAGGAGAGATACATTACAGTTTACACTTGGGAAGACATTGGAAGGACTGGTTACAAATGTACACATATGTACACACAGAAATAACACCACATGAGACCAGAAGGCATGGCAGGATGTGCAAATAGCCCTACTGAAAATCAGAGGTGCAATAGACATGCTGAGAGAGAACTATCAACCTCAAAGGCCCAAGAAGTTTGATACCTGATCAACCAGGCTGTGACTCATGCTTCAGGCTGCCAGCAGCCACATCAAACAGCTTGGTTGATCAGACCACCAACCAGGAGGCCTGGTCAGAGACTACATGGGGCAATACTAATCCTCGGAATCTTCCACGGGTAGTCAACATGTCGGTAGGTAGTATCGTATTCTCAATATGACTTTAAACCAGTGTATCAATAGCATAAAAATTACATCAATCCTATAAGCATTTGGCAATATGATATGGCCAAGTCACTACCAAACAAACAATACTAGATCAAGAACCGAGCCTTGAGGAACACCAAACAGCAATGGAGCCGATTCAAGTAAAACCATGAGACTACCAACCAGAAATATACGACTTTAACTACAACATAACAAAGTCTCTAAGACTGCACATAATAAGATGATGTATCGATAAATCATGATCATTGGTATTAAATGCAACACAGAGGTCCAACAGAATAAACAGTGACATTTCCTGAACAGGTAATTCAATAGAATATCACAATTGAAACTGCCTTATTTGAATTGAAAAACTGACCACATGCTAAATTGTCAATTTGTTCCAAAAAATAAAACCAATTGATCAAGAAAGGTAAATTAAATAAATTTAGAAAGAAAAATTAGATTTAACACAGGATGACATGTCCTAGGAATATCCTTAAAGCCACTGACTGTCAAGGCCCTGGCTGTCTCACATTCCTGTCAAGGTCACAAGATGGTGGTCTCCAGGTAAATTCAGGTACTACAGTATATACTGTATGAAATGTGAAATGTGAATTTTCACAAAATCATGAAAAAAGTGCTCCAACAACCTGCAATACTAACCAAAAACACACTATCAGATTACTACAAGCAGCCTTACTAGCACTCTGCAGTCCACAATGGATAACTCCTCTTGAAGTCTTCATTCTTCTTATTTTTAGAAGTTGATGGCACAGTATAGCAGTTGGTCTCATTGTCACTATCACATGAAGTATCCTTTTTATATTTACTGTACTTACCAATACAATTGTCCAAATGAAGTTTTAGAATATGAATGGGCAATTTACAATCTAAGCAGTAGTCATACAGAAAATATTAATGCTATTTACAGTACTGTACTATGTGCATGAAGCACTATTCAACTATGTTCAGTATGAAATGCTGTGCATGAAACATTATTCAACTATGTTCAGTATGAAATGCTGTGCATGAAACACTATACAACCATATTCAGTAATATGTGCATGAAGCACTATACTACTGTACTATGTTCAGTACTATGTGCATGAAACATTAAACATTTATGTACAGTACTGTGTGCATGTAGCATTATATAACTAACTCTTTATTGCTCCTCATAATATTATCTTCTGGATCACAAGATCTAGTATTTGGCAACTGTAAATTTTCAGGAGGCTCAGGCAGGTTAACAGCTGCTTGACCTGTAGCACTTGTCAAATAATTTATCTGGACGTAACTCTCTGTTCTGTACGATACTTGATTGTCAGCCATCAAATCTACATCCTCTTCCTCCATGTCTTCTGTATGTCCATGTTTTTGAGAATTTGTAGGATTCTGCAACAAAATTATTGTCATTACTTATGACTAGTGAAATATTAAAAAAACAATTCAGAATGCAAAAATGGTGCACAATAATGTATTAGTGTATTTATAGCATTAAGAATGACAATTTAAACTTGACAGTGCCCCATTGGTTGCATCCCCTAAGAGGAGCCAGAGTTCACCCAGGATACTGCTCATACACACACTCCAGGATCAGGGACTTTGTGCTCAACCAAAACAAGATGATATCTGGCAATACATAGGCAGCCAATTAGTAGCTCTGCAAACTACTTAGCAACTAGCCATCACCACCACTAGTTCAAGGAAACTGGCTAAACTCACTTTACTCCTGCCACCCACCCCCTCCTTGGCACAGCTCTGAAGAGGTCAATTCAGCTGAGGACACTGGTTTCCCTTGAGATTTTCTCTTTGCAGGAGGGTACCATGGCTTTGTTTCATGGCATAGTGACTAGTCACTTGCATATCTTATTTCAGTTCACTTTAGCTTGGTTTGAGTGATTTTCTACCCTGACTGCCAGACTGCTGATTGTCTTAGAAACAGCCTAACTTTCCTGAAGTAGTTGTGTGGTATTCAGCATGGTCCTCTTTGTGAGTTTAACCCATACTCTAGTGGTGCCATAGATTTTCTGGCTCCAGCCTAGACCTTAGTTCAGTGCATTGTTTACATTTATATATACATTGTCTGCACATGGGGTCTTAATCAGGACTGGGATGCTTCACTTAAAAGATGTAAAAGTGCCCTGTTCTTGCTTTGATTTAGGCCATTACTGTCCTTGTCCTTCATTACTGTAGGTGGTACAAGGTTTGAAGAGTTCATGCCAGATCTATGTCTCTTCTGGGATGCCACTTTGGGGGGTATGGAGGTTTGGTTGCCATACATTTAGGGTTTCCTTTCCAAAATTTCTGCCAGTTAAGGCTTTGTGGATGTTCCTCCTGTTGTTGAGTCTGCTTTTGCTATGTGCAGGTCTGCTTTATATGTATTCACTTGTGTTGTTTTAAATATGGCAAACATGATGAAAAAATTATCTATACCTATTGTGCTTACTGTATTCCTCATTATATCTCACACATCAGACATTCAATAATTTAGAACCCCATCCTCACATCTTTCTCTAGGTTTTGCTGGGCACTTTGACAGTTGTGTCCTTCCCTAGCCCTCTTGTGTCCTGAGGCCAGTCTTCTTCATGTGTCTGGATGCAGTGTTTTGCCCACTGTGTCTGTTCCTTTGATCCGTGATCAGTTGTGTGCTGCCCAGGACTGGGATCTGTCTCCCTTTGTGGGCATTTATTCTCTCATGGCAGCTTTACACAGGAAGGTTTTGTGTTTCCCTGGTTGGTTTCTCCTGGTCTTCAACTTGCCCCGTATGTCTCAGATTTCTCCTGCCCTCTCACTTCCACATGCTGGTCCTTTTTTGGCATTTTGATATGGGTGGGGTAGTAATGGGTAAAGTTGGGGTTTGGTAGAGGTATAGTTGGGTAGGTGGGTTAGGATTGGTTATTGCTGGATAATAAACTCTACAAATGGTCAGAAGACTGGCAAATGCTTTTTAATATTAACAAATGCAAGACCTTGCATGTGGGACATAGCAACACATGCCACTTCTATCAAATTAATTCCATTCCATTACTGCAAACTGATGAAGAAAAGGACCTTGGAGTCTAAATACACCACTCACTGAAAGTTGCACAACAGGTAGAAGCAACAGTCAAAAAAGCTAACCAAACCCTGAGAATAATCAAGCATCGTTTGACTAAGGAAAGGAAGGTGGTGATCCAATTGTATAAATCTCTGTGCAGCCCCATCTGGATTACTGTATCCAAGCATGGAGACCCCATCTTCAGAAGGACATAGCTGCTCTGAAGAAAGTGCAACACTGGGCAACAAAACTCATTCCAGAACTAAGTCATCTCTTGTATCAGGAATGGTTCAGGGCCACAGGGCTAACAACACTGCAAACTAGGCATGACAGGCTGGATCTCATTGAAACTTTTAAAATACTAAATAATTTGGTGGATGTTGACTCAGAAAATTTCTTCAAAAGGTCAAATGTAATACAAACAAGGAGCAATGGTTTCAAGCTCGACAAGCCACAATGTAGAACTGAAAATAGGAGATGCTTTTTCACCCACAGGGTTATAAACCCATGGAATTGCCTGCCCACCAAAACCAAAAATGCCAAGACTCTGTTGAATTTCAAAAATCAAACTGGAAATGATTATCAATGCAAATGGGAAGGGGGGGGGGGGGGGACTCGACAGGCCGCCGGTTTTCTGACAGGGGCCTGACAGCTGAGTGGACAACGCTCGGAATTTGTAGTCCTAAGGATCCGAGTTCGATCCCCCGTGGAGGCGGAAACAAGTTGACAGTTTCTTTCACCCTGATGTGCCTGTTTGCCTAGCAGTAAATAGGTACCTGAGAGATAGACAGCTGCTATGGGCTGCTTCCTGGGGGTGTGTAACAAAAAGGAGGCCTGGTCGAGGACCTGGTTCACGGGGACGCTAAGCCCCGAAATCAACTCCAAGATAACCTCAAGATAACCACCTATCCTTGTCGAGGCCACTAGCGTTAGTGGCCCCTCAGGTACATATAGGTACTTGAGGTACCAGGTACAATACCACACCTATTAGGTAAGGTATTTACCAAAAGAGAGTACTAAGCCAGTATGACTATACTGTATAGCATTTTGAAGGGATATTAGGATAGGATAGGAGCTGGGATAAGAAGACAAGAGTGTAGAAATGGAGGTTGTTGCTTGAGTACTCTCTTAATTGTGCTGGCTGGGGGTCAAGTTTGGCACTTTGGTCCAACCTCTCTGCCTTCAATCAACTAGTGTGCAGGTTCATGAGCCTATTAGGCTCCATCATATCTGCATTTGAAGTAGTGTATGGAGTTTGTCTCTACTACTTCACTTTATAATGCATTTCATTTGCTCACTATGACAATAAATTCTTTCCATTGTCTTTGTTGCTCATTTGGGTACTTTGCTTCCATCTGAATTACCTTGTTCATATACCATCCATTTAAAATAATCTGTCCTTTAACCTGTCAATTCCCCTGATAATTTTCTATGTAGAAAATATCTCCCTTAAACTCTACCGCCTTCTTCCACACATCTTTTCCAATGACGTGTGGTTTAATTTCTGTAATCTTTCCTAATAACTCACTCACACACTCACTCTCTCTCTCTCTCTGGGAAGGGAAAGAGAACTGATCAACAATCTTTAACTGTTTCTCACATATTCACCCATCAATAAATGAGTAAATGGTTGTAAACTGATTAGCAGTTCGTGTTCCAGGGAAAATTAGTAAGGTAAGGCTTGAGTTAAGCTGTAGGAGGGAGTGCTTTAAGCTTGCTAACTGAATCATCTTCTGTATCCACCTGGGGAAAAAATAGCAAAGTATCAGCTGGAATTTTAACAATACTGTGCAGCACATCAAAAGTAAGCTATTACCACTAATACCTATACATTAGTACACCTCCAATTCAGTATGGTAACTGATAAGAGAATAATATGAAACATGCACTACTTTAAACATAATCAGAGACTATGTGGGAAGATAAAATACAAAAGGTTACTTTTAAAAATTGAAATTAATTTTGAATAATTAAGCATTTAACAGAGGGTACTCACGTATATGTATTGTCACATTACAATATTATAATAATAATAATAAAATTTTGCACTGTAAAATCCACCCTGTTTCCCCAGCAAATGGAAGGAACTGAAAGTGACCAGGTATGTATATAAGAACAATAAATCTCCACAAACTTACTATGGCAGAGATATCCAGCACATTTCTTTGAACTTGTATGTATCGATCCTTCGTATATTCCAAATCTCTGACGAGTCCCCCCATTTCTTTGGAAAACCATTCTAGATTGCTCAGCTTTAAGCATTCAGTTGCCTGCAAATAATTAGTCACAATCACCAAGGAGAGACAAAATTATATATGCATATACTGTACATATACAGTATATAAAACATACACACACACACACATTGTATGTAAAGTTAACTCAAGCCCCTTAGGTAATGATTATTCCTCATTCAGTATTATATAAATTCTGTTAGAAAACTGGTTTCTTCAGTTCATGATTAGAATACAAACTATGTGATGTTACATTTAAGAGTTGCCAGAGGCAAATCCTCAGCAGTTTAAAGAAAAACTAATGAAAATAAAACACTGCTTAGAAAATCTCACAAACCCAGCTCTAAACATCACCTTGCTTGCTAACTTCCCCTTATGGTACTTAAATGGAAGACTGTGGCAAATACAGTTATATTGGAGAGAATCCCAGGAAGCAGTCTAAATGAACAGTTACACACAAATACCCTCTTAAAGAATGGATTTGCCTTAAACTAGCAAATAGTAAAACCAATTACAGTACATAAGAAAACATCCTAGACCTTATTTTTATGATGAACTAGTCAGGAACATAATGATTACAAATACATGTTACACAAATCACAACTTAACCAAAGTTCAGGCAAGCAGGGGCAATAGACCTGCACAACCAGTCTCAAATCCAAGACGAGGAGAATTCAGCAAATTCAGTTTTAATAATAAAGCTGATTAACTGGGAACGAATAAACTAAGACCTCATAGAAATAAGTTTGGAAGAACAGCTAGATAATGCAAACCTAAATCAGTGCCATGATAAAATAGACACAGTAGCACTAAAAACATTCTCAAGTGACATACAGTACAACTAAAAAGAATGAAAAAGAAAAAGATGCAAATTGAAACAAGAATGGTGTTCTCGCTAAAGGTAGAGAAAAATTGCAGAACAACTAGAACGCCCCATTCTATCCCAAGAATGACACGGAAGGACATAGAAAAATGAAAAAAATTGCACTAAAGCTAAAAGAATCATAAAATCCAGGGGAGGCAAAAAGAGCAAAAGGTCATCAGTGAAAGAGAGGACTCCAAAATACTCTCTCTTATGCAAAAGCTAGAACAAAAACTACATCAAGCATTGGGCCCTTGCAAAATGGAGATGGAACTTTCACAGATGACAATACAGAACATGCCAGTGACCAGTTGGTTTAGTTAATTTTGCCTCAAAAGTTGTTTCATAGAAATTATATTTTATGCCCAAAGAGTAATATTTGAAAAATATTTACAGACACAGCCAGATATATTCATGCAGTCTGTACAGATACAGGCAAGTATATTCATGCATTCTACATAGACACATCAAGATTAATAGATAAATTCAGTTTTCATGTATCAGGAAAGTTTAGAGTGATGATTCAAATTTCAAAAGAAGAGCATTGCTTAAGACATTAAATGGTTTTCATTACTGGTTCATCCTAATATACGTGTCTTTAAAGAAAAGAAAGTTTTTAAATGTGTGCAGAAATTAACAGAAATCTTACCAAAATAAAATGCTGTCTGAGCTGAGAGAAATAATGCAGAAGCTTCCTTGAGTCGGAGGAAATGTACGAAAGACACATTGGTCGAACAAAGCCTCTAGCACGCACATCATACAGTGTGAAATAGTGTACATACACATGAACACCTGGATTTATATCTTGCTGCACCATCTGAGTGTCTTCATAAACTCGAAACTCACCGCTGTGGAAATTTCAACATCATTATTAATGTTTCATTGTTTGATAAGTTACCATCAACTTAAATTAAACAAATTCTTAATTGAAAGATAAAAATATAAAGTTAGGTACAGTACTTGTGTGCATATTTATATATATATATATATACTGTATACTGTACTGTATGTATATAAATGTTTATGTGTATCAGTGTACAGTATATTAATATAATCAAATATATTATACAGTACAGTAATTACTGTATTTATTATGTTAGAATATTTAATTAAATAAAATACAAGTTCAAATCTCTAATAATCCAAGTGAATTAAATATTACTAACCAAGTTATTGTGGATTGTATTTTATATGACATGGATGAAGAGTTAGATTACCTCTAGATATGCTCCAAGGAAAGTTTAATGTCTCAATTGGGTACCAATTAGGTACTTCTGAAATCCTTCCTTGTATCATTTTCTTTTTTATCTTTGGTAATTATACAGTATTATGGTAATTACACACAAGTGCACAAACACTTGCCCTACCTCACACAAATGGTAAGATCCTGTGAAACAAATCTACTTTGCTTTTATGATAGATGATAGAGCTATACAGATCTTATGGGAAACAGATGGGTTGAATGCATCTATGTGGACCTAAAAGAGATTTTTGACAGAGTCCCCCACAGGAGGCTATTTTGGTAGCTAGAACATGTTGGAGGGGTGACAAGCAGACTTCTGATATAGATTAAAAATGGTCAGAAAAATTGGGGTGGTAATTAGAGGCAATGTATCAGACTAGTAAAAAGTTATCAACAGATAACACAAGGTTCATTATTAGCACCAGTAATGCTAATTGACTAAATGAGCCAATGTAATTAAAAATGACTAAATGCCACATTCCAGAATGTAGAATAGTTTAAAATAGGCCATACACATCCAATAAATTATGTGGAAAAAAAAAGATCTACAGGGCAGTTCTGGATAGAAAACTGTCATCAAATAGCCAGAAAATGCATTGTACGAGAAGCTACACTTATGTTGCCAAATTTCAGAATTATGTTTTAATAATTCTGAAATTTGGACAGAAAAATAATAAAGAAACTTTATGACATTTGCTAGACTGAAATTAGAATATCCAGCAGTTATGTGATGTCCATATCTTAAGAAGTATGTCAATAAACTATAAAGGATACAAAGATATGCTACTAGAACTAAAAACAAAAGCTATGAGAAGAGACTATCTGACATTAAATATGCCAAAGGTGGAAGATAGAAGAAAAGGAGGCGATACAAAATAGCAATGGGAATCTAGACAGCTGATTAGGAGGCATTTTTGAAACCTATAGTTTTAAGAACAAGAGGCTACTGATTCAAGCAAAGGAAACAGAGGTGTCAATCAAATTCATGAAAGTTTTCTTTTTGAGAACAGAATTATAGATGGTTGGAACAATTCAAGCGAGGTGGTGATGGTGGATGGCAAAACCATCAGTAGTTTCATAGCAACACCCAACAAAGATACAAGCTTCTGGTGTTAATGGTGAGATAATATGAATAGCATAGTCAGTGGCATATGTGAAGTTGGCAAACATAAGACCAGCATTTAAGAATCTAACCAAGGAGATTTTTAAGTCTATATATATATTGCCTAGTCAAGACCATTACTGGAAAATGGAGCACCAGCATGAAAGCCACACCTCATGAAGCAAAATAGGAACGTCAAGAGATGTAATTAACCACTAGCACAGAATTAGTGTGGGGCCAGAATGGATGACTCAGAAGTTGTATGCTGTACATACAAGGATACTCACTCTGATCTATCACTCAAAACTCCCCAGTTTCCAAGTAAGAAATCTTAAACCCGAGTTAAATAAAACAGACAAACCTGTCCAAGTTGGCTTTGTAATTTGGTTACAGCATGTTATTTGCCCTCCAGCATAATTGGGGCCTCCTTCACAGAGGTGCTGCTACCTAGCATGAGAACCAGCAGCTAGTTTCAAGCTTCTCACCAACATTAATGCATTGTGAATATCAACTGGAGTGCTTAGCTGACTTGAACCCGTGACCAATGGACTGCCAGCCGCCACCTCTACCACTGTGAGGCGGCAGCTGACAGTTTGTTGGTCGTGGATTCAAGCCACCTAAAAGCTTCAGTTGATATTCGTATCAATATATATATATCACGTTAGTCAGATTTCTCTAACTATTGAGGGGGAGGGGAGGGAGTAAAATTCTCTAGTCTTGTCTGAATTTACCCAAATTTACCTTAGGACCACTAACACTATAGTGGCCTCGACAAGGACAGGAAGCCGGCAACTTGTCAAAGGTCCCCCATTTGCTCTGATGATTTTTTAAGTTAGATTTTAAAATTCAACTGTGTTTTGGCATTTACAGCTTTGGTGGGTAGGCAATTCCATGGGTTTATAACCCCTATGGGTAAAAAGGCATCTCCTGTTTTCTGTTCTACATTGTGCTTTTTAGCAGCTGGAAACTGTTGCTCCTTGTTTGTGTCATATCTGACCTAATGAAGAAGTTGTCTGGATCAATATCCTCTGTTCAATACTTTATCCTGACCAGTTGGACCTATTCTCTAGCATTGCCTAGATCAATAGTGGTCCCTAGACCACTATGATGCTCTAAGTTTTTCCTGAGTAAGTGTTAATTACAGGTATTGCATTCCAAGCAGACCACAGTCTCTCAAGGCAGAAGAATAATGTAATTCAGAAAACATCCCAAAATGAACAATAGCTTAACAAAATCTCTCAATATGTTGAAAATTGTGTAAATTATTCATCAGTAAAATTTACCTTGTATTTAAGTAGTCAGTTGACAAAACTTTCACAACAAATTCATTAAGATCAATTTGCAGTGAAGGTGTTTGAGGTATTGTTAAAAGTGGTATAGGTCCCTCAATTTCAGAAAATTCTGCCAGGAGTATAATATCCTGACATGCAGGTGCTGGTGACCATGGCTGAAATTAAATTAAGTATTCATAAACATTTTTTTTCTTTTCTCTAGTAAGCAAATAATTTTGCAAATATTCCCTTCTGTGCCTATCAGGTAATACAAAAATTGGTACAGATTTAAACATTCAGCTTTAAACAAACAGATTAACACATTCAATGTCAATATTCCACAGCATAGAGATTCAATAAATGGCAGTTCTGGGCCTAGTAGGAACTTGTAGATTTAGGCTAACAAATGCTCTTTTCAAGTAAAAACTGCACTACTGCCAACAACTGTAAAACCTGCTAACTCACTCTAAATGTTGTTGGTGGAATAGTAGACCGAACATCAAGTCCACGAGGAAGATTCAGGGGCCCAGAAGCAAATGATGTATTTGGAAGAAACCCAGTATCTCCCTGCCATTTTGCCATTATGCTATATGCTGTAAATAGATATTGAATTGCAGTACTTATATACAAGCACACATCCATGAATAAGCACACACATTGATATAACGAGGGTGAACAATGTCCATGTGAACAAATTTTGAAAATTTTGTATGAAGATACAGTAGTACTACAGTATTAGCAAAATGTTTATATACATTCCAATCAATAATAATAATCAATTTTTATTTAAAAATATGTATACAAAAGAACATGATACAGTGGTTGAATAGAATTTCAATAAATTGAGTTTCAAGCCCAACTTACAAAAATTAAGTTAAATTATTGAAAGTTTTAAACATTTAATGAGGCAAATACTTAATACTAAACAAGAACTAAATTAACATATAAATATATATATATATATATATATATATATATATATATATATATATATATATATATATATATATATATATATATATATATATATATATATATATATATATATTGTTAAAGAAATTAGTAAAATGATATTCAATAACTAGGCAATATTTTATTATATCAGACTATTTAGTACTGTATTTCAAATTTACAACAACAGCAAAACACAAAAAGTTTTATTTTAGATGAGGAAATGCAGGCAAAATTTGTTACATGATGTTAATTAGATATTTATTATTTTATCTTTCAAACTTTTTAAAAAGTACAGGTTTTTATCAAATTTTGGAGGTCATTCCATACTTTTTGATCTTTAATTTGCTTTTGATCTTTAATTTAATTTTGGATCTTTAATTTAATTTTGGATCATTAATTTAATTTTGGATTTTTTAATTAATTTAATTTAATTAAAAAAAAATTCTGGTTTGGTCGAGTCACATTCTAGAAATATAAAATAGACAAGTCATTTCTTGTGAAGTGCACAAGGTCTGTTACAGCCCTTTAAGAAGCACTCAATTTTGTGGGAGCTAATTAAATATTCAAATGTTCAGGCAGAAAATATAACCATACTGGCTTAGCACGTTCTATGATAACTTTCAAGTTGAAATTTTATACTAGCTTTTTAATAATCTGCATTTCAATATTTTAAGAAGAACATGCTCTTAACCATCTTATGTAAGCCTGTCACATGTCAACAAGAAAAATTTGCAAAATATTATAATTCATAAATGCATACAACAACAAACAAGAAAAACTACATTAGTCAAGCAAACAACCCCAATAAGGTTTAATAAAAAACAGCTTATATTAAGCCAATAAGGGCAATTTTTTTTAAATAACCAAGTTTTTATTAAGAAATTATGGATATAACATGTTGTCATCTTAAGTGAACAAATATGAACACATTCTGATAATGAAACAAGTTTAAAATCAACAAGACAACATATCCAGGAAGAAATGCACGTCTGTCAGATAGTAAAATAAGTCGTGGAAGAGCCAGTTAACTCTCTTAAGAGAATTTAACTTAAGTAATAATGCAGCTACTATAAATTTAAACTTTACCTTGCTTTAATCTACGCAAGGAGCTCATAAAAACTCAAAACTTAAGAAATTTGCACTCGTTAACAATTATTTTCCTGTATTTATCCGAGGGCCACCATCTCTAGTGGCCTCGGCGGGGATAAAACGCCTGTTGCTTGTACAGTAATAGGTCCCCCTCCATTATTCCATTGGTTGTTTACCCAGCAGTAACTTTGTTATAATTATCAGTGTTTTCTACTATATACAAGTAAGGCCTAAGAAGACTTACTAGTGCCACCCTGGATGAGATAACGGCACCACAGTTTTTGTGACTCTTATTATGGTACTTCGTGTTGCTGCTACTTGTTGTCTAAGGTGTTGAAGGGAGGTTGAAGAATATTCTTTTCGATAGGCGCGGTTTGCATGGAGGTTTTCTCCTCCCCCTCTGATAGCACAAGTGGTGATAGCTACAATGTTTACATCACGCGGTGGTCGGTTACAGGTCTGATCACCACAACAACAACTTGTTTACGGACTAATGTGCACCTTGGTCATGTATTTAAGTAACTTGCTTGTAACTTTAAGTATCGTTGCATTGAACAAATTTTGTAACAAGCTCATCAAGACTGTAACTTTCTTAGCTAAATAAATTTTGGGGTTCAGTCCCTGAGTTCTCTTGTTGAATCACTTGTGATATAAAAGATTATCGATGTGTATATATATATTTGTGTAAATAAATTATTATTATTATTACTTGTTTACAACTTTACACAGGACTCACAACTGATGACGTTCGAAAATTTATCGAAAAGTGCTTCGCTGACGACTTTTGTTCGAACCACAACGCAGTAACAGCCGTCCTCCGATCAAAGACCCAAAATTTTATTTATTTATTTATATACAAGAAGGTACATTGGGGGTTAAGAGAGTACATAGTAATGATGATTTTACATTCCTGTAAAGCCACTAGCACGCATAGCGTTTCGGGCAAAAAGTGATTGCATGCACCCGTCAAACCCACTGTTTATGAATGAAAAACGGTTTACACCCGACTCACAACTGATTTCGTTCCAACACTTCTGGAACACTGGTAATCCTCTTGAATTTGGTCTCATCATGGAGGATTTCTTTTGACGAGAACGAAGGCTGCGGTTTTATCGGCTCTCCGGATTGTGGTGTTCTCCATGGACTTAAGTTGCTGGGCTGCTTCTTTGTGTTTATTATCTAGGAGTGTTACTCTTGTAGTCTTCCCTTGGGGAGACACGTATACGCAGATAGACGGATTAGTCATGGGGGTCCCTAAGAGGGGTACTCTTTGTTAACTTCTATATGAGAACATTAGAAGACACCATCTTCAAAACCACAGGGAAGCCTTGAATCTACTGCAGATACATTGATGATATATATATTCGTATGTGTGAAAGATCTCCAAGAATTGTCGCGATTAAAGGATCTACTTACTCGAAACTCAGTGCTTAACTTTACACATGAACTAGGCATCGATGGGATGCCTAGTTCATGGGATTTACCCATGAACTAGGCACCCTTTCTTCGATGTCTACGTGAGAACCAAAGACAACACCGATGATTGATGAAGATTAAGCCACCCAAAAGGTGGCACGGGCATGAATAGCCCGTAAGTGGTGTCCCTTTTGAGCCAATACCAGTATCAAGAGCTGATACTGGAGATCTGTGGAGGTGCGACTGCACCCTGCGTGACGGGAGATATGTCTCCCCTGAAAAAAAAAGACAACACCTTTACCACACAAGTTTATACTAAACCCACCAACATTGGATGGTCACTCCGAATGCCCAGACAGATATAAGACGCATTTATACGCAGAGCCCTTACTCATTGTTCCGACTGGAATAAAATACACAAGGAATTGGAGAGAGTCTTCAAGTATTAATAATCAACGGGTACACGAATAAAAGAAGTCAACACCCATACCAGAAGATATTTAGAAAAATTGTATAACAACAACCGCAACAGCAAACAACCCCTCCCATAAAACTCTATTACAAATCCACTATGAGCACATGTAATGACAGAATTTAGCCATTTTGTGTAACAAATATTTTTAATTATCATAATAATCGAAGAATTCATATTTGGACAACCCGTCCTTGACTCAAGTCCATTACATCCAGCGGTCGCCCCCCACAGACGCATTTTTCTGAAATTTGTACATATTGTTCATTCAAAACAGGAATTTTCTCAAATATATATTAATATTATAATATATTAGCATATTGTGCATATATAGGCATAGGTTTGGTATTTAGGTTCTGTTGGCGATTATTTGTATTTGTAGTACGTGGGTGAAGCATTTACAGCGTTGTGATTCAAACAAAATTCGTCAGTGAAGCACTTGTTCCGGAATTGTTCGAACGAAATCAGGCGTGAGTCGTGTGTGTAAATCGTATTTCATTCATAAACAGGGGGTTTGGCGGGTGCATGGAATCACTTTTGGTTTTTTGTCTGGAGGACAGGTTGATTTGGGATAAACAAGAGATGAAACAGAAAGCCATGAGATAGATTGGTGTACTGAACGCTCCAGATGCAATCCGTCCTCGACTCAAGTCCATTCCATCCAGCGATCGACCCCACAGACGCATTCAAAAATTTGTACATGCTGTTCATTCAAAACAGGAATTTTCTCAAATATAAATGAATATTATTATATATTAGTATATTGTTCATATATAGGCATAGGTTAAGTTACTGTAGGTGTTTAGGTTCTGTTGGCGTTATTTGTATTTGTAGTACGTGGGTGAAGCATTTACAGCAGTTTTGTCGTCAGTGAAGCACTTGTTCTGGAAGTGCTCGAACGTCATCAGTTGTGAGTCGTGTGTAAACGTTTTCATTCATAAACAGCTAGGAGGTTTGGCGGGTGCATGGAATCACTTTTGGGTCTTTGTTTGGCGGACGGGCTGCCAAATGACGTCAATAAGTGTGACGTACTTCTAGCAAATACCTTCCTGTGATTGGCTGTTGCGGAAATGTCAACACACTTTCTATGAATGAAATGCAAACTAAGAAATTCGTCCTTCTGCACAACAACCTCTTTGTTTTGTACCTGACAGAAATTTCCACTGAACTGAATAATTTAGTCTAATAAGAGGGCATAAAGAGGAGCATCATATCATTGATGTTATTTGTCTGAGGCAACCCCCCCCCCCATTGATTACGTCACAAGTTAGGTAGTCAGGCCATTTTTATGTAATACCTGCTATATCCTGCAATATTTAATGATCACTTTATTAATACTTTTAAATAATTAATACTTAACCTTTTGAGTATATTAAAGTTGAAGCAGAATGTCATAAGCAGGGTTGGTGTGCTGAACAAAGCTTATTTATTAAGTGGGTGGAGCCTTTAGCTAATCCCTTCTTGCGATTGGGTGTTGTGGTGAATGAATGTGGTGAATTTCTACCAATGATATGCAGGCGCGGGAATTCTTACTTCAGCACAACAACCCGCCTTTTGGGCTGCTGTTCCGGTATTGACAATGTAATGTCAAACCAACAGATGGCGCCACTGTATTTTGTAGAGTAGCGAGAGTGTTGATAGTGTAATATGGTGCCAACAGATGGCATAAGCTGTATCTTATGGCTACTGGTGAGGCCTGTTGATAGTGTTCTTTTCTGCCGACGGATGGCATCAGCTGTATTATTATTACTTCAGAATGCTCCCTTTTAGACACTTCCACCCCGACCTCCCCACTGGACCAAAGAACTAGAGCTCAACCCCCGCAAGTACAATTAGGTGAGGTGAGTACAACTCCCATAGCTTATGGTAAGGTTTTATATCATGCTGGTATTAGGTAACTGGAGTTCTGCAATTATTTTTTTATCTACTGATGGGGATATCATCATATAATGCATCCAAGACTTGCCAATGTAGGCTGTTGATCCCATGCCTCTCTATATCCTAACTAATATCAAAGTAATATCATTATTAATTAGCTCTAGTCTTAAACTGTAACAAAACTCTTAACAAACTTTTTACTTAAAGTATAATACACTTCTCCACCCCCTCTCTCTCTCTCTTTCTTTCTCTCTTTCTCAAACAGTTGGGGGCTTCACAAAATTTTCCCCAGTAATTGCTGTTGGGTAAGTGCCTAACATGGTCAGAACTGGTATCAAACCAAACATAACCATGTGACACTGAACATAGCTCCCACATTGTATATTGTAATACCATAGGGATTGCACTGTGAATTATTAACTTTTTTTTTGGGGGGGGGGGTTATTGGAGGATAAGATATGGGGAGAGAGGGTTAAGATGGGGGGAAAGAGTAGGGAGATGAAAGAAGGTAACGTGGGGAGAGAGGAAAAGAAGAGGGATGGAATGGGGTGGAGGGAGAGACAGACTATACTGGGCACTACTGGTTTAAAAGAAGGTAGTCTCTCAGCTGCTCTTGCACACCCGTGGTTACAGGTGACTGCACAGTACTGTATACTGTGCATAATAAATGACCTAAGCTAACATAAGGGGCATAACTAGCCGATCTCAAGCCGAGAACTAGCCGAGAGGAGAGAGGAGAAGGATGGTAGAGAGAGGGAGGAAGGGAGGGGAGAAAGAGACCCGGGCACAGCCGGATATGCCAGCTAGTGTTATATAGAAATGCTGTGCAATATGCAATAAGTAGGAATGATCCAATCGAATTCAGAGATAAAGATATCACGTTGTATAGAAATGCAAGAAATACAGTCTTATATGAAGGTAAACGGTGATTCAATACGAGGCATGTTGAAGATCTCTTGCAAGGGTGCGATCGCTTCCACCACCGTTACCATTGTTCCGTTATAAAGGTCTTAATTTGGCTCCTACACGAAATGAATGGCTCAGTTTACCTTATACAGTTCGTATGGAATTCTTAATACCTAGAATAAGAAGAATTGATGACTGCATGTATAATTCAATATCTCTAAAGCTGGTTGTAACTAGAGCGTGATATGCATGTTAGGAGATCCTTGCATATTGGTTTCGCATGACATATACCGCTTACCATGAAAATGAAATAAAAAATGGGCTTCCTATGACAAAGTTATATTTTATTACGTTATGGTGTGAGAATAAAATACATGTGAGTCGAAATGTTTGATGGTCAAAGTAAAAGCATTGGTAAAACATGCATTGACGCAATTCCCAGCCCATGTAAATTAAGTGTTGCAATAAGTTAGTTTGTTCAATGCAACATAGCTAATCATTGTTCATGAGTTAATTGAAAGTAAGTAAATATATATATAGGAAAGATTAATTGTACTATACATAAAGACTTTATAATGTAGCCCAGTATTTGGCAATTAGGTTAGTATTTTATAATATTACATTAAAATCCGGAAATCAAGATGCCCCTTACTCGAGTTGAATGTCATGTGATTCATCACAGAATGACAAAACTCTCCTATTTAGTCATATTATTGAATGTTTGTATTTAAAAACAGTAGGAAAAGTAAAAAACGTTCTTTAGGCTCAACGATATATAGTTTAATAATGGATTATATTCATAAAAGTAAGCAACTCGCATTGTTAACAGTGATGTCAGCGTGGGATTTTGTTGGAATAAAATTTCGCGATTGTCATATACATAAGAATTTCAGGAATATTGCCATATTACAATGATATAAAGATTATTTTAGAAATCATCGCGTATGATACAAAGGTACAATCTGAATAATTATTACCAATTTTATTCCGTTTCAACTACTAATAACTGTTGAGACTTGCAACTTGACCAACTTGAAATCCGGGTTAATATATTGACATTTTGAAAAAAAACTTTGACGATATGACCATAATAAATGACTCTAAATATTTAGAGGATTATGAAGATATTTGTGTGAGGGTAATTGAAGGTTTAAGAGGGGATAGAGAGTGAAGATCTACTTGGCTGGCGGAGGCGAGTAGGTTGAGCGGCCAATATGGCAGCCACTAATGTTTGTGTTAATGACAGAGGAACGGATTGAAAGTGACAGTGGAGTGTTGATTTTCTGTGTTGACTCTTTGTTTTATGTATTCTGGATGTGTATATAGAAATATTCTATTAAAGTATCAAGTATTTTTACGTGTGAGCGTGTGAGACGGGCTGCGTTGGCCCAAACAGCGTGAGAAATCAACAGTTGATTCGAGTTGGGGTGCATTGTCAAGCAAAATCTTCAATTAATGCTAAGTTATCTATGACACTCAAGACATTGTTTGGATTTCCATTAAGGAATGAGACTTCAGAATGGATGAGAGGTAAGCGTGAGGTGGAGGTACCGTTGTTAGTGAGGTAGTGTTGCCCTGAAATGTAATCTTCACTCATTGTTTACAAGGGGTGTGCCCTCTGGCTCCCCGTCTCAAGTGGTCATTGGAGCCTTATTTGTGTGTCTTCCTGTGGCTGGAGACTGGCGTGGTGCCGGGGACGTGGTCTCGGGCAGCCCTGGAGCCTCAGCTCTTGGGCTCCTGCACGCTGGAGCAATAGTTAAGGTGTTAGTGGCCCCGGGTGGAGGTGCCACTTGTGCATTTAATGTGTTTATTTTGAGTCATTTTTGTGGTGTTGGTCAGTATTGTGTACAAAGTTGTACATTATCTACATGTTGTTGCTGATCAATGGTCTTACTGGGTATAGGTAAATTGTTTGTGGCAGTTGGTATATATATATAAGAAATGTTGTAACATGTATGTGTCTTATATTACCTTTCATTATACATTCATTCATCTTAAATGAATGTATAATGGACTCCTTCTGAAGATGTATTAATATACGAAAGTACTTGAGGAAATTCCTGTTTCAATTTTCCTCCGTGGTCTGACACTGTCACATTTTTTAATCACGTGTTTATTTTCGTGAAATACACACATTCATCTTAAATGTGTAAATCGTTGTTGTTGGCAGTATGAAGTATAGGTATCTGTTCTTGGCCTTCAAACTGAGGGATCTGCTTGTGCACGTATCATTACGAACTACTTTCGAGTATGTTGTGTAGAAGTCACTTGTGTACCTGACAGTTTCATACAGGTATCCAGACATAACGTAATCCACAGTATATATATGTGCGTGCATCAACGGCAGTCATCCCCCCCCCCCAAAAAAAAAAAAAGCTACTGTCAGCAGTGTTCCCGCTGCTTGTACACTTGGGTTTAGGTAGTGGCTCACACAGGGTTGTCGCAGTGTGTTCTGGTGGCCGCTGGTGACAAGTGCAATACAGTATTGCTGGCTCTCTGATTTCTCTTGATATTTTTCTTACCAAATGAATGAAATGCTAAATATGTGCTTTCTGCATTAAAAAAAAAAGGCATTTGGCATTTATAAAATAATGTTTAAATAATGCAATATACATATATTGAGTGCCAGTAGGCACATTTACATTGGTTTAATGTAAATAAAACAATTTATTTGTATTTGCTGTTAGTTCTAATATTGCATTAAACTATTGACATATTGAGAGTGTCATGTTTTTCACCAAGAATAAGATTAATCATAGGGATTGCCATTCTGCCACTGAGTTAATTTCATGCCTTTTAGACCCTTATAAAACAAATATTCCTGGGCGTCAGTCTGTCTTGTGATTCCAAGGATCAACATCCCTGTGGTCTGGTCTCTGTCCAGGTGTATGTTAAAAATTGCTACCATATACAAGTCTAGTAAAGATAATACAAAAAAATTTGTTTATATATAATACTGTTATTAGATTTTGTAATCGTGATAAACCTTGCTGCAAATAAATCATAACTTCTAGAAAGATAGGCCTCTTTTTTTTTTTTATTAATATGAATACAAGTTGTCACATATCCTAGATTGTTCACCAACAGGTTTAAAATGTATGTAATCTTACCTAACCCAAACTAACCCAACTGAACCTAACACAGCTTAACCAAAGGTTACAACCTAACCTAATGATACATATGATTGTGACAATTAGAGAACAAGATTTGTCGAAAAGCCTGTGTACAGTTTGACTACACCCCTCTTGATACATGTGAACCTCTTTGGCTGCACAAGTTATGATGCCAATTACATGTCAATTGGCATCCACTTATTATTTAAATTACATGGCAGAGGACAGGATTTAACTCTAGGATTACTGCCTTACCTACCTTGAGGCTACCTTGAGGTGCTTCCGGGGCTTAGTGTCCCCGCGGCCCGGTCGTCGACCAGGCCTCCTGGTTGCTGGACTGATCAACCAGGCTGTTAGACGCGGCTGCTCGCAGCCTGACGTATGAGTCACAGCCTGGTTGATCAGGTATTCTTTGGAGGTGCTTATCCAGTTCTCTCTTGAACACTGTGAGGGGTTTGCCAGTTATGCCCCTTATGTGTAGTGGAAGCGTGTTGAACAGCCTCGGGCCTCTGATGTTGATAGAGTTCTCTCTCAGAGTACCTGTTGCACCTCTGCTTTTCAACGGGGGTATTCTGCACATCCTGCCATGTCTTCTGGTCTCATGTGGTGTTATTTCTGTGTGCAGGTTTGGGACCAGCCCCTCAATTATTTTCCACGTGTAAATTATTATGTATCTCTCCCGCCTGCGCTCAAGGGAGTACAGATTTAGGCTCTTTAGTCGGTCCCAGTAATTTAGATGTTTTACTGAGTGGATTCTAGCAGTAAAGGATCTCTGCACGCTCTCTAGGTCAGCAATTTCTCCAGCTTTGAAAGGGGCTGTCATTGTGCAGCAGTACTCCACTCTAGAGAGCACAAGCGTTTTGAAAAGTATCATCATCGGTATAGCATCTCTAGTGTGAAAAGTTCTTGTTATCCAACCTGTCATTTTTCTTGCAGTTGTGACGGCTACTTTATTGTGTTCTTTAAAGGTAAGGTCTTCCGACATGAGTACACCCAGGTCCTTTACATTGCCTTTTCGTTCTATGTTATGATTTGCCTGCGTTTTGTACGTGGTTTCTGTTTTTATATTTTCAATTTTTCCGTAGCGCATGAGCTGAAACTTATCCTCGTTGAATACCATATTATTTTCTGTAGCCCATAGAAAGACCTGATCTACATCTGATTGGAGGTTTGCCGTGTCCTCTATGTTGCCAACTCTCATGAAAATCCTAGTGTCATCTGCAAAGGATGATACAGTGCTATAGGTTGTGTTCTGGTCTATGTCCGATATGAGGATGAGAAAAAGTACTGGAGCAAGCACAGTACCCTGGGGGACTGAGCTCTTCACGGTTGATGGGCTGGATTTTATTTTGTTGACTATTACACATTGGGTTCTGTCAGTCAGGAAATTGTAGATCCATCTGCCTATTTTCCCGGTAATTCCTTTTGAACGCATTTTATGTGCAATAACACCATGGTCACATTTATCAAAAGCTTTTGCGAAATCTGTGTAAATTACATCAGCGTTTTGTTTGTCTTCCATAGCATCTAATGCCATATCATAGTGGTCCAGCAACTGCGACAGGCAAGAGCGCCCTGTTCTGAAACCATGTTGTCCGGGGTTATGGAGATGCTGTGATTCCATGTATTTTGTGATCTTACTTCTTAGCACTCTCTCAAAAATTTTTATGATGTGCGATGTTAGTGCTATCGGTCTGTAATTTTTTGCCTCTGCCTTATTTCCTCCTTTATGGAGTGGTGCTATCTCTGCTGTTTTTAGTATGTCAGGGATAACGCCAGTATCTAGGCTTTGTCTCCACAGAATGTGAAGGGCCTGCGATAGTGGTTTTTTACAGTTCTTGATGAATATGGAGTTCCAAGAATCCGGGCCTGGTGCAGAGTGCATAGGCATACTGTTTATGGCTTCTTCAAAATCTAGTGGGGATAGGGCGACGTCTGATATATGATTTGATGTTGGTATCATATCCATGAAAAATTCATTTGGGTTATCAATCTTTAGTGCATTTAATGGCTCACTGAAAACAGAGTCGTACTGCTTCCTCAGTAACTCGCTCATTTCTTTGTTGTCATCTGTGAAAGTTCCATCTCCCTTTCGCAGGGGCCCGATACTAGATGTGGTTTTTGATCTTGATTTTGCATAGGAGAAAAAATATTTCGGATTTCTCTCTATTTCACTGATGGCCTTTTGCTCTCTTTGCCTCTCCTGGGTTTTGTATGATTCTTGTAGCTTGAGTTCAATTGTTTCTATTTCTCTACCTAACCTTCTTCGCCGTTCTTGAGATAGGGTGCGACTCTCAAGTTGTTCCGCGATTCGTTTTCTTCGCCTATATAGGGAACGACGTTCCCGTTCCAATCTGCATCTCTTTCTCTTTTTTCTTAGGGGTATGCGGTTTGAACATATCTCTAGTGCTACTGAGCTTATTTTTTCCAGGCACTGGTTCAGGTTTGCATTTCCTAGCTGTTCTTCCCAGTTTATTTCTGTGAAGTCCTGGTTTATTTGCTCCCAGTTTATCCGTTTATTATTGAAGTTGAATTTGCTGAAATCTCCTCCACCGGGAATCTGGACTGGTTTTGAAGGTCCATTCCCCATGGTTGTCAGAACTTCAATTAAGTTGTGATCTGAGTAACAGGTATTTGTAATCATTATGTTCCCGATCAACTCATCATTATTAGTGAAAATGAGGTCCAGCGTGTTCTCCTTCCTAGTTGGTTCTACTATTTGCTGGTTTAAGGCAAACCTATCGCACATCCGTAGCAGGTCATTTGCATGTGCCTGCTCATTTAGGCTACTTCCTGGTATTCTTTCTGATATTACTGTATTAGCCAGGTGCTTCCATTTCAGGTGCCGTAGGTTGAAGTCCCCAAGCAGGATGATGTTCGGAGCTGGATTTGTGAGGTTTTCCAAGCAGTGCTCTATTTTCATTAGTTGGTCTTTAAACTGCTGAGGGTTTGCCTCCGGTGACTTATATACAAGGACAATAACTACATTTAGGATCTCTATTTTGACTATCAGCACTTCCACCATATCATTTGAGGTGTTTAGCAGCTCAGTACAGATGAGTGTGTCTTTGATGTAGAGGCTGACCCCACCCTGAAGCCGGTGTTTCCTATCACATCTGAAGAGATTGTATTCTGAGATCCATATTTCACCATCAAGGTAGTCCTTTGTGTGAGTTTCCGTTAGGGCTGCAAACACTGCATTTGCCTCATGAAGGAGACCATCTATAAAATGAACTTTGTTGGATTTGCGTGTTTTTATACCCTGGATGTTGGCAAATATAAATGATGTTATCGTGTTAGTGGAAGTGCTGGATGCTTTAATTGGTGTTAATATCTGAGGCTCTGGTAAGGAGGCCACTGTGTTTGCGTCCTCTCTAGCATTTGACCGAGTTGGTGGTAGAGTCTGGTCATTTTTAG